TTTTTGCAAAAAAGTGGGCTAAAACCCTCCAGCCCCCCCCCCCCTCTAGCGCCGTCCATGAAAGTTTTAAAAATATCTAGAAAGCCGTTAAGAAAAGGGTTAGTAAAATGCAACAAGGATTGTAGGAATAGTCAACCAACTGGATGCTTAGGCCAATCGATGCTTAGGCCAATCGATGCTTATGCTAATTACTTCATTTGGCTTTAGCCTTTTCAAAAGTGGGGCATTAACTGGAAATAAAAACTAACTAAAGCTCTCTCCTGGCAAAATCTTTCGTGACACATTCGTCAGAGAAGTGTCTTCACTTCTTATTTCGTATATCTTGCATCCTAGATATATCTGCAATTCTGAAGTCAGAATCTGTCTGTGAGCATGCAGGTCCAGCAAGACTTGTTTGTAATAACAATCAAAGAGTGGATATTCACGATGCGTTTTACGGTCGAAATAATGACAACAAAACGTGTCACAATTCCGGCACTATAACCTGCTTTAACCCAAATGCAACTGAGATCGTCAGAAGGATATGCAAGATGAATTCTACATGTACCGTGTCACCAAAGGGTAGTATTTGGAATTTCGACTCGAGCTGCGATATGCTTAATGCACAGCTGAAGATTCACTACTTTTGTGTTGCTAAAGGTAAAATTGCAGTTGTTTTTCAAATCTTCAAGGAATATTACGCCGAGATTATCTTAATTTAAGAAGGATAACATAAGGGTATTTAGTTGATTGCAAAGCCAGAAAAACATAAAGGCGACATTTGATAGTCATCCATATATAAAACTGATTTTAAATAATACTTTTTCTTTCGTGTTTTGTTTAGTAAATTCTTTAAAATTGCTTGCATCATTGCTCTTAAAAACCTTTTACTATTCATATTTACTGACTTGTCCCCCCCCCCTCTCCCAAGCATAATACTTGATAATAATACTAAGATAATTCACATCAGTGCCCTTAAAATAATAAAAAACTCTAAAGATTCAAAAGCTAGAATTTGTATAGCTCTCTAACTTGTGCATTATAACACTTTGCTCGTACTTGGTAGGTAACGAGAAGAAAAAGGGTGTCTGGTCTATGAAGAGTTTGCGTGAGGGGCATTAAAAACTTAGGTGAATCTAAGAAGGAGGTTTTCCGAACTTGATTACTTTCTTTCTTGTTGTGCCATTTTCAGAAATACCTCCCAATTAGTATTTGAAGGTGGACATGCGCATTTGTAATACATAATATTGAAAATCTGTCAGTATTTCTGGTCTGCTCTTCATGAGTTTATTTTGTTTATTACATACAGGTCAAATTTCAAGTACACAAATCCACGCAAGTTCAACACCTCACCACGCAAGCCCCACTAAGAACCACCTAAGCACAAGCTTGTATTCACCCACCTTGGTAAAACCTACTGTTCGCCAGTCTCCTGAGGGATCTACGATGCAAACGGCAAAAACTACAGCAAGAGGTCTGGGTTCTGTTACCACTAAGACTGTTTTAGACCCCGTTTACACTGTCCCGGGACAATTTTGTACCGTTACGGTTCGCAAGTGTTTACACTGTCGCGGTTCCAAATTGTTCCGTTTAGCCGTTCCGTTTACACTGTACCGGTACGACCTTAATTTAATGGTAGAACATTGTTTAGAAGAAGCTGTATTTAGTCAACCAAGGCTTTTATTTTGCCGCTGAAGTCAACAATCGAATTTTTATTGTGAGTCAAAATGGAGCGGAAGGCCGATTAAAACTTTACTTGGACGAAAGACAAGGTGGCTTTAATTTTCAGTGTTATTTTAGACTACAAAACTGCAAAGTCCAATCAAGGCTTGGACTGGGAAACACTACAAGCCTTTTCTGTGGTCGTCTTTTCTTCAGAATTTCCTTTTCTTCAGAATTTGAGAACGTAGTTACGCCACAATCAAAGCCTCGATTACCTGAAACAGCCATACAAAAGACCTCTTTGTGATTCGTGACAAAATCGTCTCGGATAGGTGTTTACACTGTCCCGTTCAAAAACGGAACCGTGACGGTACAAAATTCGTTCGCTTTCAAAGCAGGGTCAAAACTGTTCCGGATAGCAGAGCAAAATCGTCACGGTTCCACAGTGCTAGTGTAAACGCAAGGGCGAACCGCGACAGTTTTGTCACGGTTCCAAACTTGCACGGGACAGTGTAAACGGGGTCTTAGTTACTGCAACACATATTGTTAGTTCCAGTGTTGAATTCCAAGCAAAGGGCACGCAAACAGGTAGACATTTGATACGGTCACTGATCTTTTAAGGTTGTTGATTTCATCATGAAATTTTCATGCATAACAGACAGGCTTAATGCTGGCTTACAAGTCAGCCGTACTCATTTCTGCTTGCTTTATCCATGCTCAGACAAATCACATTCTTGCTTATAACATATCTGAAAAGATCTAATCAAAAACATATATATTGATTACGTTGTCATTTCAGGTGCCTTATCAGTGCAGCTCAGCTCCAAATTTTCTCACCATTTTTGCACACACTCTTAATTTTAAAATGTAATTTTATATTTCAATATTGTTAAAATGATCCGCATTGAATTTTTATGCCTCTCTCTCTTTAACCTTTGTTGGTAGCACTTTTCCTGGAAGAAACACTTTTTATATCGTCGGCTGGAAACTAGAATACACAAGCCAAACAGCGTCCAGCAATAATGTTTACCTTCTCACTAGATTCTCGTTCATCAAAGATTCATTCACTTCATCTCGAATTGAAGAAAAAAGACCATGTTATAATTGGGTTGACGGTCGCAGTTTCCATTATGGGATGCGTAATAATTACCTTTCTGTTCCTCTTTTTCCGAAATGACAGAGGTAAGTTTTACAATGGATTTTCATTGCTTTTAAGTATCAAGTGAAGATATTGATATATCGAAGAGAGTTCATTTGGCTTGAAAAGCCGTAAGTAAGACAATTACTTAAAGATGGTGTAACTTAAAGTAGGTATTAAAGAGCCCTACCATTCGTTTTATGTTATTGTACAAGATATCTAGAAGGTTAGATGTTCATTTTCAATCTCATGGTCAGACCATTCAAAATAATTCCTCTGTCATTTCTCACACAGGAAAAGATACAGATCAGTTAAGGTAAGAACTCTTCGATTTCTGATTTTTAATTTCTAATCATTTGATTGATGAAGAGTTTGGCTTTTTGACAAATTTCAGCACGTCACCAGTGACTGGTGACTTATACTGAGAATCTACATTAAAAGTAGGCCGAAAATAACATGTTCCTGACAATTTTGATTGTGTGCAGGGACCGCGGAAGGGGACTACGGGGGCTCTAGCTCCCCAAATAATTTCCAAAGTGTACTTGAAACCATACAAAAATCACCCTGCTCTTGATTTTTAGAATGTTTAGCCCTCCAAAAAACATTCTAACCCCCTGAAACAGTATGCAGTCCTTGATTGTGTGCTAAGCCTTACGGCACCTTTACTCTGATTTATACCCAGCTCAAAATGATCTTGTATAAATGAAGCACATATTGTTCGTAGCGGTTCGAAAACTGCAGAGCATGAGATGGGCACAACCAATTGCTATGATGTGATGGATCTGACAACTGAAAATCCTTACTATGATAGTACCTAGCATATCGAAATGACATTGAATGTTGTAAATTTGGTCAACGGAATCTAGCTTAAATAATATGTTATTAATAAATTATAAAATGTTACTTACTTTAAGTCTTGTTAATTTTAAGATTAATTGTCTATGAACTTAGGGTCACACGTTTTTGAGTGAAAAAACCTTTGAAGTTAAGAAACCTTTCTAAATTTCTTATCGATCTCTCTCGTAGACATTCGAAGAAGTCGACGAGAAAACCACGGTTTTCCGTCAGCTTCCCTTTATTTTATTCCTTGTGTCACACCTCTGCTTCAAGCTCATTTTTCTCAATACTTATTGCAATCGAGCATCACATGATTTTACATCAAACCATGTGCTTTTCTAAATAGCAACCAACTGAGTTTTTGGTGCAAAAAAACAAAAGAAAGAACCAACGAAATACAAAAACAAGATATACGTTAACCAATGATAAATTACAAGACAAATGTGATAATACTGATAATAGTTTATGTGCCTCTTTACTAAATCCCCTCACCCTAAAGTAATTTTTGTGAAATAAGCCCTGACGCTCGAATAAGCCCCCATGGGCTAAGGTATTGCCTCAACAGCAATAGGTTTATCTTTATCCTAATAAATATCTGCACTTTTAAGCATGCTGACCAGTATCTACAGAAGAAACAAATCTGCCCTGATAATTTTTGGCTGCTGCTTAAGAAGCCCCCTCCCCCTTCAAAAAGGCCCTCTCCCCTTGCATAAGCCCCCACTACAAGTTAACATTGATGATTGAACAGAAATGTCAAGAAGAGTTCGCATGTGAGCTTGCACTGGTTTTGGTCCGTACCTGTTTTTCTTGGTGTTTACACTAGAATTGATCCAAGTGGATTTGTACCTGTTTAAATCGGTACCAGTGTTGTAAGGTCTCATTCCTTCCTTCCTCCTCCACAGTGTCTGTACTCAGGCTACTCGATACTTGACACAATGTAAAATGTTAAGTTTTTCTTCTTTGCCCTCATTTTGCCACGACCTGTTCATACATTATGGATTACATAAAGCCTTATCTCAATCACTAGACAGCATTTAAGGGATTATTTTGGGTTAAAACAGGATACGTTGAATAGAAAGATTGGGAAACTTGAAAACCATTCAAATTGCGTTGCACTTTCATGTTAGGGTCATGTCATTAGAGTTCTTAAGCGCTACTTCATAAAAACTCTTTTTAGGTGTTTTGATCTCCTTTCTTGCCACCTTAAATTTTGAATCTATTTACTAACTTATTTAGGTATATTTCTATTATTTATCTATTATTTGCATCAATTCAGCGGATATTTGCATCTCTGTATCATTGCAATGTCTGTATTTTGGATGTGAAAACATTCCCTATTGAAAAACTCGAGACAAAAAAGCTTCTTATTATTCTCATCGATGTGCGCTCTGAACTAAAGGTCACCCTTTCTTTTCTCAACGTCTGCCACTAGAGTTTTAGCATGACTCCTTCCCTCCCCAATTTTCCCCAACAAACAATAAGCAGTGTTTTTCTGAGAACAGTCAATTGTTTTTTCTGAGCAATGTAGTAATTTGTTAAATTTTTCTCTGGTAGATGCATTCGAACCCAACCACGGTAGGTCCCCTTTCCCCAGGTTCAATTTCGTGGCGCCGTCTCTGTTACCTAGTAATAGTTGCCAAAACAGAGTTCGGTAGTTTTTCCAGATTTTTATGAAAGCATTGCAGAGCCTCACTTTCGATACTGCTGTTCCGAGTCCCAGGCTTGGTAAACTGTGCCGAGTCCCAACTACTAAATCTTCAAAAATTGCAAAATCATGTGGCTAGAATTGTCACAAATAGCAGCTACGATGCTCCTGCAGAAGTTTTGGGATGAATATGATTAGATCTATGTGCAATACAGAAACTGACTTGCTATTACTATTCATGAAAACTAGTGAGAGGCAGAAAGCTTTTGCATTTCCTGGAGCAAAAGTCTAGAAGAAAGCTTGTTGGAGCGATCGAGTCCTGGGAATAGGGTGGTGCCCAGTCTTTCTCCCGTCGACCACTGCGTTGACATGTCTTTCGTGATAAATCGCTTCGGCACATGACCTCAAGGTTTAGTTAGTTGGCTATTGTGGCTGAGTGTGTAGTAAGCCCAATTTTGTTACGAAAATCACGTACATAATCTCACAAATGGATTTTCTCTATGCTCCGACCTAGGCTTTACAACAAAGCTCCCTCTTTATCTTCTATTAAAAAAACTGAGTGTCGGCTGTATGTAATTGATTTTATGATCTTCATTACTTGTAAATATTAAACAATGATCTTAATGAGTTAACTTTCGTTATCTTTAGTATACACTGTAGATTTTCAATTTGTCATGTTTTTTGGCACTCTGAAAATCAATCATACTAACTGACGAGGCAACAATGGATAGATAAGTTAAAATAAAATGGAATTTTTATTAGGAACCAAGTTTTGATCAAATTCTTAAATTGTCTAGTATCTTGTGCTATCTTTATTGATTCTGGGAGTGAATTCCAGATTTTAGGCCCTTGAAAACCTAATGGACGGGTAGTTGGTAGTTCTGGCTTTTGGAATGTCAAGGGGGTTTTTCAGTCAAAGGTTATAACCTGTTGTTTTGAATCGATGAAAACAGGATTAAGATTGTTCAATGTTTTATAAACAAAGTCGTTTATTTGCCGACAAGTTTGGAAATTTACCGACTAAGCACCCCTACTCCTCGTTTTTGCAATTGAATCATTTTTCAAGGGGGGTCATCTTTTCAAGCAAATCCCCTTGTTAGAAGTAAGAGAGATTTTGGGGGCTCAGCCCCCTCCCCTTAACATGCCATTGTGAATTCGGTTCAGCAATTTTTTTACTTGAAGATGTGGATCAACCCAATCATTACGATTTTCTGTCAATAAACAATTCCCTATCCACTTGAGTGATTTCATATACCCAGCAGAGAACTTTTAGCGCAAATACATAGGGCGTGGTTTTTGGTGTGGCCCTATGTGTGGCTTCCAGAAATTCTTTACAGCACATTCCCTTTTCTTAATTTTTTAGGACGGCACCCCTGCTCTAATGATCGGGGAGTTTCCTCTCTTCCCTCTTATCTTTAGCTCCAAGCTCTCTCAATCTAGCTTGATTCTTTTCACTGAATTCTGGGAGCGTGAGTGTTTTTGGCAGATTTATGAGGGGGGTTTTTCGGTCGGGGCCTTTGGCTTCACTCCCGGAGCTAGTTCGTTCTCCGCTTATTTGCAACTCGGTTTAGGTGGACCTCGCAAGACTCTGGGGTTAACAAGGAAATCCTTCATGAAAGTGTTTTCTTTTGCCCCTGTCCAGAATTAGCACTTTGTTTTATTCACAGCCGCCTTTCTCGGTTTGGTCCGAATCTTATACACCAACGAAGATGTGATCTTTGAGGGATTAATGACGTCCCAATTTAATTGATATAAACAATCCTTTCTTTTTAGATTAAAGGGCGATAGTTTAGCGGCTTTGATGCAGCAACTCAGGGTGAAGTAAATGCCTTTGATATCAGCATGAAAATGTATGATGTTAGCACCTACTAACATCAGGGCTAACTTGCGTATCGTGATTTGAATAGGCAGGCAAGTAAATAATAGGGGGCGTGAGGGCGTCATTCACTTGCATTTGGAAAACTTAACAGTTTCTTGGATTTTTCTCTCAAGTCCAAACTTGTGAATTTTATACTATAGGAAATTTTGAGATTTTAAATGTAAAATTCTATACCTTATTAAAATTCAGAGAGTGGAGAGGACCCATCTACTAGTCGTTGTTGGGACTGTAAATTCCCCAGTTGCTAATTCTTAAGATTTGTTGAAGTATCTAAAGATGAACGCTGAAGAATAACAGGACCAATTTGCTCTGCTATCTTGTTCACTGGTATCAACCAACGTGTTTACATCTTAGGTTGCATCTAAATTCAAAATTAACGCGCTCTCTTTTAAGAGAAGAAATATGCTCGAAGGCAATGGAAAAGTTCCCATAGTCATTTTTCTTTTGCAAATTCTTGTCCCCACTGGATCTCAAATTGCACCATTGCACCGTTTGTTTTTTTTGACAGGAATTTAGTTGAATAAAATTATATAGAACAGTTAAGGTGAATTTCTGGATAAGAAACTTTGAACTTCATAATCAGTATTGAGCCCACAGTTTTGAATGAAATAATGCCCTACGGATAATGAATTCAATACAAAATTAAAATATTTCAGTTATAGAAATTCTCAACGCTTTTTATAAAAAACGAGTGTATGCTAAGCTCCCCCTGTTATTGTAAACGTCCTTAACCCCTTATCAAAAATTGCTTGTGATAAAGCTGCTGCCACAGTGGCGTCGCCAAGGGGGGGACATGTCCACCCCAGTTTTCGCAGAAGTCGATTTTTTAATTTCTCGAATAAATGGCTGCAGGGGCGTCACTTCATATTCCTTGTTGGGGAGGGGAGGGGGGGTGGCTGCATATTTGCCCTGCAGAAATTTTTTTGCCATGCTGGGAACTGGCCCTCAGTTCTTAAGGTAAGTTGTTCCCGCTTAGGTCCTTGCTCAGTGTGTCCACAAGTTCACCGACGTGTTTGCCTAACCTTGGGGAGTGAGGAAACCCTCCATCCTAGATTCAAAGAGCATGCGCTCATTTTTAAACACTTTCGATATACACACTAGCATCTCACAAGATAAGGGTATCAAAGCTTCCCTCTATGCCATCAAAAATCATTATGGGGAAACTACCCTGCTGCAAATAGAATACAACAGATGGCGCTGTTTTTTCTCAAACATAACTATATTACCTTTACACTCTCTTTTTATAAGAACAATTTTATAAGAACACGAGCTTCAAAATTGGTCAAAGGTTGAGGACAAATTAAGAACAGCCTGAGGCTGAGCTACTGTAAAATGTAACTTTGAGCAATGTTTCATCTCAAAAACGATGAGTTTTTTGCCATCTTGGGATGGTTCTTCGGTGAATATTGAAACATGGCGGCAAATCAAGGTTTTCACCGCACTTTGTTAGCAAATGAGGCCTGGACACCTCCCTAGAGCGAAAAGCTAGCAATCGCACTGCTTATTCCCTATAAATTTAAAAACAAATTAAGAACAATTCAGCCTCAGATTTTCGAAAAAGTTAAGAACAACCAGCCTGAACTTCAATTTACTGACTCTTATAAAGAAGAGTGTAAGTTTAGTTAACCTCCCTTAATGCACCGCAATGGGGAAACCCTTTGCCCCAAATTATGCCGACATATTGATGACAACAATAGAACAACATATCTTGAGCAATGCCCCGATGAGACGTAGTTGAATAGTTTGGAAAAGGTTTATCGATGACATAATCTTCATCTGGCAAACACAAGCTTGAAAACCTACAGGAATTTATACAATACACCCTATATCATCCACAAAAAAATATAAAAACCGTATATAGTCGACACCTTTCTTAAAGTCACGCTTCTGGTTACACTCAAATCAATTTTAGGCCCAAATATGCAACGGCAAGCGGTGCTTGCCTTTTTGGTATGGTTTTTAAATAAGACACAAATATCAACCAACGGTGTAACAAAAAGGATTTTCCAAGAGTCTGAAGGGCGTAGCCGAGAAAATTTGTTTTTGTCCACTCCAGTTTTTTCGAGCTGGCAACACCACTGAACCCAGAAAACAATGCAGAACCTGCAGCAGAATTATTTGATCAAAGAAGAGAGTTTCATCTTATGAATCGTGCATACGCACTAGCACTCAAATCACCAATTTCAACTGTAAAAACCAAAAGGATATTTGGCCACCTTAAAATTGTTAAAAAATTCAAAGGCAAAATTCCTTGATGCTTTTATATCGTAAAAGAGATATCTTGGATAAAATTGATATGCCGGAAACTGCTTAAAGAGGGCAAAGTAGAAAAAGAGAAGAATCGCTTTTACTTGATTTGAAAGAATGACTTTTTATCAAATATATCTAATTCTGGCTTTGCTTAGATGTTGCTTAACTTCTTATGATAAGTTTAAATGTCCGTGCTACATAATAAAGATTTAGATATTTCTTTGTTGTTTTTAGTGATTTATGCTTACGGCTAATTATAATGAGCAAAATGATGGTAATTGTAAAGAAACTAGAAATCTGGAATTAGGGTCATAATGACATTTCAAAATATCAATGCGGCAAGTGCACTAGATTTACAGGTGGAAAGTAAAACTCCTCAAGTAAAGTAAGAATTTTCATCCTTCCACAACCCCCCGAAATTAGCCACTTGTTTTCATCCCTGTGAATCAAGGAGCAAGAAATAAAGTGGCGGGAGGGGGGGGGGGGGGGCTTCAGCCCTAAAATAATTTTCAAAACTGAAATCGTTAAATCTAAGAAATCCGTGCGTGATCAACTCAAATACATGACTGGAGAGTTCTCCGGATATTTTCAAATATACCTACTTTATCGTGGCTCTCTATCGTAAATGCTTGAAAATCCAAACGATTGACGTCATAAATTGCTCTTTTGTCATTATTCCAAATTTCTTATGGGTAAGCAGTTTTTAAATGACAAGTTTATTAACTTGATGCGAAATTGGCGAAGTCCTGCATATTTAGTTTCAATGTGAAAGGTTGCCGCTATATTTTCCAAGGAATTAGACAGATGATTCTTTGTTTACCAGAAAATTGGCATTTGCACGAGGTAACTGAGAGATAATGGCACCGACTGTAAAAAACAAGAATATGGTGAAAACTGGAACCAAATATGACGTAGCAATCACCGAACAACCTAGGGCTTAAGACCCGGCTACACGAAAGAATACTCTAAAATAATATTGATATTCTTTGGTTCTTCTTGCTTGCATTCCGATGTTCAATTTCGCAATTCTTTCCTGCAAGAATATTCTAAAAGAATCTCGTGGACATTCTCCAGTGTCCATATTCACTTCTGTCTGTTGCTCAACAAGCATACCGATGCACAGAAAAGAGTGAACTTCCGCATTTCCATCGATTAAATATTCTTCAAGCCAGGATTTGATTCAAACGAGTTTTTACTAGTTTGAATTAATTCACCTTGACAAGAACATTCAAACAATAGGATGATGGCACAAATGGATATTTTTTGAAAAATTCTTCATCGAAATGAAAGGAAGAATATTCAAAAATTAAATTTTTGTGCTTAAAATAGTATTATTCTTGTTGAAAATTCTTTCTTTCTTTTAAGAGGACGCGCCTTTAAACTCGTTTGTTTAAGCATAGTTGTTTAAGTGAGAGATGTTAAAATACTCACACGCATCTTGAAAAGCGGCGTTCATTAGAAAACCCACCACTATTCGAAAGCTATGAAAGTTTTTATATCATAGAGACGAGGACTCTGACGGAGACAGGGGTATTGGCATTCCTTGACATTTCCATAACGTGAAGACATCTTTGTAAACTTTCAAAAATTGTTCACATAATTCTTTTTACGTGTTTTTGGAAAAGAAAACGTTGTTTAAAGTCTCTTTTTATCTTTGTTCATTGCATTTTTCATTTGAAAACTTTTTATTTTGTATTAAACGCTTCCCTCTGATAAACGCCGCCCCTATTGAACGCCGCATCCAAAATTTGGAGTTTTTAATAAACGCAGCTTTAAAGTTCGAGCAGACTTGATTGGAGCTATCTTTTTTAATTTGGGTCCTAAAAGCTCAGGGGATGGTTTTGGTTACGCCATTTTGTCTAGTTTTAAAAAGAAACGGGATGCCATTTAGCAAAAAATCCAAACAAACTAGAGCTGTCACTGGAAGCATCTCTTATTGGCAAGATAAAATGGCTGAGTCCAAGGGCGAAACTACTGGGGGGGTGTAATACTGCTAATTTTAGGCCTTTCTCTCTAGTCCATTCGTTTGATTTTCCTTACCTAATCACTCTTGTTTATCTGTAACTTTCCTTGCTCGTTCCGCATTTTTCTATCACGTGTATTAGGATAATCTTTGTCTTATTATGAGTAACTTCATACCTACGTCAATTATCAGCATGTTAAGTAGATCGCCATAGCAACCCAGTATTTTAGGATATCGCGCTACCCCACCCCGCTCGTTACTAAGTAGATTACTTCCTTTCACCGTTTCTTTTACGTATGTATATTGTTTTTAGTTCAGTATATATGGGGGCCCCGTACCTCATCTTGGGCAGTAAGAATTATGGAAAAGTAGCAGCAAGAGAAAGCAGTTTAGGCATGCACCGTTTTAGGGGCAAGATGCTTGTGAAAGATCTTGTCGCCTTCGTTTTGCTCATAGTCGTTTGGAAATATTTATAGAAGATATATCAGTTTTGGAAGACCTCTGGGATAGTTCTTGAGAAAGATTATGCCCACGTCGCGCGTTAATCATTATGCCGTTGTTAGCATGCAAGTTATGTAGCTGCCGGGATGATTTTATCGAAAGAAAAGAAGGAAAGATTTAACCGATTTACGTCGCATCATTTATTGGCCATCCTCTGCTTTTTAAAGGTCCTGAAAATCAATCGATTTAAGCAAAATTTTACAGGGGTATGGGGGGTGCTGCACCCCCAATCTTTAAAAAAGCAGATTTTGTCGGGCAAATTTATGGCTGCCAGTGTATTTGTCCGGCAAATCTGGAAATTTTCTTTATGTCACACTTTTATTGCTACTTTGTGCCCTAGCTTGGTTTTATAATTCATGGTCTTTTCCCCCATCTTTTTTTCAATCTCCTCCCAGTTTGGAAAACAAAACAGAAACGAGGCTAGGAACAGCAATATATATACATTTCTGTTTTTTTGTCCACCGATCAGCGCTTTCGTCTCGAGCTCGACACGCACATGTTTATCTTCGCCTCGAGATGAAGTCTGAAGTATTGATCGACAGCGAAAGTATAGACGGAAAGTAAAGTGTGTTTGATGCGAGAAGGAAATGAACACTGTGCATACCCCTCCCCCCTACTTTTTTGCAAAACAAGAGAGCTTTTTTCAAAATCCTTTGCTGTGATTCCATTCTGCCTCGGAGCCCATGGAACACTGACAGTTTTAGAAGCATCATAAATCAAAGCATGAAGGATATACCACCTCGGAAAACGTTGTTGAGAAAAATCAATCAATACTTTCTTTTCCAAATGTATGAAACTTTCATCATACATTCATAAGGAGTTACACTTACAGTTCGAAAGTATTGCACCCTTCGCTAGAAAATGGTCATACAGACGCCAAAGTATTTTAACTAAAAAAATTCGAATAACCGTAACAAGTAACAGAAAGTTTTAATCAGTTCAAGCAGAAAATAATATAAAATTTATCAAGAAATTGTAGTTAAGATATGAATTGCAAAAAACTTTCGAGTTTATTCTATTTCTGAACATTATCTATAATTACGAAAACACAAAAATTGAGCTTTAATGTTAGGTGTACCTGTAAAATACCTCCAATAAAAAACTTTGCTTGCTTGAGGGATTTTGTTATGGTGAATTTAGAGATACGTACTTTGTGCTTGGGTGTCTAAAAATGTTGAAATTGCTTCCGGAGCAACCGAAAATTGAAAATGAAACTCAGAAAATGCAACTGAAGCTCTTTTTTGTTGAAACATTGTAATCTGCGTAGCTGTTTCTAAATTCCGAAATTTCCTAGCTGTGTTTTGGTGTTCCACTTTGATAAAATTTAGACCCTACTTCAATCCCCTTTTTTGAATTGCTTTCTTAATAGCTATGTGATTCAGAAAGTGAAGATGTTTTTAGCCAACACCAGAAAAACTAGAGGCATATTTCTTGACTTTAAACAAACAGCCTGAGTCTAAAGACCCTCTCTCAGGCTTCTCGATGATTTCAGCCCTTGAGGCGATGTGCTCTAAAAATGAAGTTCATGTATGACACGCCCTTTCATCAAGCATGCCACGCCCTTTCGTCGGGCATCTAAGCTTCATACCCCCCTAATGAGAATAGTGAAGTTCCGCCCCTGGCTGAGTCACATTGTTTTGTGTCCTTTGTCGGCAGATGGGATGCTGTTTCCGAGTACCCTGTGATGGGGCTTGAGAAGCGATGGAGCTATGTTGAATAAGATTTTACTAAAAGAACCAGAGTCGCAGAGTAAAACACAGAAGAAATGCTCGGTTCATAGTTTATTGTTATTATTTTCAGTTTTAATAGTTTAAAAACGACGTCCTTTTTAGAGTACTTGCTTCCATCCACGGCTCCATCGTGCCATTCCACTGCAGTCTGCATTTTATTCCTGTTTGGATAGAAGCGTTCATTTCACATTTCGACACGCCGACCGCCCAGAGAAAGCAAGGAAGTTGGCAGGAAACTTTTGAGTATTTAAATGTTTTAGCTGGTAGCGGAAATGGCGAGTAAACTTTTAGCTTTATGTATCGTGTTGTCGACGATTTGCAACCTGGTGCAGCTTTCGTTGGAACAAGGTGAGTATGCCGTCAAAACAAATAAAAAGGCCAATGTCTCTTTTGTGTGAATCAAGAAAAGGTCACTGTAGCAGGCTGCTAGACGGGCTCCAAGGAGTTCTTGCGGCGAAAAGTCGATAAAAATGTAGCAAGTAAGAAACACCGCAACACGCCGAGAATAAACAACAATAAAAACACGTAAATCAGTGAAGGCTAATATTTCGCCCCGGCATACGCGGCTTCATCAGGAATGTTGAAAGTAAGATACACGCCCATTTGCAAGACTCGTTCGTATTAACATTTTATCATGTTGGGCAAGTATAGAGTGTAGTCGGTGTTGCTTTTGGGGAAATACTTGTCAATTTTGGTATGATATTTCCGATGTGATGTGGATCGAAGGAATATGTTCAGAATTTAGCCCTCTTACTAGGCATTGCTACATTTCACATAAAATATATATAGATATAAATGTAAATAAGACAAGACATAAAGACTCATTGTTACATCGAAGCAAAAGTTGGATTGCTTTTCTTCCAATTGATAAAGCTTATCTCCTCTCATTTTCTATTCAATTTCTAAAACTATACTTATTGCTGTGGATTTATAAGCACATTTTTTAAACTGAAAGTTGTCAGAAAGAAATGGTCCAACTTGCTATGTTTTGATTTTCTGTCTTCGCAATAAATAATAGCTGTAGGATATAGCCACAAAAATGAGTTTAAGTGGAGCATGTTATGAAGTGAAGTGGAGTGGACAGGCCATTTCTGAAAGTCATTCATAGGCATTCAAACATTCCTGAAAGCGGAACCCGCACGTCCTGTGTTGCTGACAACGCAATGTGGTGAACAGGCTAGGGAGGCTAGTCATTCATCTATAAATCTATAAAACGGAGACCACGGTTAAGTACGGTTTTGAAATATTATTTGGGGGATTATGAAGCCCCCAAGCCCGTCGGCCCGCTCTGCTTGCGTGGTCCCTTTAAGGGGGGGGGGGAGAGGGTGATATTAAACAAGGAGTTAAACAAACAACAATATCTGAAGCCGGTACAAAAAAAGGAGAATGGATTATTTAAGCTGAGGGGAACTGCTTGACCTTTAATCTTTTCATTGGCCGCTGATTGTGTCATCAGCCATGAAAAACAATGGTTTCCCTTTGTTGTATCTCCATCAATGATGTATCATAGGGATTACTACGGTACAAAAGTTGGCCTAGTTGGGTGTGGGCTTTTTCATTTCATTTTCATTTCATTTATTTCATTTCATTTTCATTTCATTTCATTAAATGTTTAACGAGGGTAGCTCTTCAGCAATGCTGATTTTCAAGGGGCCCTCCACTTAAAATACTTACAGAAATTATTATACAAAACAAATTACCCTAATTACAATTCAATATTTACAATCTAAAATAAATCCTATTTTAACTTGAGTTTAATTTTACTATAAATATCTATAACGAACGGTGAAATGGTAATTTCCAATATACAATTTAAATTACGCCTATTTACAATTTCGCAAGATTTTTTTGAAGTTGGTCAAGGAAGATGCCTGTTTACACTCAGCTGAAAGGCCATTCCAAGACCTAGCACCTCTAAACGAGAAGCATTTCTGTTCGAGGTTGGGGGCTTATGAGATGTATTTTCTATCAGGTAGGGGCTACTTTGAAGGGGGTTATACTAGGGAGGGCCGATTAGAGGGTTCACGGTACAAATTGAAGGGGCTAAAAACCAAGAAAAAGGCGATTTCGTCCCCCATTAACCTAATCAAGGCCTCGGTGATCCAATCAATCTTATCAAGGCCAAAATATTTCGCCAAGATCAAGCTTAAGTCTAGTTTCGGGTACACAGTCTTTACGATCCAATTGTGCAAGGCTTCTGTCAATTTCAGTTGCAGCAAGATTATCGATCGCCATGGTCTTGGAAGTATTTGGATTTGTGCCACAAAGAACCTCGTCTGATTCAGATTTTGAAACAAAGGCCCCATCCTTTTGATCTAGTTCAGGATTGTCCAACCTTATTTCAAGAAGGGCCACTTTCAGAATAACGTAGTAACTTAGGGGGGGGGGCACATGACTACCGCTGCAAGATGATTGTCTGTTTGGCCCCGTCCCGTTTCATATCATCCCATTCCAATGAATGAGTCATTTCGGGGTTGCGCGCAGGTGGAAACACCTTAAATCGTTCGATTCCCCTTGTGAACAGGTGAAGTGGTCCGAAAAACAGAATGATTACTAATTTGGCTAAATGCTTGCGTTGTTCATATGATGGAAGTACTGATATGCGCATTGATCTTCCCGCGTGAAGAGAAGAAACAACTGGTACGTGATCGCTCTGTTCCCGTCTAGTGCTATTGTTATTATGCCTGGCAATATTGTATTTTTTCTGCACTGCAGTTTTTTTTCAACAAATCAAGCACATAACAAAGTCATTTTGCTGAGCTATGAAAAAATCGGTTGTCCGCGATAATTTGAAATTGCGTTTCCCAAGTTCACTATCTCGCTCTCTCTCTTCTCCGTAGAAACATGGCTTGTACAAATCTTGAACTTTTAAAACAAGCGTAGCGTGTTCCTGGTTTGGGCACAGAGTGTTGTGTTACCTGCGTTGAGCTGGAGGTCGCTAAGTGTACGTGCGCATTAGTGGGAGGGCTTTTATTATTCAATGCATTTCAATACTATCAACTTTGACCCAAATGCGGGCCACATCAGACAACAGGACGGGCCATAATATGGCCCTCGGGCCACGCATTGGACAAGCCTGATCTAGGTAATCTGGTCTCTCTGATAAACATCAAAGTTGGCCAAGTGGTGGATTTATCAGCGTCCTCTTTTGTTTTTTTCTGATCTTTTTCTGCTACTGAAGATGTAAAGGCTGATCAGAGTGAAGATTATAAAAAGTTAAACATAACAACCATAGTTTTGGTGATTATCTGCAGGGTGACAGCTATCTTTTCTAATGATATTATGAACTGATTCTTTCTAACAAATGATCATCCTCATATTTACAACCAATTGGAAAGTAATTGACATTTAAATGTTTACTGAAATCGTAAAAAAGCTCAGATATAATCAGCTTTCTTTCAATTCATTGAAACTGAGTAATTTTGCAGGATTTGGACCCCTTTTAGGTTGTTTATCACATCCAAAAAATGCCAGCTTCAACGTAAAAAACCATTGAAGATATTTTTGCTGGGGGCACCTCTAGGATCCCTAAAGGTCGGTTCTGGAACTTACGACTGAAAAACTTATCCACTATATTTAAAAGGGGTCACTTTTCCAAAAAACCCATTCGCCTTTCAAGACCAACAATGCAGCAATTTTGTACCCTTATTATTTTTTCTTTACCTGCATCCGCCTCTTCTTCATGCTCTTAGTCTTCCATTTTGTCTTCTTCGTTACCTTTTGCCTCGTTTCCTCTCGCTTTTCTTCTTTTCCTTCTTTATCATCTGCTTTTTCTTTTTTGTCTTCTTCTTTTTCCATCTCGTCATCTTTTTCTTCTTCGTTAGCTTTCATCTCGTTTCTTACTCTGAATCTTCTTTTTCCTCTTAGGCTACATCCCTTCTTTGTTTTTTTGCTTGTCTTCCTCAAAGTTTTCTTCCTCTCTTATGTCTTCATCCTCATTTTTGTTACCTTCTTTATCGTTTGATTCGTCATGGTCCCGTTGCCTCCTTCCTATTCTTTGTCTACCTGTTCTTCGACCTCTTCGTCTTCCTCTTTCCTTTTCAAAACGCCTATTCCCTTTTGGCAGATTCGGTGGCCCGAATTCTTGTCCTCCATGTTTTTCGAAAGTTTGGATAAGGCAACAAAACATCTTTACATAAATCATAGATAATAATTTTATAATATCGATAATCATTCCTGATTTGTGATTATTACAAATGCGCTATAGATTAAGCATACCTAATGGAAATGTCTTAAGAGTTTATAGATAATTTCTGTTGCTGTCTTCGTAAGCTGCTATTTCGTATTTGTCCACTCCAAATTCATAAGAGTCAGACACATGCATAAAGCTATGTAAAAGGCTCATAACTCTAAAGACGTATTTTTGAGCTTTTCGAAAACTGTTCCTTACTTATTATTGTTATTATCATTATCATTTTCAATTTACTGAAAGCAGACTTCTAAAAAGAAGCTTATTTACAACTGATTAAAGCTTGCTACAAATTTATACAACCTATATGCAAAGTAAATAGATATAAAAATATACGTGTAATGACATGGGTTTTAGACATTCTTTTCACAGCTGTTTGTAGCTTTTCCATTGCTGTGGATTTTTCAATCAAGGCAACCCACTTGTACAATGTATATCTTACACATTATCCTTTGATTTCATTGTATATATTAGAAAACGAGGGACTAATCTCAAATGATTTTTTTCTCAGTCTGCAATATCGATGATGCAAGTCGTGTCGACTGTGGATGGCATGGCATAAATGAAGCCACATGCACATCAAGAAACGGGTGTTGCTTTGAGCGTTCATCAGCAAGTGGATTTCCTTGGTGCTTTTACAATTCAAGTGAGTATCGTTATGCATAGTTTATCGTGACGTCCAATCTACAAAGTTTTCACTGTCTGTGCTAGTAACAAGGGGGTCACCTGCAAAGCAAGGATACGTCTTTGGACGATTACGCTATAAAGTTACTTTATCAAGAACAAGCATTAACACTTAGTCTTTGCATTTGAAGAACTGGGCCCCAGTCAAAACAGAGTATGGTAGGAAACATGATACTCGATTAGACTTACTCCACGAGCCTCTGTTTCGCTACTGCCTCACTTGACGGACGCTACAACAGATGGAGTTGTCTAGCTTCCATACTGCTCGACCTGATGACGTAATTAGTTTACCCTAAACCTAACCCTAACCCTAACCCTAACCCTAACCCTAACCCTAACCCTAACCCTAACCCTAACCTTAACCCTAACTAAACCTTTACTTGAAATAATAAATAATGCTAATATATGACTATTAATCATGCTTATTTATGACTATCAGGTCGAGCAGTATGGAAACTAGACAATTTCACAACAGATCTGTTATAGCGTCCGTCAAGTGAGGCAGTAGCGAAACAGAGGCTCGTGGAGTAAGTCTAATGCTCGATACCAAACGAAACCTGATGCTCAGCTTATAACGATAAAGAGCGATGTTTAATTCGCCTTATCATGCTTAGTTTGCGTTATTATGTTTATTCGCATAGGTATCTAGATGAAACACACGCATCTTGTTATATGAAACTCAGTTTTTATCCAGTTGTTATATGAAACTCAGGATTATTACCCAGTTTTTTAATTTTTTTGTTGATTTTCTTAAAAGGTTCTTAAGAGGTTTCTCAAATACTTAGTGGTAAAGAGCAAATTTTGAGAAACACGAAAACTTAACAAAATATTAGTTTAAAATAAAACTCATAATCATCTTCGAAAGTTATTATTTCTTTGAAACTTTTTAAAAAGATGAGTTTTCCAGCGGATTCTAAAGATTGTTTTTTGGAAATCTTAGGACTAGATTTTAAAATAGGCGGTTATTTGAAGTTGTAGGAATCTTTTGGAAAAAATGAAAGATACAAGATACAATGCAAATTGTTGAGTAATTCAAGTGTTTTTGACTGGCATTGTAGCATTATCGGAAATTAAAGAAACAAATAGAAAACCTAATCAAATAATCGATAGTGTTATTCGTACGAAACGTATTCTGGGTAACGTTGGATATATATATTCTACTGCATTACATAATGTTATTTTTTTCTAAGCACCAGAAAGCTTAAACAAAAATAGTCAAGCAACTCGTTTTTGTTAGGTCAATTCTTTGAAATTTACAAACAATATTTTGGTGGAACCTAATTTTGAAATGGAGTAGAAAAAAGGAAATGTTTTGAGAAACACTAAAGCTTTTTATCTGACATTCTTCAGAGCATAAAACGTGCAAATAATGATTGAAAGTCTGAACAAAGTAATTCGATCACATCATCACAGAAAGGGCTAGTGAAACAGTTAAAGTTTGTATGTAAAATAAACCAACTTGGTGGTTAGGCCATGAACGTGAAACACTAGTACAGAAAGACGGTTGTCGCCTTCGCAAAAGTGAGGCTGCTTCCTGCTAATAATAACTAGCCAAAGCTAAAGAAAGTTCTTTGTTGGCAAGACCCTTCGTGACTCAGTCTTAAAAAGCTCATTAGAAAATGCCCTCTTTTTTATATTTCGTATATCTTGCATCCTAGATATATCTGCAATTCTGAAGTCAGTATCTGTCTGTGAGCATGCAGGTCCAGCAAGACTTGTTTGCAATAACAATCAAAGAGTGGATGTCCATGATGCGTTTTACGGTCGAAATAGAGATGACGCGTCCTGTCACAATTCCGGCACTGTAACCTGCTTTAACCCAAGTGCAACTGAGATCGTCAGAAGCATATGCAAGATGAATTCTACATGTACCGTGTCACCAAAGGGTAGTATTTGGAATTTCGACTCGAACTGTGATAAGCTTAATGCACAGCTGAAGATTCATTTCTTTTGTGTCGCCAAAGGTAATTGCAGCTCCTTTTCAAATCTTTAAGGAATAATATGCCAAATTTATGTTTAATCAAATAGAATATTAAAAGGGGATTTTAAGGATGCAAAGCCAGGAAAAGAGCAGAAATATGACATTTGATAGTCACCAATGCGCAACTGGTAGTAAGCGAACTTTTTATCGATAAAAATCCTCTCAAATAACTCTTTAAAGTAGCTTTTTCACTCTGAGATTGAAATGGGACCCGCTTGTACAAGCGTATTTTTGTCTAAGAACGCGAAGCTAATAACTGTAAACTACCGAGATAGGGTCTCTGAAAAATGACGAATGATGCTAAAACATCGTACTATGGGTTATAAAAGTTTTGGAGCAGTTTTATTGCGTTATAGTTGTGCCTTTAGAATTATTCCGATAAACAATATTGCGATTAAAGATACCACAATACTTAGTAACACGCTACAAGTTGTCAACCCTCATACTGGACTTGCTCTGAGATGCAGACCCGCAGCATTGTGATTTTTCGTCATTGTGTAGCACTTTTTTCACATTTCTCTCTACAGAATCGTCGATCAATGCGTCATCTTCTTTAGCAACATCTTACTTCGCTATTAACGTCACCACCAGCATATATCGAGCTTCTTCTAGTCCCTCAATTATTTTGACATCCAGAATCGCGCCTAGCTCTTCCTATTTGATGGAAACAACCTCTTTGAAATCAATGGAATCAAGTTCAGGGAGCATGTATACGTCATCGACAGAAGTTGAGCAATCTACCAGTGAAGAATTGTCTGTTTCTACAACAACAACACCAACAGACTGGGAAACTCCTACACAGAGTTGGGTGTTTGAGATGCTGACATCAATCGCAGAGGTCCAGGGCTCTTCATTCCCATCAGATGCGCTACGAATGTCATCAACTTCAAGTCTGTCCTCATCTTTGACTACAGTTACCGATTACCCAACATCATACTCTTTTCCAGAAATGTCTACGTTTTCAGTTGCAAGTAGAAATTCAACAAAGCATCTTTCGTCACCAGTTTCCTACACGTCATCGGTCTTCGCAAGCTCTATTAAGTCTGTTTACAATTCTAGTGCAGCACACTCTAGTGCAGCAACAGCAGTATCAACAGCAGCAGCAACATCAACACCAGCAGCAACGCCCTCAACAACTGCTAATGTGATGGTAGCCACGACAAGTCTTCATGCATCGCCTCCCAGGTCTAGTAGCCCAATGGCCTCTTTGACTTCACAGTCTTCGAGAGTCTCTTCGCGAAGTGGTAGAGCAACAGTATCTAAGCCTACTAGCAAGCAAACAACGAGTATGTAAAATTTTCAATTATTTTTTTTAATGCTAGGGAATTTTCGTAACCCCTTGGTAAGATGCAAAAGACAACAATAACTGATATTGGCCAAGTACAATTTTTGGTCCGTAGAATTAAGACGAGGGGTGTATCACTCCATGAAAGGTGCACGGGGTTTTTTGCGTCTAAGATGCTAGCTACTCGAATTTTACGCTTCATGTGATCATCAGTCAACTAGTTCAGTAAGGTCCTATTCCATTCTCTTCTCCAAGCCGAGGTCCAGACAATTATCTCTGTGCTGCATTGAATACTCTTCAGCCAATCGGTTAACTGCGGTCTTTTTAACTAGATTGGAAAATTGTAAAGTTTTATGCCAGTTGTGTCAAGTTTTATAGAAACTCGATTGCTTTTAGTAGTGAAGCTTTCCTGTGAGGAATAACTTAAGATACACATAGAAATATTTTATTTGAGGAAACATAAATCGTTTCAGATTTTACACCTAACCAGCCTTGCTTAGTAACTCTACATCGGTTTTGAAACAAGCCTTAAGCCTTTGTTTGGCAACATATTGTACTAGTGCATGGCCTTGCTCAAGTTCCATTTTTGTCACAGTTCTCTCCATTAGTAACCATTTACATTATATGACTTAACTCAGCTATAGTTACAGCAAATGGCATATCTTCAATTTTCAGTTCAAACTGATAAAATTTCACCAACGAGTAGTGCAGTTTCCTCTGGTGTTTCACCGTCCATAACAGTAGTTGAAAAGGAAGACAGATCTGCAGGCAAATCAAACAGACAGACAGTGATTGTGGCTGGGGCTGCTGGAGGGGGCTTTCTACTTTTTATCATAATCATCATTATTGTCTTGCTGGCAAAGAAAAGGCCTTGCGGTTCGCCATACAAGTAAGTTAACTGAATGCATTTTAAACAGAAATAACCCCCTTGTTGCTATCGTTAGCCTCGCTCCCGCTTCTTGACACGTGCAAGTGAAACTAGGACATCCGGGACATTTATAGATTCATTAAGGGCTCACCATTTGGGCTCACATGCTGAGATTTTCTTTGCTGCAGCAATGTTAGTGAAACTTTGTATCAATATGAGACCAGGTAGTCATGGCAGAAACTTGCTGTGCGTAATTGACTAGTTGCCACTAAGACATAATCGAGCCAGAAGGTACAAGTTTGCCTCTCAAATTTCTGCCTTTTTGTTAATTTATGCATCCATCTCGATTTCATACTTCATCCATACTTCAAGGGATTTAAGTTATTTTTGGCATTACATTTTGATGTTCTTTACCATTGCTTGTCACTGAGTTTTATCATTTCAAATGAAAGCAAAATCCTCCGCGCAGAATAGGTGACGTCATTTCCGAGAATTTGGCCATCAATTGATCAAACGGTGTACTGATGGGGCGCGTTTACATCTGGTTAAGCTAATGTCTTTATTATTGAATTTGGAGATATGTTCGTGTCACTAAACCCAGTCATCTGAGGCTGATAGAATTAATTGTCACAATTTGAAGTCAGAATTTGAAGCGCTTTTCCTTCTTCTAAAAAAATTTGGTGTTTTTGATTTTCTGAAGAATTCTTGTAAATTGTATTTGACTTTTTTCAATTTTATCGAAATTTATTCCTTCCAGAAACGAGCTTTTAACAGACCATTTGTATGTGATGAGCACGGGAGGCGACGAGCAAATAGCAATGGATGATGTAAAAGAATCGTAAGTGAAAGGCTTAATATTCTACATGAACCACGAATAACAGTTCTACTTTTGACCACGTTCTGTAACAAAGTATCGCATATATACTTGAGGTATATTTTGTTCTCACTCGACAGGGTGCGTTTTTGACTAATGTTTTGGAACTAGTGAAACTAATTGAATCAAAGAGAATCTTGAATAATTAGAGGAATCAAGAGGAATCTAGCCTGAAAGGAATAGAAGCATACAATTTTCTACTGAAATATCAAGAAAAGGTTATAGAAACATCAATACAGAAAGCAAGAAGAGTAGACTTAGGGGCTTTTGTTTCAAAATATGGTTGAAACTTTTTAGCAGATATTTGTCATTTGATAAACTTCTGATATACTTGTTTGATGCAAATAATTTTTTTATTCTAGAACTGTGGTACATCTCAGTACAAAGCATTTAGGAGGGTTAGTATGCAATCTGATTAGGGAAGAAGGGGGGAGGGCAAAGATTGACGAGGACAAAGGGGGTGAATGGGAGGGAACAACCGAAGCTTTGAATACACTAGAAACCTGAATACCGATGGCATCTTCTAACCCAAGTGATGGTTCTTAAGTTTCCCTATAGGATTCAATCGCTTTATCGATTCAGTTTATTTTAGATTTAGATTCGATTCAATTTAATATTGTTTACAAAGTGCTAACTGCTTGTATAGAAAGAATCTTGTGCAGCCAAAAAGGGCTTTGATGTGTTCCAGAAATTAGTCATGGCTTCCATTGTGGATTATCTCGTTGTGTAATAACAATTTGTAATAAATCACGTCGCTATGCAACTGTAACTAACAGTTACTTTCTCTTGTTAAGGTACAAGAACGAGGCTGTTCAAGAGGATGATGAAGAGAGCCCAGTAATATACAACAACAGCTTGTACTCTTTCGTACCAAAACAGGCGAAAGATTGAAGAAACTTATAACAGAAAACTAATTTATTGAGCTGGCAAATGAAGAAGACTCTGTCAAATTTCAAGAAAAGAAAGCACCCACAGAGAATTCATAAGCCATTACATTGTACCTTAGCTTATATCATGTCGAATATTTAAACTTGATCTTGTCCCCCGTTTTCCTTAATGAGTCGTCATCAAACCTCTTGCAAACCGAAATCAACTATACACCCCAGGGGGTCTCCCATTAAGGCCTGACCGGGGGCTCCAGTTGATTTGAGGGTCATACCAAATAGCTACCCAATGGCCCAGTTTCGATGATAACACAAGGGCTTAGTTTAATTTGCGATTTACTATAGGTCTTAATGGGAGTACCCCCTGGGCTATAGACGTTTTTCGAACGCCACTCTCCATGCTTTTTATGACTATATGCACCCACTAACAAATGATGCATTATATGATTTTCAATTACAATGAAACATTTTAGAAATATTTTGCATCCCTTTTAATTTTTGTTTTTGTGAAACTCTTACACAGTTATAGTAGATGTCCTGTACTGAGATTTCTCAAAAGCCATTCTTTGGTTTTAGAGATGAAGGTAGCCCTTACCTAAAAACTTTGCGCTTGATAAAACTAGGCATTGGAGATGTTAACTCACACAGAAAAGCACATTATTGCTTGGTTACATTGTGTTAAACAATTCTATAACGCAATTTTAGGTCACTTGCAGATATGAGCCTTCACGCTAGATGTATATTAGTATGGTGTAGTTCGTTGAACTTTTCCACGCAGTGATATGATTATCATTAATCTCTTGCTTGAAGTTCTGATGTTTTAGGGTCATATAACGCTTTAGCTGGCTAAAGACAATTTTTTGCTACGAAATTGATAGATATTGAATAAATTTAAAATTATATGAGAAAATATTGATATTTTAAGAAGCACTTCACTTGAATTTGTTCAAATTGTCCAGAAATGGAGACCTAGATTTTGACCCTTATGGAGTAAGGAATTGAGTAATTCTTAGGCATTAAAGATACGTCAAACAGACCTCCCTTTTGATAACCTTAAATGTTGATATGGAGTAGAAATGAAGCAGTATTTTGACATGCTTTCCAGACATAGGATTATAAAGAGATCTTCGTATCACTCACACCACCCAGGAAATACGTTTTCAAATCCTTCAACGCATCTTGTCTCCATTTGTGGGCACAACCACGTTTGTAAATAGAACTGATTTATATTTTGCAACTCGGCTTTATTGGTGTATTTGCCGATTGGATTGAAGAAATTCCTTGTAATTTATTTTATGAACATCTTGTTGTTTTAAAGCGTTTAAATCTCGGTCAAATTTCTTCTGTTCTACCATAATTCAAGTACATGCATTTGTATAAGAAGCAGAACTCTGGATTGGTATTCACTTAATGTTTTTCACGGTTTTCTTAGAGACAAAGAGTCTCTCACGGTTTTCTTAGATACAAAGTGCTAAATTGCTACATTTTACAAAAGGAAAATCACCAAACATGAAATAGAACACCTAATCGGTTGCAATTATTGAGGCAAATCTTACTATAATAGAGGCAAATTGAAATAGCTACAACCCTCACCAAAAGTTTTTGGAACACCCTGCAGTCGATGAAAGATTTTGATGAAATAAAAGTTTCCGGCCGTAAGATCCCCCCTCCCCCAATACAATTTTCATTGGTTGAAATTCAAGCTTTGAAACTGTTGTTATTCAACATTATTCCAAGGGGGAGGGGCGGATGCTACTGAACTTATGCGAAATTTTAGCCTAGTGTGCCAAGACTTCTGGCAAGCATTGTAGCTTATTATAGACAAGAATCTTTTCAACTCATCTTCAAAAAATTGATTTTAGCAGTTTCTCAAATTTTATGGGCGATCAGTACTGTTTCTTTTTATTTTTTATCATCTTAGCGTCTGTTCTCTTATAAAAATGCGTTTCTTAAAGTTTGACCTTTGATTCATAAGCTGAGAGGTAGAGGCTAAATAAAGGTAGGCAAAAACTGGGACTGAATCCAACAAAACATTTGTTCGCATAAACACTCAAATACTTTTTAGGTTTAATAACAATATATATTTTTCAAATTTCTACAACCCGACAGTTCGCAACAACAAAACAAATGACAGCAAGACTGACGTACGTCTAAATTTTAAGAATCGGTACAAAAGCCACAACTTAAATCGCCTACAAAACTATACAAAAATGGTAGTGACACAACTCGCTGAGGCAGACTGATTAAAAAGAGACACAACGTTTTGCAGGCATCCAACAGCTGATCTAAATTCAAAAGTCGTCTTACAGTGGATCAAATTTTAAGCGTTATGTTGCGGTTTGCCTTCAGCATTTCATTGTATAATGGAATATAACTTGTAGATTATAGAACACAACGGATTTGACCTATGAGTGGGATCACATGTCCACCAAAAAGGGGAATGGAGTCTATCCGGTTTAGGGGAAGGTTTTAGACTGGAAACTAGCCTGAACGCGATGATACATCTTACAAATGCATTTATGTTCCATATGCAAATGAATGTATAATCGGACATTGTACGAAGAATGGTGTCACTTTAAGGGTGTCACTCTAGACCAACATTTTGTGCAAATCCATCAAAAACGTAATGTCGTTGGGGCTCAACGACTAACTCAAATGCGTTTAAACACCCTTGGTATCACTGATCACTTCCTCAAAACGTTTCTATCTTTTATAAAAACTGGGACTGACTAATACACAAACAAACTTCAAAACTTCAAAGACGAAATGAGTAATTTTGGATTTTACGGTGTATAAAGCGAAAAAGATGCCGCAAACTGAAATTTGTACAGTTAAACAATTATTTATAATAGAATTCATCTAGAAATAAATCTAGTCTCAACTAACTACAACTATCATTTCGACGAAAATAATACATGACAAGATCGAATTCCACAGAATTGGATCATTACTGTTTACCGCAATCAGTTACGACACTTTTAAGTGCAATTTATAGTTTTGAAACCTCTCGAATGGGCATTTAAATGCACTACAATTATTCTAACTGTTTTTTCATAAACTGCCATACAATTTGTTCCAATCTTCAAACTGCTTAATGGAAGCCTTTGAAACGCTCGGTCTTATGGCATCCATTGACTTGAGAAGGTCTTCGACTTTCAGTTTTCGTACCTGATTAAGGAAGAGACAGGCTCAAAATGCTGTGACCCGACCCTAAAATACTGCCGGCGTGTTCAGGAATTTTTGCATTGCGTGAAGATGTTTTAAAAACTGTCGATAAATCGTAGCACACGCAAACAACACGACCGGAGAGGAGGTAGGTCTGTGTTCGTCACTGAGCTAGTTCAGAAACTTTTCTTCCGAGATAACAATTTGGTAAAAATGCACAGAAAGGAATGAGTGCTTTGAAAATGGCACTTCTTTTGTTTGTTACAATTTCCTAGGCACGGTCATTTTCATCAAAATGAAAAAGAATTAGAAAATAGCACGAAAAAGCGAAACATGTCATGCAAAAGTACTTTTCGTCTGACACTCGTTGGAATATAAATGTCGGTCAATGCCCAAAGGTAAACAGAAAATGTATACCTTGGACTTTATCCGACGTTTTTACCCTGACGAGTGTCGGACGAAAAAAACTTTGTTATGAAAAGTTTCCGCTTTTCTGTGTTATTTTCAAGTTTGGGGTACCGAAGGCATATTTGGAAAACGAATTAAAAAGTCTTGCGAACAAACGGATATAAATATCTTCAAATCATTCCATTAAAAAAAGATTCCATTCTGAAAAGCGCTTTCAATTACAGACCCGCCGTTTACACAAAGTAGGTAAGTAAAAATGCAGGACTTTCACTTGGAAACGTTTTGGTGCAGTCAAGGGTTTCAATTGTCTTAAGGCCAAGGTGCGCCAGTGTTGTGACACATGCAACGTCGGCTTAACCGCAGTCAAAAAGTAGCGTAAATTGGCCACTAAAGAGGCGACGAGATCTCAACAAAGTCGTTATATACGTACCTTGTCCGCGGGTAGAGACTTGAGAAGTTCACAGTCCACTTCTACGAACGCAAGGAATAGATATCAAACCAATGAAGTCTGGCAACCTAAAGAGAGCTCAAATGACAAGGCCTAAAGTTAATTGACCAAAACCCATCCCATAAATCACATGTTCTGGACTCTGGACAAGACATGACGAAATTGAAGAATATCAGGATTAATGACGATTGGTAAACCGATCCCTAGCATTTCAGTCTAACAATTCGATTCATACAATATTCTGTTTCGCAATAAAACTATTACTGGTCACTTCTTCTGACAACCGAAAGGGGAAGCTGGTTATGTAATTATCAGCATTGACTATAGCCTTTTTAAAAGTCCACTTGCTACGGTAAAAAAACCTTTTTCGTTTTAGACATTGGAATCCACGTTTTGAAATGATAACATAAGGCCGAAGAAGAGCAGCCATACAAGTCCATAGTAAAAAGCTATATGAAGCGTGCAATATGCTATCTTTATTGAAAGAGCCTTAAACAAACAAAGGCTGTAGAATTTGAAGAAAACAACAAAAAACGGTATTTAAAAATCCAACTCACCCCTAAGTGGCATAAGGGCTGATTCCCGCGCCAACGCAGCAAGATCACTGCCAGAATAACCCTCTGTTTCCCTGATAGCAAAGATAAATTTTGCTTATTGTATTGCATACAGGTATACTGTAAACCTGTGTCAAAGGCGTTCGCTGGTTTTCGTGAGCCAATTTATGATTTTGAGATAACACTGGTTTAAAGAACTATCTCATAGTCAGTGGCGGACAACCTGGGGGGCGAGGGGTGGGGGGCTTTCGCCCCCCAATACTTTAGAAAACAATAGTCTTTTGTTCTAAGACAATGGGAAATATGATGTCATCTTATTAAAACAATAGGCTTGCCCTCCAATATTTGACCAAGTATCCGTCCCTGCTCAAAGTTATACAAATTGGTTGCGATCCACAACATTGATAAACAAGTAAGGCACAACTAAACACTTGTGAAAAGACAACTGGTCTCTTGCAATCAGTCTATTGAGGCTTCACTTCAGATCCTCCCCCCAGTTTTATCTCTACCATAGAAGAACACATGCACCAATTTTAAATGAGGAAAAAGGGGTTGATGTGTTAACAGATGTTATAAATTCTGCAGCGATGTGAACAAAAAGGAAAATAAAAATGAAAAGCCGAAATCTCAAGAAAGGGAACATACCTTGCTACTCTGTCCAGCTCGTAACTGTGCAACGGAGAGCCCTCCTTTACAAGAAGTTTCTCTAGAATTTGCTTTCGAGTCTGTTAAAAGAATAAAATAGAAGGGTTGACATGCATTTTAGATAACTAATGTAAATATGAGCACATAAACTATACATAAGATTAACCTAGCCTGTAAAAAAGGAAAAAATGAAGGCTCTATCAAAAATGGTGTTGACGAAAGATACTGTATTGTTTTCAAGTCCAGAGAAGATATCTGCAATAAAATCATACTCAATATTGTTCTTGCAAACAAATTGGGAAACTCTCACTTACATTGAAATCCGGTAGCGGAACATAGACTCTCTTTACAAATCGCCTGTAAAATAAATGTTTTCTTAATCTTACGTATCAAGGCAATCGTCGACTAAGATGATCAGTGAATAGAGATACATGTATTTATTAAAACCTGTCTCGAGACCTTTTTGACTGCTCAGTGGAACGGGGGTAAATCACGAAATCAAAAAGAAATACATCAATGCAAAGAAATACAAAGCAGGGAACATATAATTTAACACTGTTTGAACTATGAAGAATATCAAGGGTTTGGTTACTCGCAGGAGTAACGATAACCATTTTGGTGGACAGTAACCAAATTAAAGCCAACACGGATTGAAAATTCGATTAGGCCTAATCCCCTAGAATAATACTTTGGATTAGTTGTTGAATCTAATACCGAGAAAAGCTAGTAGATACCTTTCAAAAGTAGACATTTCTATGCTTTAAATTTTATCTAAAGTCTAATTAATGTATAATGACGATTTTACGTGTTGACGATTTTAGAAACAAACTAAATCAAAATAGAGGAGGTAGAGATGTGAGGATAAGTTTCAAGACAGAAGAAGGTTGTTTGAAGACACGTCCATAAGAGATGCGATCAATATAAATCGAAGGATTCCGTGTAAAGATCCTCGCTCAGCAAAAATAGTTACCTAAGAGCTGCATCATCGAGTTCCCAGGGTCGGTTAGTTGCAGCCATGATCAAGATACGATCAGCTGTGTCGCTCATCACCTGTTGATAAAAAATTATTCGATAAAAAGCGTTGTTTCTATCAGTCATTGGATAGTCTTTTACATAGCTTCTGGAGCAAATACATGTCATTTATCAATGCAATTCACAACGGAATGAATATAGGCGTGCTACATCTATTGAAGTCTACTGTATCAGTTCAATATGGAGAGAAGTACCCATATAGTGTCCTTATATAGTTAGACGAGAGACGAGACTACTACGGAACGACTCGGTATCAAAAAGCACAGGAACATAGAAACGGCACTCAAGGAAACTTAGCAACGGTTAATTGTAAAAGCGACGACCTTTAAAATTTTAAGTCTGTGTTGGCATTATACCTAAGTCTTATGATAACAAAAACCTGATGAACACAAGGTTTGGTATGGGCCTGTTGAAATAAAATACTGGATATTGTCACCATATTTTAAATAATCACATTATTCTAGAGAATGACATAGGTCATTGATTGAAGACAAAGTTGTGGGGAGATCAGGGGAGGAGGAATAGGGAAAGGGAATTAAGAGGGTAAATACGGAGGGGGAGAAAAGGAAGGATAAGGACTTACACCATCAAAGCTGACGAGAAATTCAGTTTTCAGTCGGCGGCTCGATTCATGTTCTGATTCGCTTCTTTCTTTCAAAATGGAGTCAACCTCGTCTACAATGAAAATAAGCCCTTATAAATCAAACATTGAATTTAAAAGAATTTATTGAAACAATACGATGTTTTCGCTGTTTGCAACAGTTGACGATATTTTTCAAAGTGAGATTTTATAAATTTAACAGTTCTAAGCTATCATAATACCTAATTTCATTTCGGAATGCAGGGTAAATAACTTTTTACAACTTTTTCTGCCTGAATTAAGTCATTTGACAGATAAACTTGCTTGAGTCGACTTTGCTTATGTCGAAGTAAAATAAAAGTATATTTTTACTTTTTCTTAGTACATTTTCAGAAATCCTGTTCTAGGTCACTAAAACTTAGGTGTTATTTTTGCCATTTTTATTACTATAATTCCTGCTTGTTACTTGGATTGTTAAATTTGGACAATTTTGGATTAAAGACCACTCCAGAATCCGATAAAAAGACCTAGTCCAACTATTATAGAAAAAAGTCTAAATTGCACCATTGACATGCATAGCCAGAGTGGTCTTGCATGCAATAGTCTCAGAAATGCAATGAAAGGGATATATCATATAAAGATTGCCTTCGTCATGTTGTTTGACAAATTGAAATGTTTACAGACAGCTGAATACGTCACAAAAGTATAAACAAAACACTCGGGCAGCAGCAGCATTTTTGTATCATGTGCCACGAGAAAAGGTTTACCAACGCATTACTTGAATGGCGTACAAGTGGAAGGGATGATTACGAAATCAGAAGGCCGAAAAATTACTTATACAATAGATGCCAATATACACTATTCATGATACTTAAAACACTATTATACGAGGCAAAAAAGTTCGTTAAACGAAATGAAAATAGGTATTACAAACCCATAAAGACTATAGCAGGCTGAAGTTCTCTCGCAACTGCAAACATGGCCCTTACAAGCTTCTCGCTTTCTCCCATCTGCAAAATTAATGTTAATAGTTAACAATATCCTACATTTATAATATTGAATCATGATATCAAGCTCAGTCATACATTGATACATACTAGTAACGTCTCAAATAGCAGAAAAATTAAAAATGAGGTGACTGATCCACTGGCTTTGCACTAAATATTGTATTGACGAAAGAATTGTAACAAGGAAATGACTTTAAGAAAGATAACAAAGCTTTTCAGGGCTTTTCATTGGATTAAAGTAGCGACTAAGGAAAGAGGGAATTAATGAGATACAGCGATATTCAGTAACATAAAGAGCACTAATAAAGAAAGCAATGATCATACAGGCAGTAACGTTTTAATGTCAGTATCTATTCTTAAAATCAAGGTAATAATTTTGAAAGTTTCTATTTGGCCTTTTACAATCCTTCCTGTTTTAGATCTATGTTCTGACGTTTCATACTCAGCAGACGGAAAGCTCAAGTATATTTCAAAGAAATTGCATTGCATTTTGCAATGTTTGCATTATTCAAACTTTGAAAGTATAAAAAAATCAACAAATCTGATATTTTTTAAGTATAAAACAATTATTTCTGAAAAAGTACTCACCCACTTGGATGTTAACGAGGCTACGCTGATGTTAAAGAAAACAGACTGGGCCTCAGTTGCAACTGCTTTGGCCTGAAATTTAAATCCAGTTTTATGAGAATGAGTTTCAATTTTCAAAAAACAAGGCCCAAAACCCGCAAATGCATTAACTACGACGGAAAATGTTTCCCTCTTATAAGTAGAATACGCAGCGGTTTGTTGCCAGTAGCATATTTGTTGACTGTCTCGAAGTTTGTTTCAATTTCAATGACTCGAGATAATGAAAATAACTGATACAGCGAGCCTTTACAACTAAAAAGGTCAAAACCAAAAAGAAAAATGAAAAATATAAACTAACATTCACATTGCTAGCACCAATTGGTTGGCAAATACCACATAATTGGGGGTTGGTATATTGGCATCTATGAACTTCGTAATGCTGGTTTTTTTATAGCATTCTGGCATTGAAATTATACCTTGGGAGTTTGGAAATTACTGTTTTAACAGTTTGTTATAAAGTGCTCGCTTTACAAGCTGTATACGCTTTTGGTGTTAAAGGATGGTTCTACGGTTCTATAAGTTGCTACTCCGAGCTTCACGCTTACTGCACTTGTCAGGCAACTGTCAGTTTATAAAATAGTTTTGTCCCTTTTGGAATATCATGAAAATTAAGGGATTTAATGTTCACAATCACAAATTTTTTATAGTTATGCTCGCTGTTACAGGGATAAAGAGCACTGAGTAAACATAAATATTGATCTATGCGATGAATGAGCAGTGTTGAAATATTTTTGCCCATTCCAAATGCATCAGGAATCTCGCACATCTAAAAATTTTAAGCAATCATGAAATATTCCTTTAATGCTAGTATATAAATCTTTTGGCATAAAATAGTAAATACTTTGATGATAAAATCTGATATAAAATATTTTACAAATTTTGGCATCTTTTTCAAATTTCGTTAGCATATCAGGCATTTTCTGTCAATATCTTTAGCAACAAGCAAATGCAGCGATCTGCCGACACTGTAATCAGTTTCAGATTCTACGGATGCTTTCATGGTTAGAGAAAGGAAGAAACTGCATCTTTATTTTAACAATGCAGAAAAGAGCATATTATTATATTCACCACAAAAATTACCAAAAAGCCACCAAGTTCAGTAAAAATAAAGGATTTTTATGAATCGAAATTCGTACATTTTAATTCCTTACTTCACAACAATTTGGTCAACGCCTTAGAGAACTCAGAAAATAAACGAAGACTCACCAACAATGTTTTCCCATTTCCAGGAGGACCAAATAACAAAACTCCCTTTGCTGGAGCTCGCAAACCAGTAAATAACTAAAATAAACGGATAAAAGAAGCTATTAACATTTCATCTAAGTAAAATAAGAGTTATTGCGAAACCGATGCAAAGAAGAAGGTCACTTGAAAAGAAGGGGTTTGTGAGAATCTGACTTTTCACAGGCTTCACGGTGCAATAAACACACGAATAAAAGAAAATGAATCTAAACGACTTCAATCTCAAGTTTGCAAGCTGTAAGCCTATTACAGAATAACAATACTAGCCAAATATTCTGTTACAATTGGCTAAAAAACAAATATTCTACAAAAACAACGGCCGCTTTTAGCTAGCAGCAACCTATAATTCACTTCTTTGTCAGATCAGATCATCAAATATTTAAGCAATGATAATTGATGCATGCATCACCCTAGCTTACGCTTAGTGATAATTAAGCAGACAAGCCTAAAGCATGCCAAATGTAAAATAAATTGTGTGATTACATGATTACATTGGGTGCTTAGTTACACAATATATTATAGATCCCAATCTATGAGCTAAATATAAATGGTAGGTACATAGGCAAGACAGCAATTTTTTGCATATTCATTCATTGCTTGTCAGTATTTTTCAAAGAAAATAATTCAGCTCGTAGTTTGGGGAAACGTAAAAATATATATACGTTCCTATGTGTGAAATTCTCAAACCAAAAATTCATAAATAGTGAAAACAAGTAGGCTATAAATTGTGCCTGTATAAGTACCATTTAACACTATTTCAATGATAATTGTTTTCAATATCAAATATAGATGGTACCTCAGGCCTTATGGTTGGCAAAATAACAATTTCTTTCAAGATGCGTTTTGCATTGTCAATTCCACCTAATGAACAGAATAAAACAACCATGAATCTTAAATAATGAATAAGATAATAAACAATTATATATTATCAAGGAATTTTACATGCTAGCTAGCGAAAAATGTCTTGGTCATCACATCATGTAATTTGTGCAATTATACGGGCTAGCACCAGTACATTGAGCAAATTCGCCTAATCCCGATGGATCTGATTTATGTGGGTTTGACTGTATTACATATTCATCAAGTTAAGTTGAAATCCCCTTCAGCTTATGTCGGAAAACGACAAGCCAATTTATGTATAATTGAAAACACAGCAAAAGTCATTTTAATCGCATATTTGGGAAATTATCGTTTCAAATAGAATCAAGATGATTTGATTCTTTTTAAAAGCATTTTGACATTCTCAGCAGCAACAAAAATTTTCAAAATGAAGGCCAGTCATTTTCACCATATCCACAACGTATTTCTATCATGTTGTTACTTTGATGCGAAGCAAACATTGAGAGTAGAGCAAATTTGCCAAGTGTTCTGAATGAACCATCATTGCTTTGTTATTGCAGTTGTACTTGTGGTTTTGTAAATTCTCTATTAGCAATTAAAAACAGGCTGGAAGGTCAGAGTGTGACAAGCACCGATGAAAGATATTCAGATACATGCGGTTTTCCATGCACATGTGGTATTTTCCTTGGGGTAAAGACTGGCATTAACATGTTCATTCCTGCTAAATTCATAAACAGACCAAAATGCGCAAAACAACGTTAGCTTTTCTAAAAAAATTCAAATCTTACCAATGTCATTGAATGATACTCCTGGACCCCTAAAACAAAATAACAACAAAGTGAGTTGCAGTTTTGTTTCTGAGTGTGATAACACATCTTTCAAACAATCATTTGGTTATACAGGCACAAAATCAGCTCACTACTCAAGTTTTTTTATAAGATAGTATCATTTATGCTACATACATGATACAGATAGATTACGCATGAAAGGTTAAAAAACATTTGAATACAAGCAAGATAATTTTTGTTATAAATGATCTGTTATAAATGCTATGATGGTTATAAAGAAAGAATAGACTATTCTAAAAAGGCTTCACACCCATTTTTAATTATAAATACGACTTGTGAATATAGTGTTTTTGCCTTTGAGAGTACTCAATCCTAACAGTAACATTTAAACAATAAGAAAACTTTTAGAAGAATAACATTTTGAACTGTTTTATTCTTCATGATCAAACAAAAAGAATGAGCTTACTTTTCAACAACTTCATTCAAAATCATGTTTGCCATTTTGTTGTCAACATTCTTTAAATTCGAAATTTTGCTTTTATGATCCTCTGGGGGTTTTGGAGCTTGTTTACCTCTCTGGGCAGGGACCTGTCTTGCTTTTGCAACAGGCCTGTTTGGTAGCGTCTGAGTTCTCTTCACCTTACTTGTTGTCTACAATGAAAAATGAAACATTATGAACATTAAATAAATATGAAGAGGTATCATAGATCCTGATGATTGTTTTTTCAATAAACATAATAATTTGAAATCATTCGAAAACACAATAATATTTGAAAATTTATCGTTTTTTGTTTGATTTCTTTTATTAAGAAGAAAACTCAAGTTTTTGAAGATGGATGCGTGTAGATTTGGTTTCAGACCATTTCATTGTACAAAATATCCTACCCAGGACCCAGAGATGTGGTGCTATGGGAGCTCAAAAGTTGATACTCAGCCTGAATTTCAAATGTTTACAACATCAAAATCTCTTGATGTATTTGCATCATATTGCAAAGTTGGCTGGTAAATTCATGGCATTGCTTTTCCTAAGTCCAGCATTAAATTACTGAATACACACTGCTTCTCCTAAGTCCAGCAGGAAATTACTGAATACACACCGCCAGAAGTTCATAAAATTCCTGGATTTAGAAAATACATACTTCATTCTTTTATCAACTTTTAATAAAATAACCTTGGATTAGCTTATAAAAGACAATTGCAAGTGTTGCCTTTAGAGACACTCTAAAAAATCAATGGTTTGAATTAAAAAATGACCATCTATTAGAAGTTTTAAAAAACATGGCAAAAGCATGGAGCTTCAGGCTTGTAGCTGTGCTTTATTCTATTTTAGAGTTGTCTCAAGTAAAGGTTGGCTTTTTGCAAATTCATGAAAAATTCTGAATCTTCTACCGTGCTTGTGTCATTGAACAAATTCTCAAAAACTGTGTATTCTGTTTAACCGTACTAACAAAACTTTTATTGCCATGCACGAAATCCAGAAACAAATGAAGATAAAAAACCGACCGAATGTCCTCTTGGACTTAGATTTCCAGCATTGCTCCTCAGTTTATCTAATTTAGGAGACGTTGCTTTGTGTCCTCTTGTCAACTGCTTTCTCAAATCATCTGGCTTTGCATCTTTTGCTCCAAGAATTCGTGGGGATGGTAAAGATGGCTTGCGTTTCTCAGGAGACCTTTCAATTCTTTGCATAATCTCACTCACATCTATACTACTTTTTCGTATGGAACTTTTTCTTGGACTATTTGGGCTCAGTTTTTTTGTAATATTAGCTTGATTTACACTGTTTTGATATGATTCTACAACTGCATCTAAAAGAAAAGAAAACATCGTCAAAATTTTCTATCTACAGAAAACAAAAAACATATTAAATGTTTGAACAAGGTGTTGCACCAGTTTGATGAATTAGTATAGCAGCATAATAGACAAAAGGAAATTGAAAGTTTAAACAATTTTTGTTAAACCATTAAGTGTCATTGTATAATTAAAAACAGATCATAAACTATTGGCAATGCTTTTAATCTTAAATGTGGAATGAATCAAATGTGAAGCCGTCAAGTGTGTGGAAAGTGGCTCATTTTCAGCAGTGTATGGTCCCTTTTTCAATGCCTTTAAGAGAAACTGGTGTTGCTATTTATTGTGGATACTTTATGGCATACTTTGCACACTCGATAAATTAATAAAATGCAGCATTATTTTAAAATTGGAGTAATTTTAGCAGCTGAAATAATCTTTGCATCATTGGCCTATAAATATCTCATTCAGTAGGCCTTTCAATAATGAATAGTCTTCCATGACTTTAGGAGGTCTTTTTCTGCCATCAATAAATGTTTACACAAGGAGCTCGCAAATTCGGCTGGCCAAGTTTCAAGAAGGACCCTGTCCTAGGTGGCCGAATATTTGCACGTCTTAAAGACCAAATCTGTGGTCGTTTAGCCGGCTCCTTGTAAACACAAGGTCTAAGTGACCAAAAATTTGACCTATAAAATATTTGGCTGGTCCTGTGTAAACACAGCCTTATTGTTAAGACGAAACAACAAGAGCATTAAAAAAATTCCATGTAAGATATTTGCATCTTACTAGCAAGCTTACCAAAATCAGGTTTAAATACACTAAAAGAAAATGCAGCATATTTGTGTGAACTCTGTGGTCGATGAAGTTCATTTTCAAGAAAAGCTTCTTTTAAATATATATATTTGCTTCTGGGTGTGTGAAGGTTTTTGATTGGGCATGAACTTTGGTGCTTTAAATAGCTGGAGATACAAAATACTTCATGTACAAGGCAAATAATTTCAGCAAGTTTCATTTTTGTAAGACCTTTTTTATCTTTGAATGCTGAAGGAACAAGAGCCATTAGAAAATTGCTTACAGACAAGATTTGGCCCACTGGCCATAGGTTGCCTGTCCCTGAGCTATTCAATTATAAGTTGCTTAGTTGCTTAGAAAATTCTTCACTTACTGAGCTCCTCTAATCGGGATGTACAATAGCGTAAATTAGATTCCATCTTTGTCTGAAGATTTCTCGCTCTGTCCCATTCTGAACCTGAAATGGGAATTTACCCAGTTAATGATCTTTAGCCAAAACCAATAATTTTTGACAGCCAAGATATCTTTTACAACTTTTGAATGGACTAACAGATGTAATCTAAAAATTTAGTAATCTAAAGTTAGTAATTTAAAATGTAATGGACTAACAGATGTAATCTAAAAATTTAGTAATCTAAAGTTAGTAATTTAAAAAAATTTCAATTTGTGGTAAATCCAATGCAGACCTTCTTTCAATAGAATATTTAGTCCATTCAATAGTTATTCTTTCAATAAAAATTTTTATCACAATTTAAAAACTAATGCAAAAAGCTTATTAGCCGGGAAATTTATACTGGCAACATGGTTCTAGAGTTACTAATATATAAATTTAAAAAGTTAATGAGTATCATAGAGAAATGATGTCCAGGCTTTAAATTTGTGAAACATCATTTAAATGTGGCTTGTCATTAAGCTTCTTTGTAAATAATACATATAAATATAAATATGTTGACTGTACCTTCTCCATTGAGCTGAATCCCTATTCCATTTACAAGTTCTCTAACACCAAGGTTATACAATCCAATGGCCTTCAATTTTGCTTCTTGATCACCTGGTAGACAAGATTTGTATACATTATCTTTATGACCTGAATACAAACTTGTGCATGAATTAGCTGATAACAAGAAATAAGTTAAAGTCATCCTTAGTTATTTCTATTAATATTTAATTGTTTCTAATTTAATTTGTTTGAACTGTTTCTGTTTACTATTTGTCATCATCCTTATTTCAAGATTTGGGGAATCCAGCATTTTTCCGTTTAAGCCTTTTGGCACATTACAATAAGAAGCCAAACTAAGAATGTGGAGAGTAAATCCTGAAAAATAGCAAAAATTGCACATACATGCATACATTATGAAATGGAAAATGCCTATGATTGCAAATTCCTATACAACATTTGGAATGTCAATAATCCAAATTTATTCTTTCATGTACAGGCCTTCCCTGTACTCGCATGCGCTGGTACACGCCTCCTTACACTGAGAAGTGCATTTAATCCCATGCCTGTTTTGTAATTATTCAATTGTTTTTTAATCATACTTTGAGCAAAATACAACTTGTGCCATATTTCTTTTGATCTACACCCTTAAATTTGGCGTCTTCAGCAAAGAAAAGTAAAGGAGTCACAAAAGAGCTTTCCACACTCCTGAATTGGGCAAGGGTGACACTATAGGCTATCCTATTTCGACCCACAAAAATAAGCAATATGTAACAAAGATTTGGTGCACATAACCAGATCATCAGGCACCCATCATTCTAAGAGCTGCAGCGTTCTACCTTTGCCGATGGCCCATGCTGGACAGCTCGCTCTCTGCACGCTATAGGTTTATGCCAGTGATTTTAGCATCCAGTTCCTACTGCCAGCTGGGTTAAATGTAAACAATGCACCACGTAACAATAAACAATCCTACCCAGAAAGGGGCTAGGCATTGTGCCATATTTGTCACCGAAATGTCCTTTTTCCAGGGTATTTTCTTCACATACCACAAACTATATGATGTTGTAACGTTTTATTTGAAAACAGAAAAAGCATGCCCATTTTCGTGACTAGCGCAAAATGAAAATAATTTGGGAAACGGCAGGTTGTGATGAAGGTATGAAATGTTAAAGGGTTACACTTGAAAACTGAACAACAAGGCTCTGGATTCAAAGAGAGGGAAATCTGCATTATAAATGTTCTGGTTCAAGAGTTTGTGCCGTTTTCAAATCATGCTGTTTCAAATCGTCCTGTTATCAAAATTGTTTTTATATCTCTTTTGACGACACAAGCTTGAAAGTGCGGGCCAAAATATAAACATTTTTAAAGGGTTTCATGAAGGCTGCCACCATGGTTGGCGGCAAGAAGGATTGCCCAGAAACTGCATCTAAAATATTTTCAACATCAATTTATTTTTGAGTATTATGAGAATTGAAGAAATAACTTGAGAATGGGAGTTTTTTAAGGCTTTATATATCACGTTATGAAACCATTGTATAAAACACCAATAGCACTCCACCTCACGCCTATAACAGTCTAGGGGTGCGAAATGCCACATTTGTGCTAATTTATTCCCAGGAAGGCCTGCATGTATGAGAGTAAACTTTATTGGTTCAAATGTTTCTAAAAATCTACTTCACTAATATACAACATATATAAAAATGTATATAAAAATATACTCTAAGTACCAAAAGTTGGATTTAACAACAGAATCATTTTGGTGAAGCAGGGCAGTGGAAAATTCATCCCAGCGAATTTTTTCTCACCGAATTTTTTTCTTGCCAGTCTTTGTCATAAAGATATTGCCATGTGTGTGGTATTCGCATGCATGATAAATTCCATGGGTGTGATTCACACTCTTACCCAAGGTCTCCAACAACAAAAGGCCAAGGGGCCATGCCCCCTTCTCACTTTTTGCACAAAACAAACAATATTTTTAAAATCTTTTGTTATTAGTTTTTAATTTGCTCGTGTCCCCCATTTTCCAACTTGTTTCAGAGCCCATGTTAGCTTTATTTTTGAAAACATTACTTTTGGTGGGCGTACTGCGGGCATTGTGTGTATTTTTGGGAATTACAAACTTTTGCTCCAATTCTAGACCCAAAAAAGTAGCCTGAGCTATCCTAAAAAAATACGAGGAAATTAATGCTCGCGGAAAAATTTTACAGACAAAGATTTTCCACTGAGGGAACATTTTTAACAGTGAAATTTGTGATGAAAAAGACATTATTTTGGAAAACTGCCTTTTATGATGCTTTATTGACACCAAGCCATAAGGTATTGATGATGAGATTTGGAATTTTCATACATTAAATTTGCCCCACCTATGCAATTTTTGGCCTGTCTATGACATCTTATCTCCTTCGAAAATGCTTCTGTAAGAATAAGGCAATGTTGCTCAACTTTTGGAAGCAAAACTTTCAACAATTTGAAGAACTACAGTCCTAGAAAGGTCAAAAACAACGGTCAAATACAACGGTCAAATGTCTGATTCATGCGTGTGCCAAATCGCTCGCACTATTTGCTCCTTGCGTGTGCCGATGCATGTGCATGTGATAGCATGCATTAAATGAAGAAGACTGTTACCAAAATTTTTAAACGCTAGAAAAATCTCGTTTTCAACCAATGGACTTTCAAAATAACAAAAACAACTTTTCCTTTTCATTGTTTAAGTGTTTTGATCTTTTTCGATCTCTACATTCACAAAAGAGTTCTCTATAAGCTGAGCTTATGCTTCTATTGGCACTTAATGATTACTCTATAATTATTCTTTATTTCTTTCTAATGTTTCAGTGCTTTCAACTTTTAACTCACAATCGATCAGAGTTTCTAATCCCCTCGTTGCAATTGGTGATTGAACATATGGCTAACTGTAAAGCTTCCAACTGATTTTCCTCCATGGGTTAGAAAGTTAAATAAAAAAGACATCCTCACTTCAGTTTCACTTATTGGGCTGGCATCAAAATAATGGATTTTTGTAACTTTTATGATTGCATTCCAGATAATTTTATCTTCAAGATAGAAAAAACTTGCAGAAAGTATTTAATTTCTTCACTAACTGAAATATTTTCTTTCCAACAAATGTTTTAAGTTTTCACTAAAATTAACACCAAAATTTCAAAAATATGGCCAAAATTTTTTCCACTGAAAATTAATCGACCAAGATTTTTGGCACCAAATTTGTTGGTACTTTGTGTAGCCAACCACATCAGTGACATTTAAAATATGTTTCTCTAATCATTATACTTATGAACAATGGCCAGATAGCACCTCTGTCTATTAGTCACTTGGTGGAGCGAGTGGCCCCTTCATTTTTTACATCTAAGACCACTTATATAACAATTTTGAAAATAAGCACCTGATTTTAAATAAGGATTTTGAAAAATAGGACCCATTTTATTCACTATGACTTAACATAAAATTCAAGCCAATGTGTCACTGCATAAAATTGTTCTCTTTTTATTAGTTCAAACAAAATTCATATATATTTATTTTTCTCAAAAAATTTATAATCCTACTTTCAATTTTGTGAAAAATCATGCTGTAAGGGTAATATTTAAACTGACTTGGAAATCTAATTCTCTTTTTACCTGGCAAAAAAATACTATTTCTTCAGAAAAAAAATAGTAATAAAATATTTTTGAGTATTAGAAACAATGAAGACTTGTTGCAATGTTACAAATCAGATACCATAATAATTTTGAAATTGTTAAATGAGGCTTTTTCTAAGAATTAATTAACATTTTAAGTGGAGTGGCTCTGTCTCGAATTTCAAGCTTATTTTTCAATAAAAATTTCCATCTGGCGTGGTTTATAATAAAATAGCCAACAGTGATGACGCGCTCAAACAGGGCGAATTTTGAAATCTATTATCGTACAAATAGTGGATGGTAGGTGAGGCGCTGCATTCTTAAGAAGCTTTCATTCAAGGGCGTCTTTTCCTTGGGTGATTCACAGCTTAATATGTTGAAATGGCGTTGTGAATCAAGTTTTCAATAGATTTAGAAAATGGCAAAAGAAGCTATGAAGTTTAGGTAACGATTTGATACGTCCTAAAACAGCAGCCGCCAAAATTTTTAACTGATAGGCCTATTTGGCTTTGAAATGGGATATCCAAGTGTTCACATATATGAATTGTTAGATGAACAGCAAATAAGCAATATGAAAATTTATCTTACCTCCTTCTTCGTCAATTTTTAATGCTTCTGAAATATGTTTATAGGCTGCGGCATGATGATGACGAACAGTCAAAACATGCACAGGGATATCTGGATCTGCACTTAAACTGCGACTGAGCCGAAATGGCGGCCTTCTTGCAGGACCCGTGCCTGGCGATGAAGTCATGGGAATCACTGAAGCTGGCATAGACAAGTCTTGAAAAAGAAGAAACGGCAGTATGTCCAAATACGAACAGAAAAATTAAATCGTTAACTAAAACCGCGACGAGAACGGAGGCCTACGATATTGTAACAACTGCCAATTCTGAACACGCAACACAGTCCAACTGATGTATTTCTGTAGATTTCTGAAGTTCTACACCATAAGTTAACATACAATCCTCATTTTATGTATAACTTGAGTAGTGTTTTTGGCTTGGTAAACGTGACCCTCAATGTAAGTTGCTCCAACTCTGTTTACTAGTTCATTCGATCTTGTGTCTGAGTCATCCAATCGCCAACATTTGAACTCGTTTAAGCCCATCTATATCACAGAACTCAAGCCGACTCCAGTGCTCCTCCACATCGGCATCCTGCACAAGCCCAATCAACGATTCATCCATCTTTATGAGTCCATCCTTTGAAACCAGGGCCGCCAAGAGGGTGGGGGGGGGGGCAAGGAGGCAAATTAATCAAATAGAATTAATCAATCGTTAGAAAAGTGTACCTTATAATTGTAAAACGTTTTAGCCTAAAGGATGTGATTACAAAATATTCTGCTTGCTTCGCTGGCAAGGGGTCTGTCGATATTGCCCAAGGGCCTCAGAAACCTCTCGGCGGCCCTAACGGAACCAGCAACCGGGGAGGGAAAAAACTTCCAGTGCATGAACTTTTAGCTTTTTGGGAAGCATTCGGAGTGGAGGATGCAGTGTCTTAGCACCACCACTTCAACTGTTCCTGATATCAGGCAAATATAGGGTTTTGATATTTTAGGAACGGAGAAGAATTTTGAAAAAATTTAGGAAACATGGGAACACATACTATAGGGCAGGCACCGCAGAAAAATTAGGGGTCTTAAAAACGTGACGGGAAATTAAATAAAAAGGGGGCTTTATTGGTGGTTCGTTGAATCTTTATACTTTGCATTTTGCTTCGTGGTGTCTGGGGGGGGGGGGCTCAGGTTTGTTGAACATTGCCTCGATATTGAATAAAATTTAATGGTTGCTTTGTCTAAAATGTTTGAATTGTTAACTCTATCAACAGAAATGCAACGCACGGACGATGAGTTGTACGATAAGTTCCCCGAATTCCAATGCTATGTTTGCTATTTAAGGATCATTAAGAAAGTAACCTTGCTCAGAGTGCAATTTATTCTATAAAAACAGCACAATGAGAGGAGGAGCTAACTATGGGCAACTGTCAGGGCCGCTGAGAGTGGGGCAAGGGGGCAAATCATCTCTTGGCCTCGAGGTCTAGGGGGCCCCAAAAACATGAATTCCATTTTGAGAATGGGGATAATCAAATGTAGCAAAAATTTTCTTTAAACTAGTTTAACGTTTCCAACGATTGCAAATCACTGCAAGAATTAATCAAAACATTTTCTCGGTCTCGTCTTTCGGTTTTGGCCTAGGACCTCCGAAAACTCTCGGCCCCCCTGGAAAGTGTGCGAGCCTGTATCCCCGAGAGATAATACCAAGGAAGGCTCAAGATACAAGCCCTTGCTCCTTGGGACAGAAGATTTTGAACATGATAACTTTATTTATACATTTAGATTATTACTCGGTACCCAAAAATAACCTCTCTTCTGTTCAGTAAAAACCACTTCTTGGAACTAGGAACAATCTTTTCATATAATAAACACTTTAACCGCGATTAAAACAGATAAAGATTATGTTTAGAAAGTTAGAAAGCTCAATCAAATGTAAATTCGTTTAATGTGAATTTCGCTTGTTCAGAGGTTTTTCCCCTCTCAGTTCAATTTATCTATGTTCTGTTATTGTCTACGAATTATGCCATTGTTGGTTGTTGGTTACTGACAGTAGAGATGGCGTATGTTATTCAATGTCTGTTCTTGGTGCCAGGCAACCTATTACATAATGTACTTTTACCCTACGCATGACGTCAAACAGGCACCTCAGAGCGTTGAGAAAAGTAAGGGTCTAAATAAAGTGGGGGAGGGGCTAAAACTGTATAAAAAGTGGCTTTCCTGGTGATTCATTGGTAAATTTTTTGCATTTTTTGGCAAAGAGCTCCCCCCCAAAGCTCCCCTTCTCCGCGGTGCCTGTCAAAGTATGACCTTCAGACAATTAAAACGGTTTTTCCTTTAAATTCGGTACTCGAAACTTCAGTAAACACGTCTTGAAATGCCTATAGAAATATCGATACGGCTTACTTCCTGTTCTATAATCGTTGTAATTTGATCTCATTGAAAGTTATATTCTGTTTGTTTGTCTGAGCCAGATTACGAAAAGGAACAGGAAGTAAGAAAGGACGTAATTCTTCCGTGAAGAAGTTACTTTAAGGATGAGAAATTAGGTCCAGTGGTACAGTAATGCTCCGATATAAGACCACAAAACGCTAAAATTTCTTCATGAAAGAAATTACGAAGAGCAAAACACTGTGACGATTTCCAGAACAATATCTTAAGATTTCACAAAGTTTTCAAAATTGCGAAATGTTTCCGCTGCAACAATTTGCTATAGTGATAATATGATAATAAAAATGATAATTCATCGCTTATATACAGTTGGCTTGTGTGGTTAATTTATGCAACCTTGTTCAAAATCAAGAAATTTTGATGGTTCAAAGTGAATCAAGAAACATGAATACAATTCTACAGATTCTTTAACTGTATACTTGGAGTTTCATTGTTGTGTATAAAGAATGAGTACACTGTGTTTAGTGATAACAGGGATAGCATTTATCTGTGTGGGAGCCATAGAGCTCTTTGCTAAGATTTGAACTTGCTAGTGGTCTTCTGCAGGGACGTCCCGAAGCCTTTGAGTTGGGGGGGTTGGAGGGGTTGGCTGGATCTACCTGATATTTTGTGAAAATGCCTTTTTTCCCTGAAAAGATTCTATCCGCCTCTAAACATTTACAAAAGGTATTTTAATAATGATGATGTCCTTATCAATTGATTCTCTTTTCGTCATTCTTTACAAAAATTTCATCAAGCTTAACATTGTCAGTTATATCTCTCTCTATGCAGCAAAAACTGTCAGGTTGTTTAATTTTTCTTCGTCTGTCTGGCATATCTTTTTACGCTCTTCATCAGGCTGGACGACTGTATATTTGTAGCAACAGATGGAGCTGCAATGAGAAAAAGCCTGTAGAGTTTTGTTGCCAGCACAATTATGCCATATCTTTCCTTGGAATTTAAAGCAATCTTTGCTGCAGTGCAACACATTTGGAATTTTTTTTCCTTCTTCTAGACCTCTCTGTTGGTCTTCTTTATACAATCTCTTTGCAAGTTCGAAGAAGACTGCCAGCTCGCTGTTTGTTTGTTTAAAACCATACAAAAGACAAGCTCAGCTTGTCAGAAAACTAAGAACAAATGGTGTAAAGGTGGATTTCCACTTCACAGTACGGTAAACGGTTCGAAAAGTTTCTTCCTATCAATTTCCACCTCTTTTGGGTTTCTTTCCACTTCCATCCTGTGCAATGAAACATGCCCGAGGAAGGAAAAAGAGGGCATGTTTATATTGAACAGCTTTTTGATTCTTTTTCTTTGGTAATAAGATTGAAACGTTAAAGGAGAAAGAAAAAAGGTTCCACCCAGGGAACTATGAATATATGAAGAATACAAGTGTTGCTATGAAAAATACTAGAGGGGCCTTCTTGAAAAATTTCTCAAAAAAGGAAAGCAGAAATAAGAAAAGGGTTCATCTTTGGCTTTTACAAGGGGGCTAGGAAAGCGGTACGACAAGCGTACCGTTCTTGAATGTCAAGATATCTTCGGCACATGCTTGTACCGAATACCGTTTTCCGTCCATACCGTGAAGAAGAAATCCACCTTAATACAAACCGTAGCCTTATTGCACTGGGCGTCGTCCCACAGCCTTGTGCCGTCAGATATCTTGGATCAAGTTTGTTGTTGAAGTAGTGTGCCCAGAGGAAAGGGGCATGTATCAGTACAGGCATGCTGTACTGTTTATTCATATATAACTTCATAAAGAGTGTTTCATATGTATATATAATTACACGAACTCTTTGTTGCTTCGTAAACAAGAAACGGTTGCTAAATCTTTGGTTCATTTGCTCCTTCCGGATTTGCTCCTTACCTGGCGAAGCAAGCATAAGATTCTACTGAAAAAATTCTGAACGGCCGGGACGTCCTCTGGTAGTGCAATTTACAACAATTTTCATGCCTCATAGATGGGGTTGTCCTAACCAAGGCAGTTACGGCGCTAGCCTGTGCTCCTGATCCGTAACTTGAAAGTAGAGGTCTGGAACACAGGCTATGGCGGCGCCAGCCACTAGGCCATGGGGGGGAGTTGGAGCAAAACAAAAATTTTTAGGCCACGCCCTTTTTACCGCCCGAAAACTTCCTTCTACCAAAAAGCCACCACGCCAATTGTGCGTGAAGGAAACGCCAATTACTAACTTTTGGCTATGTAAAGGCCGTTGCAAAATCATAGGATTACAACAAGAAAAGTACATTGCCAAATTATTACCCCTCCCCCAACATTTTCGCATCGAAATAAGACGAAAGACGAATCAATTTTGCCGAGAACTGGGGGGGGGCACTCCTCGTGGCGCCGCTACTGAATCGAAGGGTATTATTTGACGGAGGTATAAACAATTCTCTGCAAATGGTGTATGTATGTCTAACAGGCCTTAAACATTATGGCCAAACGGGAGAAGGACCTACAGGGAAATATGATGTTAGAATAGTTCAGAAAAGAAGGGACATAGCTAAACGCACTGAAAATGGAAGCAATAGCGTACATTGAAGAAGGCGATGTTGATGCGTTAAAACAAGTAGATAGTTTTGAATGTCTGGTGAACAATTTACAACAAAGGATGGGTTGCAGTGCCGAAGCAAAGGATAGTAGCAATGCGGTATGGGAAAGTGGACAAATGGCGGAATGGACGTATGTACGACAAGTGACTGCCAAGGCCGTTGAAATTGAAATGTACAGAAAAATTATTTGCTCTTGTGTTATATACGGGGCTTAGAATTGGGCCCTGAGAAAGAAAAGGATTTATTAATGAACAAAAGTAAAGATTTTAAGTTGAATCATCAGAATGTCACGGGTAAGAAATTAATACGTAAGAAGCTTAGAAGAAGAGGCTAGCATTCTTTACAAAGTGAGAGAGGCAAGTTTTTGTTCGGTCTCGTAGTTTGAGAAAGTAAATTAAACCGATAAGAGAAGAGAGAAAATTACTGGTGTTGCGGAGAAGATCAACAAGGAGACTGTAATTTTGAAATAGCTTATTTTAAGGCAATTGGCTGCAGGGACAGGCCTTTGTTTATATGAAGAGGAGGATGATAACCATCTGTTGAAAACAATGGGATTTCACTGGGGCTACAGGTGCAATTGCCCCAGTTTGCACGTTAAGAAAAGGCTGATGGTGACAAAAGAAAATGATGTATCTTATCGGTATCAAAGTTTGGAGAATAATTGTGAAAATAGGCAGGAGAGATAATTAGAGATCCCAAATACCATATTCACAGAATTATCCCAAATGTAGAAGCAGCTTTACTTCAGACCCCGTTTACACTGTGCGGGAAAAAATTTATCCGCATAAAACTTGTTCGGATTGATTTGCGTTTACACTGTGCCGCACAAATTTTATCCACTTTGCCCTCCGGTTTACACTTTGCCGGATAACTGCAGTCACATGACCTAGATCATGCACAGAACGCCAAAAATGAAGTCTTCTCTGGGCAACAAAATAATAACAAAATTCCCGCAAATGTAAAAAGACTTCATTCTCTCTTCAGAATCATCTGCTTCTCTTTTAGACCAAATCTAAAGATATTGTCAATACAAATTAGGCCTAGTTTGTTTTAATAGTTTGTTCATGAAACAAAATGACACTGATATAGCAACGAAATTAGGGAAAGCAGACAAAGATGCCAATTTTACGTGGACTGGCAAGATACTGCACTTTTAATACGAGTATTTATCGACAACAAGGCAGCCAAGATGGCGAAGGGTCTTGATTGGGAGACAGTGAAAACTAAATCGGATGAAATACCCAATCGCTTTCGAGCAAGATACGATGTGGATAAAGTTTATCCGGATAAAAGCTTTTACATTGTACCACATAGCTACCCGAACTAATTTAATCCACTTTCCTAGGTGAACTAATTTTGTTCGGATAGCCGCTCTCAAATTCGTGCAGATAGCGTGGGTCTAGTGTAAACAGGGCGCCTATCTGAACTAGTTTTGATGCGGATAAAATTTATCCGGCACAGTGTAAACGGGGTCTCAGACTAATCAGAGAAAATGAATACTGGTGGAGGTTCAAAGCTTTTTAAGACAATAGAACTAAAAACTTATTTTTGTATTAGATATACTTGCAAACTTACAAAACAATCTCTGGAGTCACGCGCCCCATTCCCTTACTTTCCATGTAGGCAAAGTAAGTTCTATTTTCCCCTTCTTAGAATAAACGCTACTGCAACTTTTGATGCTTTTGCAGACATCAAACTATATTATTTGTTTAAGGGAACGCATCACCTAGAAATAGGAAGCCTCATTCATGAAGAAATTATGTATGCCTCGATGTTGATTATCATGGAAATTCGATCATTAGACGCCAAACGCAACTAAAAAACCAAAAAAGTTTTTTCATTAGCTAGAATGAAGAATATTCGATTTCGCACTTCTTTCTTTGCCATTCTTTCAATGATATTTTAATTGGTATTCAAAGTTCAGAATTCATAATTAAAGCAAAGTAATAAAAGTTAACAGGAATCGGTTCATGGCATCGAAATAACGGTACGCCCTACGACAACTTCACTTGACGACAATAAAAGCCCGACTGAATTTACAGCCACGGAACACACCCTTAGCCTCACGACGCGTACCCCCACTAATGACACAGATCTACGCAAATATACCAATGTCCACAACAATAGTGGTGGAACGATGAATTACATACAGAGTGTTCATGGCAAGGTATAAAAACCAGAATTGACGCCAACATCGAAAACCATATAATTGGCTGACCACCAACAAGAAAGCAAAGCAGGATATATAATACAAGGAAATGATTGTCGATTATAAAATTGACAGCTAAATTACTGAATCATTTGAAAACCATCTTTATACAATTTTCATACACCATTTTTCATTATAGGTACATACACATATATATCATTTTTCAACAACCATTTTCAAAAAACACATATGACCCATATATAATTTTCAAAACAGAGGCCCAGTATGATATTTTACTAAAACCCCTTAATGGCCTTCACCCAGCCCTACAGTTTACTTTTGAAAAAGAAGAAAACAATTCCTTGCCTTTCTAGATTTGTCGTTCGAAAAGTCTGGCACAGGATTTCTTCCCAGTGAATATTGTAAACCTACTTCTGCAGGGTTTTACACTCGATGGAATTCACTTTGTTCAAAACAGAAGAAAATCAATCTTGTCAAAAAGTTAACTCACAGGGCGCTTATGATTTGTTCCAAGATTTGTTGAACTCGACCCGGAACTTGACCAACATAAAAAGATCTTTCTGGAGAGCGGCTGTCCAGAGGACGTCATTTCTACTTGCGTTAAACAGAGAAAATTACTAGTTTTTCTGCTGAAGTAAAATTTGGTCCGCAAAAGTGCCCGGTTTTTCTACGAGTTTACATGCAATTGTGATTCTGGCTACTGTAATACTGCTATTTGTCTGACCGGCCACAATTTTGTTATAGAATTTCATCTTTCATTCATTTTATTTCCTCGTATTAGTCACAGTCGTTTATCAGTGTTTCTCTTTATGTTGCCCTACACATTTAAACGCGTCTTTGTTAACGTACGCATTTAGGAAGTTACGCTCTGGAATAATTAGACACACCCTGTATTCATGTTAAGGTTTGAACACTGTCATTGACGTAACCTTATGTATTTGTATTACCCTTCTTTGCATTGATATATTATCTTACGTCCCGTTATCTTATCAGGATGTAGATTCACGTATATATGTAAGCTGGCAAGTTAGCTTTAAGGAGATACATAGAGGCAAATATGGAAAGGCCTAATGAATAGTTCCGGTAGGAGACTGCTAGAAATGTGCAAGAAAAAAAATCTTTTCATCACCAATACAACGTTTAAATACAAGAAAAGTCACATAACAACATGGTCTGCCCCGTACAGAAGTTTCCAAACGGGGAATCAAGACGGAAGCCAGTAAGAAACCAATTAGATTATGTCATGATGAGAAATTGGCATAAAAGATTTGTCACAAATTCGAGAGCATATGGAGGAATAGAAACCGAAATTGACCATAAGCTAGTAAAAACCGAAGTTAACTTTCAATGGTACAAGATCAAATTTAAAGTGGAAAACCACTAATAGAAATAGGTGTAAAAGGGTTTTTAAACAAAACAAAAAAACTAATACAATGAAGAAGTTAGAAATGATATAGATAGAATAGCATGTCAAAAAAGAGGCCAAGAAAAATGGAATGAAATTTGCAAATTATGTATTAAAGCTGGAGAGAAGATACTGGGTAGAACAAAATATGGGTAGAACAAAGCAAATAGGCTCCAAAGAATAGAGGATACGAAAAATGTCTCTGCCAGGTGTTTTGAGGCATCAAGACAAATGAATAACAACAAGAAACAAAAACCCCTTATCATAAAAACGATAAAGGAGAACTAGCAAGCTCAGAAGAAGAACAAATTAAGATCATATCAGATTATTTCATCGAAATGCTAGCACCAAAAAGTCAAGGAGGAAATTTCAAAGAATATGGACCACAATAGATGAGGGAACCATTCACTGAAACAGAAATAACAAAAGCTACAGGCTCGCTAAAGAATGGGAAAATCATTGGACCAGACAATATGCATGCTGGGCTCATTAAGTATGCACCACCAGAAAAAGTGGCTGAAACAGGGAAAACGATCACTGAACGTACATTTGGATTCTGAAAACCATTACAGAAACCTGGAAAGCAAAGAGGTCCTGTTGTTAACCTAAGGCCCATCATCCTATTATCCATCATACGAAAAATCTTTACAATTTGCTTTATCAGAAGAACATGGAACAGTCTAGAAAAACATATACCACTAGAACAGTATGCATACCAACCTGGGAGAAGCACCACTGAACAAGTGTTTGCCGTGAAAACTTTAGCAGAAAAAGCCATTCTATCAAACGATTATAAGTTATATCTCCTACTATTAGGCATGTCCAAAGCCTTCGACACTGTTGATCGTAAAAAACTCTTTGAAGAATTGGAAGAAATCTTAGATGATGATGATGAACTAGATCTCTTGAGCAAAATTACAAGCCAACCAGAACTAAAAGTAACCAGAACCTGTAATTTGACTTTGCTTTTAATTTTAGAGTAGAAGAGCCACACTTGTAGTGGATATGTTCGATTGTACCATTGTTATTTTTTTTATTATTATTATTATTATACTCCAGCAAAGATAGCTCTTGATTAGAGCCTGAAAAAGACAAAAAAGAAAGTCGGAGGACCCACTGGGCCTCGTTGCTGTACGTTTAGGACAGACAGTACTTGAGCAAGACTGTGCTGTGCCTCGTCGACAAATTTGGGTTCGCGGAGAACCGAGGATGTGTATTACAGATTCAGCTGATGAAAAGTGAAGTATAGCCTGGAAAGACTGCGTAGATGATAACTGAAAGGAGAGGATAAGCCGCTCGTCAATGTCGTCTTTTCTTGTAATTCTTTTCACTGACACGAAGTAAATCTGCCCCAATTTTCCATATTACACTAAGTAGGATGCACAACCCAAAGATTGAAAGATAGAAAAAAAACATGTTCCTTCTGGTATTAGAAACAAAACTCGTCCTTATCAAAGAGAACAGCCACCTCGGTCTTGCAGATCAAAAACGACAACTACAACATAAGATTCTGCTATCGTACAGCATTCACTTGAAAACCAAGATTGTGCTAAAAACTATAATGACGACATGTTTCGGATTATTGGTAAAGCCCGATCGTCGTTCCATCTAGCAGTTTTGGAATCTATTTACGTAAACACGAAAAAACTGCTTTTGTGTAGACAGAAAGAGCTCGTTTTCACCTTAGGACTCAGGCAAGCAGCATTGATTGGGCAACCTCAACAGTCATGTGCTCGCGTTTCTGATTGGCCTAACTCGATCCACAACTGGGTATATGTATTTCCTAGCGTAAAGTTTTCGATCTGTATTCTGAGGTTTTAAACTCTGAAGAGTGTCAGACGAAAAGCTTTACTTACATGCTTCAAAATGTTTTTTTTGAATGAAGGGTGTGTGTAGTACTTTTGGTAAAAGTACCTATGCTGAAGAGTACTGCTAGAATGGACAATATTACTAGTTCCATCTAAGGGTTCAAATCATGCTGTTATATTAACCATGCTATACAATATGAAGTTTTAGAGGTGACCTCAAATAAAAATATAATCACAAGAATTGTGAAAGCAAAAGTTTAAAGTTTGAATGTTAGTTGATATTCAAGTGAAATGATAAGATATGATTTATTTTATGATATGATATTAAACAATATGATCCTATTCCTTAATAACAATTAAAGCCTGGCACTTTGCTAGCAAAAAAACTTTCTAGTACCTATGATGGCATAGAGATAACAAACACTCCCCTCTTTAAATCATACAAGCATTTATTTTTTCACCCTATGAGAGAACCCATCACAGTGGTGGAATGTTTTCTAAAAGCGCAAGGGGTCCAGAGGCATGCTTCGCGGCGGAGGGGGGGGGGGGTTGTAGGGGGGAGACAATTTTGATAAGCTGTTCACTTTTAAAAAGATTAACAAATAAGTCAGTACCATATTGGTATGAAACGGGGATCATACCCACACGTCCAGCCATTAATATTTTCAGATTTAGAAAAAATCAATTCACCTAGACAGCAAACTAGCACTTATCATCAGCTATGCCATGATTGATTAACAATTTGCGAGAGTTTGGCCAAGTAAAAGGAAGCCATGTGATGGATTTGAGCAGCGTACTCCCTTCTTTCTTATATCATCGTTTTAACACAGTCTTAGAAAGAGCTAGTTTGGCTATTTCAACGGGGGTAACACCCATTCATTATGCCACTCTAAATTCAACATAAACACGTCGTATTCTATTGCATGTAAGAAAGTGTGGCCATGAAAATTAATCTCAAACGGAGCTTACGAAATATTTACGCTGTTATTCAATCTTAAATCCGAACGTCTACTGTTAGCTTTTCGGTGCATAAAGCAAAAGAATATGTTTGGTTAAAATGAATAAGGCAGTCCTTACGTGAAGCGCTGTCTTCACAAAGCAACCTGTGCAAATACGTAGTTGACAATACAATTAGGATGTCAAGTACTAATATGAATGAACTGTGGACTTAGAATCAGAAGCAGCTATACTTAATAAATTGTTTTGTGAGCTTTTCATTGTACTATGATTGTGCTAAAAGCAAGTGATAAAAGCAAGGTTATAACTTTTTAAGTAAACCGATCCGATTTAAAGAAATCCAACATTCTAATAAATGGTTGTGCTATTCAAGAAAGTAAGAGTGTTAAATTATTAAGAATAAGATCGGACCAAAAACTTAGATTAGAAATACATAATAATAACTTTTGCAAAGAAGCTCGAAAAAAGGTAAATGCTCTAGAAAGGATTGCTTCGTATATGGAAGAATCTAAGCAAATACCAAAGGGTACCCTACATATTTTATCGAAAACTCAAAGTCAGCCAACGAAAAGGTTCTAGTTAACATTTTTCAGAATTACTTTTTTCAAGTTTTGGATGCAAAATCCATTTTTCATGAACACATTTCTTTTTTATAACACCTTAGGTGGGACCATTTTGGAAATAAGATCGTATTGACCTTTTTAATGCTATCCCTGCCATTTTTAACCCGGAGTGTTTTTAGTCTACGTTTTTGACTTTTTTCTGTAAATATTTTTTCTGTATATATCATTAATAAGATTTTTTTCTTAATTTTAAATTGTAATTTATTTGATGGCAAAATTATACTTACATACATATGGGGAATCGGGGGCTAAGTCCCATGGTAAAAATCCGTTTTGGGAGTTCAGCCCTCTCCCTCAACAAGCCAGTTTATGTTTGGGTGGGTGAATCCTTACCATATTTCTGATCAATTCGTGCAGTGAGTGTTATGTTATATGTTGTTTTTTCTAATTGATAGAAACAAAATTCATGTCTTTCGATAAATCGTGATCTAAAAGTTTTTCAGAATTAAGTTTGTCAATATATGCAAATTAATTAGACAACATCATAAAACATAAGCCTCCACTCTTTAATTAGCCGAATCAGAGTTGAGTGAGTGCTGTTGTTGTTTCCATAGCTTCCACATTCCGCGCTGAACTGCTATTTCCAGCTCATTTCATGCAAACTATCTGTACAATTAACATCAAAACTAAATCATCACAACAGAACAGATTCAAAATCGTTGTATTTTAATCAATCAGCAAACATCTGTGTTTATTTTGCACAATAGAGTGAAATGTGTGATTGAAAAATGTACTCGCATAGACAGAGTAATTAAGAAAAGCGCACAAAGCCAGCTTTTTATCAAACAACTGGGAGTTATGTGGCTCTGGGTTCATAAGCAGAACAAATTTGGATTCTGTCAATATTCATGGAAAGTGCCGGTGAACATGGTAATATGACGTCACCGCACATATAAAAAAGGTCGCGATGAACAGCGAGAGGTAGTCAAGCTCAAGTCATTTGGAAAAAAGTGAAAGAAGGCGGCGAGCAACGGGACAAATTCCCTACCAAAAAGCACGCTGAAATAATTGCTTAATTTTTGCGAGTCACGTGGCTTTTTACCTAAAACGAGTGCTTTGGCAAGGTGATGCATATGCCACATCAAGACATTCTTTGAGGATCTGGAATTTCTGAAAACTACCAGCAATAGGCAATGTAATTTGGAACTATTCTGAGACATTGAAGATAATTACGTGAGTACCTCTAGACGGATTTACTCTGGGACTTTGAAATCTTGGGCAGTATCTCCATTCGCAGTTTACAGTGGGTAACATACTCAAGGCCAACGCTTGCGACCGGATATAAAGCAACGACTTTTCCCAGGACTAAGAACAAAGCATGAAGGAAATTTCGCCAAAAACGTCAGAATCAATATACATAGTCCTAGGGTCTATAACTTTTATTCTAAACTTCCTCGCCATTGTTTTCATTTTAAGAGGTCGGAAAAAACTAAAATTTCACGAAAAGTTCCTTGTCAGTCTAGCGTTCTCTGACTTGTTAGTTGCTTTTCTTGTTACAGTATACAAAATATTTGATATATCGATTTCAGGTGAGCAGGAGCTTCTAGGCGAAGACATATTTTCCATCTTACTTTCGTCATCTGTCATGCTTTCCATCGTAAATCTGTTTGTTATCACCGTGGACAGATTCCTTGCCGTAAAATATCCACTAAAACATCACGTCCGTAGCTCTGTTGTGAATACAAACGCAATCATCGGAATGATATGGTTATTGGAAGTTGGCAAGTCAATCGCCCTTCTGTACCTGTCCGTTAAACAGAAAATTGAGGAACAAGTACTTCTCTATTCTACTGCGGTTTCTATCATCGCATTCGGTCTTTTCATGACGGTAGTTTACATGTACATTGTTCATAGATCATGTGCACGTAGGACTATGTTGAACAGCCAAGGAGCGACTCACGGGCAAATCGTTAACTCTTTCTTCTGCGAGGATTTCAAGAAAGAAAGACATATATTCTACACATGTTGCCTCATAAATTTTACCTTTATCATTTGCTCGTATCCTTTTGCAATCCAGTACCTAGTTACAGTGAGTGCAGATCCTGAAGAGTACACAATATCGAGACTAATGCTCTTCCTGAATTCCACCCTCAATCCATTGGTATACTTTTTTAAAGGCTATCTCGAAAGACGAAAAACAGACAACAGCGTAGCAGTGGTTCAGCGGCACTGACTCACCAAGAAAGGCATCCAAACTCTGCGGTGCGACACAATTCAGAATTTCTTCTTCTTCTTATTTTAAGTAAGTAAATATATAGCTACATTAAGCTAGCTAAAATCAAGTAATTTGAATTACCATCGCATAATATTCATCGTACATAACCACTGTTGCATATGAATTGCTTGCAAAGTTGAGCAATCAAACGATGAAAATTCTGAAACATTATTCTTGAATATTTGTAAAGTTGGGAGGAATTTATTTCCTGGGCAATCTATCCCATACTTGGCCACATCTACAAGGCAAGGTATTAAATCCAAATATTTTTTAATGTGGCGCCCTTTTTAAATTGGGGGTTACTCAAGTTCTATCCATAAAAGGTGGATTTAATGTTTTATTTAATTCTTTTGCAAAATAGTTTACATACTTACATATGTATATCATTACGATTATTTAGCACTTAAATTGTCAATATTGTGATTGTATTAAGATTTTTCGCAAAGCAGTATTAATATTGCCAAAGTCTTCGAGTATTCCATCAGACGCTACTGTGAGCTAAGGGCCACAATTGAAAGATTATTCTCAAGAAAAATTCTATAAGAATAGTCACAGACTAACAAAGGGTTGCTGTTTGAAAAAAGATTGTGACTTTCTTTGTAACAATTTGAGTTTTTAAGGAAAAACTTTTGATGTCCTTAAATCAACAGATAATCGGTCTAATGCAGAATGGTTTCTCATTTCTAGCAGATCGTTCTCGGTTACGAAAATGACACGATGTAAACTCTTTGAACAAGAATATCAAGTCTGATACAATTTTCAATCAAATGATTAAATTATAAAAGGCAAAAATTATAAATATATTATAAAGTTCGAATCGCAAACGTGATGCATTCAGAATCCAGCGGGTCTGGCTGATCCATCTTGACTGAAGGCGAACACTTTAAACTTCTCACCCATCTTGTCTTCACTGACGAGGTAGTCAAAAGCACTTTTCAAATTTTTAGCTTGTTTCTCATTTGCGTTTTGCATTAAAACCTTGAATCAATAAGACATTAACGATAGCAAAATGATTTTAGGCATAAATCAAAGCAATAAATAGGCTTTATCTTGATACTGACGGCAAAATTAGACAAGGAAGGCATGATGTGTGCATGATGCGGCCATAACAACATAATCCAAAGAATAGCGAAATTATTTCTGAAGGCTTGAAGAAATGCAAGCAAAGGGGCGGATTGTTTCCATGAGCACACTTCTAACGCATTCTAAACAAGCTGTTTGAATGCAAAAATAGCAAGAAGAAAACAACTTTAAAAACTTTGATTAACTTCCGTTTGTGAAGTATGTCGTGCGCCTAAACTAACTTACATAGAAATTATAACAACACATAATTTAGCAATGATAGAAAATATGAGAAACTGAACAATCTGGTTTTTTAATGTTGTGGGTAACTTAAATTGTCAAAGCACAAGTGAAAAATTGTTAAAATCGGTTGCATCGACAAAGACATTACACAAGAACATTTATCATCGAAGTCTAATATCCATGCTTACCACACATTCACAGTAGCTTAAATTATATAAGCAATATGATTGGTTAATGCTTAGATTTAAGACTTTTGTGATTTGACAAAAACATAAGCACATACTTAGACCGTCGATGTATATTCGTATTTCAACCTGTTCCTTTTTCGTATTTCAACAATATATATAAATATATTCATATATATATATTATATTGTAAATTAATCTAACTCTCTAAAGATATCTAATTCTTGTGCTTCAGCCTCTATCATTATAGATTTTTAATAACAGAGAAAAGATATTCATAAGTCCCATAAAAGCCTCGTTGGTTTTCCCTCTAAATAACAGTACCTTGAATCGTGCTTCAATTCCCATAGCTTTCAGAAACATTGATTGCGTCACTGGCCCAAACAGCTGCACTATTAACGCAGAAAGACATAATAAAAAGATATCAGAAGTTATTATCTGAAGTTTCACTCTGAAGATTGTCCGACACAAGCTAAAGTGTTTGCTTTTAGAATTTTAACTTTTTCAAAGACAATATAATACTTTTATTATCATATTACAATAAAATAATTAAAGTATTATTATAAAGAAAGGAATCAGTATAAGTTCACCTTTATTATGGCACATTCTCTTGAGAAAAGCAAAATCCACATTAGCCGTTATATCTGCATCTCCTGGGTATTTGAAAATATCTTCTATCAACTTGTGCTCTTTAAAACTCTGAAAAGTGATAACATACCATACAAGACCTAAACGGGCCATCATTTGATCATCTATGATTTGATTAAAACAGTAATAACTTAAAAGAGACAGCTGAGTTATGTAAGTTTTGATAAAAGTTAAAATAGCTCCTTTTATTCAAATTTATACACATCACAGATTTTCGTGTTTCAGCTAAGTGCCGCGAAAGCGACTATATCATTGCATCATGACCCGATACCGTAAAATCAAACTCTACATTTTCGCATACACTCTTAAATATTGCTACGGTTATAGGTCAAAACGTTAGAGAAACTTAATTTCTTTTTATATAGAATCAAATAGACATCTACTCATGTGAATACAAAAAAATTAATATAGGCGAAACTGCAGGAGGCATTTTCCGAAAAGAAAAAAATTATTCTTACTCTTAGCGAATTCCGGGACGGTCCGTCTTTTCCATAATCAACTACGAGGCTGCTCCCACCATGAGTCTGAATAACACCGCACATATGTTCAATAGTCACCCCAGCTGTTGGGCAGACTTCATACTCATCAATGACTGCTTCTTTAGGTATAAGCAACTCTGACAGGGGGTTTGCAGCAGGAGAAACCACCAACTGCAGACCTGCACTTAAGCAAACATTAAACGATAAAATTTCTATAAACCTGGTTATAGCATAAACTATTATTACAGACAAAATGATTAAAAAAAATTAAAACTCAACTATTATAAAAAGCTTTTTTTTCTTCTTTATGAGCATATCATCTTTTTCTGGCAAAAAGGTAACAAAGAGGCATCAAGTTTTGTAATCATTAAAGCCTTGTTATCGTAAGGCCAAATGATGAAAGATTTAATGAAAAACTTACTACTTTGCTGTTTAAGTTTGAAAAAATGCAGCCACGGGTAACAAAACGTTTAACACAACTAACGACGGTGTACAAACAAGAAAAATGACAGTTAGCGCATAAAGACCATTAAAATAACGTTATGCCAAGCGAATAAAATTAACAAAAAGGAAAGTGATCAGTTCGCAAGGATCTTCATCATGTAACAACAGCTGAAGTAAAAAATAACATTGACTTTGAGGAAATAAATCATGCTTCAAAAGCATTCAAAAGGACAACAAAGGCAATAGGCCTAAATGGACATGCCTCTCTTTGTTTCCTATGTCGTAGTTGCATACGTGTCATGTTATGAGAAAGAAAGACAACAAATAAAACAAAGAAACAAAGAACCTAAGCTAGTTGGCCAAATGCAGGAAATTCACCCAACTCCATTCAAAATAATAACCAAAATTTGCAAAAAATGTTGCATCGCAGACCAGAGCTCAAACGATTGCAAAAATTTACCAATCGCTAACCTAGTTTGCATGACCAACAAAACTCTTTTTATTCCGTTTCAAAGACTGAGATGGCACATTAGACAACATAACAAAACTAATGAATTATACGTTAGTCCAAATCATAACACTGTCTTCTATAAATCAAACTACAATCTACAGTTATACTACAAAAGGATCAAGCTAGACAAGAAGTAACAGACCTTCTACAGATAAACGGATTTATTTCCTTATTCAAATCAATATGCAACAAATGCTTTCCAGCATTCACTATCTTCTTGGCTTGTCATTGGACAAAAAACAGAAATCGGAGCAAGTACTTCAACCTGGATACCATTTAAACCGGTTTTAATGCGACATCCTTCCTAAAATTGTCTGAAGACAGATTTTCTTCTCAAATACAGCAATATTATTAAGGTCAATGAACTAAAAAAACTTACTTGTCAGCATCAACTAAAACTTCTCTCCAACCATTTGTTGTTCTCTATAAAAGATAACAGAAGAAAATTCTATATTCCTGCTTTAAAAAAGGATTTTGACTTAAATGAACATTATCTTAGTTTTAAGATTAAAGTAAACATAGAATACACGTTCTCCAACATATCGATTTGTTTTTCAAAAGGAATGAACAGGTTGGTAGGCCATAGCAATTCTTTAAAGCAAATACTGGCATAGAATCTTCTTGGGAACATTGGCATGAACAGAGAGTTTAGTGGCGTTGCAGATGAAAAGGTATATAAACTAAAAAACATCTGTATTTGATTGGAGGATATCGGGCACATTTTTTGCATTTTATTTTTGATTTAAGGAAAGTCTCGGATAAAGTTTCGGAATTGTAAAATAAGAGTCTTCTTTCTACACATGACAGGTATGGGACTAATTTTGATGCAATACACCCAAAAAAAATGTTTTAGGTTTCATTTGCTCTATTGCATCCCGAAGAGGTTTACGTCTGCAAGAGCTTGCTTAATTGGTTTAAAAACCCTGTTTGCCTCAAAACCTATGGAATTCTGTAACACAATAAGCCTCTGGCAAGGCAAATTTGAAAATAACACGGAAGAGCGGAGACATATCATACTGAAGTACTTCAACACTAAGGGATTCCTCTCACGTTACTTTCGATCCACATCTTGGAGATAATTTTCCTTTGGACATTATCCGACGTTTACACTCTTAGGAGTGTCGGAGAAAAAAATTACTTTAGTATACGTTTCCGCTCATCCGTTGAATTCTGTCATAAACCTGTCTAAATTGTAGAGTCCCTCAGACTTGGTCTCTCAGATGGCTCAAATGATAATCAAACGACAGCAATGCATTATTTTCTTTAGTAAGATAAAAGAAAAACTAGTTCCTTCACCTTAAATACATGAATTGGCAGTGCATCGAAGAATTCGTGAGCGATGTACATGGTGAACCCTAAATATAAATTAAATCTTTAGAATAACAAATGCTAAAAGTAGTACATTACTTCATAATGCTAAAATGAGAACATATAATTTGTAGATTAACACAAAATTTATCATATATATCGCAAATATAAAGTATCGCTACAACTACAAGTAGAGCCACTCCTGGCAGCAACAATGCTAGATAATAGTGTGAAATAATCGACCATTTGGAGTTAAATTGTTAAGAGGCTTGTCTCAAAAGACCAATAACAAGTTTAAAAATATTTCCGAATTGTTAGCCTAAGTAAAAATCATCATATCTGAAATACGATAAGAAAAATAAAACTTTCTCTTTCACTAAGTTGTTTTGCGAAGTTTTTTAATTAATGTGTTGCGAATGTTTGCGAGAATGTCAAGCGTACTGGAGTATTGATGATAATGATACGAGCGCAATTGCGAATATGGAAACGCTATTACCTCAGAGTAATAAAAACAATACATAAAAACGCTACGTAATATTATTTTACTGGGTTAAGTTGAAAAGCTAGTTGGTTGTTCTAGCTAGTATTGAAGATCATCTGCAAGATTCCCATCTAAACAGCAATTGATTAAGTGTGTAAACAGCCATTTTCTTATAGTGAAGTTGGATCTCAGAAATGGTAAGCTAATGTTCCAACTGACGGGGCAGTCCTTGAGGCGACAGACGCCTTTAGTACCTAATTTGTAGAGAAATATCCGAAATCTGCTACTTTGTCAAAATTTCTAGAAAAAGCACCACAACCACTTCTTCTCAGGAAAAATGACTCCCGCTGCTCCAATGGAACAAATAATGAGTGAGAGACAAAATTAGAGTTAAGTTAAACACATAAAAGATAAAATAAAAACCGTAAATACCAGCAGACAATGTACTTTCAAGAGCCAAAAGCCAGAAATACAATTAACACAAAGACAAAATGCAGAACTTGTAAATAATTACATCACTTGCCTGTTGGAACATCCTTGATATTACTATACCAATGAACTTCAACATCATTGTACTTCGACGTCGCATTTTCAAAGTTCTTTGAACGGAAAAACAAATAGAATAAAGAGGGCTAGACAGACCCAATGTCTGCTTCAAATTTTGAATTCAAAATGTATGCAACTCTGAAGGGTCAAAGCGTAGAGAAATGTAGCCGATAAAGTGACATCGGTATAAAATTTTAAAAATAGGGTTTATTTTTCTTCATTAGCTTTTATTACCCATAAGCACATAGAATTCGAATCCTTTGCGACCATGTGTCTAGAGGGAAGATAAAACCCAGTCATCGTTCTTTTAATACAAAGACAATTTGCATATGTTATTATAACACGTTGTTTAACAAATCGTTTTCTGGTTTATTCAACTGGAATTTAAGAGAAATTTTCCTTAATATTAAACTCAAAAAATTTCACAGATTTCAGCAACGCACTTAAGAAAAACTTTCGGAGAGTGACAAAATTTCTTTTTGCAGACAAAAGTCACCAACAAATTTAAAATAGTGTTGCTAAATGACAAAAATAAGACCTGATACAACGCAGATAAAGAAAATTTTCCTTACGAATCAATAGCTTTATAAAATTGAAGAAGAAAATTGACCTTTAATACGGCACAGAATACCAGTCCCATTAATGCATAGATATGAATTAAAGCTTTAGGGGAGAGAACAGAACGGTTTAAAGTTGAAACCCAGATTTTCAAAGTTGCCCTTAAGATGGCATTAAACGTAAACTTGGCATTTTGTAAATTAATTTCAAGGTAAATTTTAGGACATTGAGGAGTGCTTATCGAGCATTCACCGTCCTCTCAAAGTGACCACACCTCGTGATTCCTACCGCTAGAATTATATAGAGGTGGCGACTCTCCTCACTTTAAGAGAAGTCTGGGCACACCAGTGACCCGAAGCACTGATCCTCGGATCTGTAGTCCGGAATCCTAATCCGGAATCGCAAAAAAGAACCATCCTGTCCTACATACTAAAGCGTGTACAGAGCACTCTATGGCAGGCCGGTGAACAGTAATTTTCATCAGATATAATCGAATGAAACCGGTAGCGATCCATTCTCCTTAGATTTATGCAATAAAAATAGGTTTCAAAGGTCTGAATGTTCTTTGGTACAGAAATATGTTTCAAATGTCTGAATGTTCTTTGATACAGAAATATGTTTCAAATGTCTGAATGTTCTTTGGTACAGAAATATGTTTCAAATGTCTCAATATTTTTTGCTACAGAAGATACAAAAACAGTACACAAGTTCACTAAAATTACCTTGTTTGATTCATGAATGCCACATAGCAGTTTTCGCTGCATCTGCCTCATTTTCTCGCTTACTTCGACCAAATGAACTGACAAAGCATCGCGGCCAACTTTGAACTGCCTGAAAACCTAAAAAAACCAGTAGCATTGGTTATTTCTTTAAATATCTAGAGCTGAGTAAACTGCACCGCGAGCAATGTGCTTCAAGGACTCACTCGTTAAACGAAAAGATCATTGCTCTCCCTTACTAATAAGCGTACGAGTAATGGAACATTTGGAGTATAGAATCTTTGCTGGATTTTCTACCCCATACAATCAAAAAAAAACTTTACATATACAGCCTTTTCTGATAAGGAGCCATATGTTTTTTGTCATCCTGTTAAGGATATGAGATTTAAACACAAGTTAAGTATCAGCTTATGCTGTGAGTTTAAAAGGTGGCAGGAAAGTACTCGAGAAGAGAAAAATGGCTCTCGAAAAGAACTCCTTTGGCAATTCAACTGTCGACAATACCATACCTCGCACGATAATAGGTAGTTTTAATAAAAAGGAAGGCAAAATGATAATAAAAATGGACTGCTTTAGCAATTCAACTGTCGACAATACCACCCCTCGCACGATAATAGGTAGTTTTAATAAAAAGGAAGGCAAAGTGAGAATAAAAATGGACTGCTTTAGAGTCGGACGAAATGGGAGATTTTATCAGATTATGCATTGAACATGACACTGAATTATTTATGGATTTTTTATCTCCTTACTGAAATCCAGCTGAGACAACCAGATGTCCTCTTAAAATCTCATGGGCATGAGTCTTTTGTCTATTTACTCAGCTTAAAATAGATGATAATATTAGACAGAACATAATCCAGGGGGATGGCATTGAGGATATTCTACAATATATCACCAACCAATGTTTTTACCAGACGTTTGACTCTCTAGCTTCAATCGCATTGGTCAAAAACTGGGACTAAAGAAACTCTGGCATTTGAATAGAGACATGTGGTACATATACAAAATGTGCAAAATAAGGAAAATTTAATTTTTAATGAAAAAATGTGTTTTTTTTACTTAATGTGTCATATTAGAAACATGCCAGACACTGATGTCAAAATTCTCAGTCTGTATTAAGAAAAATCGTAAACATGCCTGACAGAAATGATAAGTAGCCATTTTGAAAATATACCTGTTATTCTGTTTTTAGCTAACTGAGCACATTTTTATTACAGATTAGTCAAATAAAAAGAAAATAAAAAAGGACATCGATGGAATTATAATTTCATATTTTACATCATTGAGAATATTCATAGCTTGAATTCATTCAATATAAAAACATTCTAATGGTCAATCCTATCTCTCAAAATAATAAAGATTGTATTTAAAAAATGATTACCCCTTTAGCCTCTATTCATAGGGTACAATATTGCAGATTGACAAGAAAGGTGCTGTAGAAATTTAGTGAACAATATGTTGATGGCCACTCTATGATTATGCACATATTATATAAGACAAAGTACTTCCACTGATAGTCTTAAGTCTTTATGATTCTTCCGCAGCCCTGTGTTGGTGGAACAGCCTGAGTTGAAATTTTCAAAGTTTCTAAATTAGTTATTTAGATTTAACCTTTTAGCGCAATAACTGATGGAATCCAAGAAAAGTACTCACCCTAAGGATATCTGCCATTAATGTACCTCTTCCTGGCCCTAGTTCTACTAGCTTCACATTTTGTGGCTGTTTTGCTTGGAGCCATTCATTCAATAGCCAAATTCCCAACATCTGCAAAAGCACTAAAGATTACAACATTGTAGAGTAGGGAAGGTATGTGTACATGAATTGAGTACCATCATAACATAAATTAACCTGAATAATATCTAAAGGAGCAGGATAATCTGATGTTTTGAGTAAAGAATATTAAAAAATTTCTTGAAACAGATTTCCTGTTTTTTAATCAGCATAAGCTTTCTAAGAGCATTGTAAATATTTCTGTTTTCTTTCTTGTTGCATGCTGCATGCTAAGAAGGAATGTTTGCAATTAACCAGATTAATTAGATTGAAATAAATCTGTTATTGCCAAATAAGATTGAAATAAATCTTAGAGCCTTTCATTTGAACAAGTTACTTTAATTCCTCAACAATTCTTAAGGATGCTGTGCACATGTAGCTATTATTATATTATGTCTTTATGTAATGCATGGGGCAAAGACAATGAAAGCAGACATGAGAGTTTCCAGCAAGAAGTGTGCAAGAGATCCCACAGAACAGTCAAAATGGTGTAAGAGTATCTTAAGTTCTACTCTTTTACTAGAAATAAGACCTTGATTTCTTCATTTTCATTGAAAACAAAAGAAAGCAAGCCATTTTCAGATTAGCAACATTGAAAGACCATGTTTTCTGTTAGCTACCATACTCCCTCTTGAATTTCCTCTTCAATCCTCTGCCTTTTTAACAGATTCAAAAAAATTATCTTGCTTCTCTTGAAACTGTGCATGTTAGGATACTAAAAGATCACATTTACTTTTATGACCATTGGAAACATTCAACAATGAAGACGAGAAAATTTTAAAAATATTAAAAGAGCAGAGTAATATTATATTTCCAAAGCATACTCACTGTTTATCTTAAATAACATGTTTTAAGACTTTCCTTTTGGGAAATATGGTAGATTTTTGAAAAAAAGAAATTGTTTACCTAGACTTGTTTAAAATACTAAAAATTAACACATTTACTCAACCTACACTTTTACCAAATCACATGGGACACAGGCTATAGGCCAGGCCCGCACAAACCCTGTGCAAAATAGATTTTTTTCGCCCACACAGTTTTTCAAACCATCGTATTTATTTCATCTGCACAATTTAGCTTCCCAATGTTTGCACTACTTATCAGAGTGTTAGTAAATAAAAAGAAAGAGGTCTTATGCGTCTATGTGTTTATCACATGTGTATTATCTGCCAAAGCTTACAATGGAATAGGAAATGTGTTCGCACGAAAGAAATAACATATAGCATTGCTACAAATAATTAAAGGTGAGAAACGTTACTCTGTGCTGTCAAATACAAAACAATTTCTTTTAAAGTCAAGACATATAAACTATGCATTTGCAAAAAACCACATTTGACCAGCAAAATCTAACAAAACTTTGCTATATTCCAAAAAACATTATTTTCCTTATTTGTCTCATTTTAAGGAGTGGTAATACAAAATTTAAAGGTAGTAATACAGACAAAAATGCCTCCTTAAGGTGAATAGTATTTAAAGAATTGGAAAGGTAATGTATTTTTGCCTTTGTAAATACTTAAATATAAAAAAATTACTAACAGCTCTGCATGGCTAAATAGCCCAAACAGCCAAACTGGCAAGGGCTTTTTATAGCATGCTTTGTTTTTTTCGAAGAGAGGCCTGGCTGCATGCCTTAATTTTTCTTATCCAAGTCCTGAGACAAACCAGGTATAAAACATGTATATATATATATATAGATCTTATAAAATAGACTGTCTATACTATTGTTAAAATGTCATCCCTTGAGATACAGCTATTCAAAATAATTTTACATTATATTTTTGTCCGGTATATAACTGTGTTCTTTCGACAATGGCAAATCAAGAGCTTACCTCACCAAACATCTGGCTTATTTCTGGAGATGTGATGAAATCACCAGATTTACCAAAGACATCTTTCTTCATGTAATAGCCCTGTTTAAAAAGAGAAATGGGTCATACAAAGGAACAGAAAGCTCATAAAATCAATTATTCAATTTTTTAAAAAAAATTACTGAAGTTTCTGAACACATACCCATTTTGGGTTAGTTAAAGCTTCTTTCATGTAGGCAGCAACAGAGATTGGTCCTGCGATCTACAAGCAAAAATGATCTATCAATATCAGTTTTCTGAAATCAGCTGATAAATTATTTTCTGGTAGTCAGTAAATTTCTCTTATAAATCAAAGCAATACAACAGCAATTAACTCAATACAAACCTTTATTCTGTTTTTCAAGTAAGTAATAAATTCAGAATTTGCTTTTGAGCTAAGAAAGCAATGTCTGTTCCTTTGGGCAGCATTTCGCAATAGATGTGATGCTTTGTGCCAAAACATTCTTGAAATGTTTTGCAATTCTATAAGACAACAAAAGAAAAACAACTGTTACCTGTTGTCGTGCAACTGTATTGAGATATAAGGTACTAAATGTTTGGAAATATTCACATCTTTAAAAGATCCAGCCTACTTATTGCAGGGAAGTTCAATGAAGGAAGCATCATCAAAAATTGGGGCTTGAAAAAAATAGAGGAAAAGTTGAATGGACTCAATATATGGAATGGTCCCTGATCTTAAAGGTGGCAAATAAAACGATTCTGGTTTGTTCATGGAAAGAAAAAGAAATAATTTTATACATTGTGTCTAGTAAGCACATTTTTGAATGGAGGTGATGGCCAGAAAATTTCTGCAAACTATAGTGAGATAGACTTAGGTAGCTGGGTTTAGACACATCCCCCTTCAGCAGGATCAATTCTGTATTTTGTCTAAATTCAATCAGGAAATGTTGTAGGAGGATTAATTTTTTGGCAATCTTTACTTTGTGATCTGATTCTATGATTTTGAAACTGGCTTTACATAACAAAAAGGTAGTCAAGGGCCTTCCTTGACATTAAAAAGAGTGTGGCTAAACATTTTTGCGTTGTTCCCTTTCAACCATTTTTTGTGATGTCCCCCTTGGCTGGTACCCTCACTGCTGGAAATGGGTTAAATTTATTTCAATTTTGTAGGAACTTCCATAAAAACGTTACAACAAGAGGTAAAAATAGGCCCTTAAGATTTTCAATGCTGATGCGAAAGGTATAGTCAGTTGGGGGAAAAAATACGCATTTTGCACAAAGTTTGCTCCAGAAAAATATTCAAAAGATATCTTGTCAATATTCTTTTATTTTTCGAACTTGAATAGTAATACCTTGTTAACCAAACCTTTGTTGTCTTGCTAATCCAATTAACCTTCTTATAATTAAAGAAAACTAATGCGAAATTTTTCCCCCATCAAATGGGGTAAAAAATGCGGATAGGTGGGGAAAAAATACGCACACATAAAAGAATGAATCCTAGAGGCTTGTTTATGAAGAACACTCATATAATACTTGATTTTCCATGTAACGATGTTAAGCAATAGTTTTGAACAGCTTCTAAGTGATTTTAAAGTTGAAAAGCATGAGGATGTCTGCTATTAAAAACTTTGGCATATGAAAGCGAGGCTATGACTTAAGTGCCAAAAATACATTGTAAACTCCCATTAATATAAGCTTATGTAATATCTCATGATAATTTGTGCCTCTGTGACTCATATTTACATATCTCTATAGGTCCCATACCAACATCAATCAAAATCAGGAGTGCGTAATTTTTCCCCATGTGCTCAAAAATTGTGTGTCCAAAAAATACGCATGCCATGTAGACAAAACAAAAGATAGCAAGCAAATGTAATTATCATAGGTCAAAAGGTTAATCCCTTAGAACAACTGAGAACACTTGACTTTGTGGGCTTGACAGTTACTGACGCGACAATAAGAAAGTTCGATGATTTCCGACAAAACATTATATTGGGCCAATTTACAAGGTAAACATTCAATTCCGCTTTATTCTAAATCAAGAATCCTTACAAAAGGGAAAAGCAGGTCAAATTGACAGGCCTTCTCTAGGCTATACGGGAACCACAAGCAAAACGGTATAAGTGATTGGGCGTGGCTGAAAAGGTGGTGCGTAATTTTTCCCCGCAGAGACACGTGCGTATTTTTTACCCGGATTGACTATAATTATTGAATAAACGGCAATATTGATAGTGTTTACTATAACAGGACACAACAGGAAACAACAGGAAATAACAAGAAACTAATATAAAAGAGGAGAATCAATAAGGAAAGAGCATGAACAATTTGTTGCTTAGCCAAAACGCCTATATCTCCAAGTTTTGTTTGGTCATATAATTCTCCACAGCAATAGCTGTTGTCTCAGATCAGGTTATTGAAACCCAGTGAAGATGATTTTTACCATGCTATTTTTACAATTGGGTAAAATTGCTATTGAAAATCTCAACCAGCAATCTTGTTATGTTCCACTGATTTTCTATGTTGTTCTTTGAGCAAAGGGTTAACTACATTTGCTTTGAAGCATTCATCCTAATACTTTTGTTACCTAAGTGTACACAAACCCCACATTAACTATACTATTACCATGGCTTAAATAAAATCATGCTGTAGTTGATATTTTTCCTACCAATTTCTGCTTATTTCATAGTCGTTTATATTTGTTTCTGTTTGTCTCCTAGTTGTTTCTTCTGTTATGATTGGTTATGATAATGATTGGATTTTGGTGCCACACTGAAAAAAAGATGGAAAACCCCATTTTTAAAATTCAGTTTGCCAGACAAAGAAGAAAGACAATTGATACAGTAAAATGTTTGCATCATTTGTTATTAGTAATGACAAAAAATGTTTTTTATTAAATTAAAGCAGAATTCACAAAAGCACACAAAAATATTAGGGGGGATCACACCCTGTCCCTTGTATATAAATCCTTGTGACCACACATCAACAATTTTTCAGAGTTTGCCCGTCCACCTTTAGGCGAATGATTTTGATATAGATAAACAGGGCCACCAATAATCACAATGGGCCTACTGCATCTGGCACTTTCCAACCCAAAGCAATAAACCTAATTAGGCATTTAACATGGGGCTTGAATTTTCTTTATTCACTTGCTAAATATATTCACGAAGTATTTTTAAACCATTCCAGTACAGATATGATTTGTTTTTCTTAAAATTACTATGTTATTAAGAGTCAGAATTAAAATAGATACAATGTTATTATCAGTGGGCCCCTCTTTGCTTACGGGGACTAGAAGGGGCAATTGCCCCCCCCCCTCTCGGGCCTGTAGATAAAGCATCTGTAACTATAATTTTCTGCTTTATTTAATTATTAGTTTGAAATTTGTTTGCTACATTCGTATATTAGGGTTTGAATTGATTTGATAGAAGTTTATCATTTTGTGGAATTGACGTACGTGCCTTCCCTAATTTGGCGGGAAAACTTTAACGTTAAATAGGTATTGTTTAGTATTTTTTTTAAACATTATTTAAAGAATTGCTCAATGAATCAACACCTTACGTTGACATCACTTTGAGATAGGTATGTTTTTCGTCAGTTTTTGCATTCCTTGCCAAATTTATAAGCTTTCTGTCCTAGCATCTCCGCCATACTAATGTAGAAACTGACCTCCTTTGGAATTATACCCAAACGAGACTCTTCAGGTCTTCATCAATGAACTACAATCCTTGCCAAAAATAACTGGAACGCATTCCCATTGCAGCATGCAAATAAACAAAGAAAGTCTAAAACTACCTCACAAAAATATCACTGCCGCTTCAAAAATTTCGACCCCCTCCCCCCGTACAATGTTGATTTATCTTCTCAATACTTTCATACAGCTTTCAGTGAAGAAATTTTTACCTTCAGGATCAAAACAGCCCAATTGAATAACATTGTAATGGGGGGTAGGGGGGATTTTTCAAAAAAGCTTCAGCTTTGCACAAGTGTTCCAACAATTTTGGCAAGGATTGTAGAACTGATCAGTGTTCTTTCTGGGGAAAAGAGGACTGTCACACAGGAAATCTATGGCCCATGCAGTTTAAAAAAATGTGAATGCATATTCAAAAATTTGTGTACGCAAACACAGGGGTGCTGTCCATTGTTTTCCATCTCATACAGTGTACTGTTATAAAGGAGACAAACTACAGCTTGACAATTATTGGAAGGCTCCAGCCCCCCGATTTCGATGGGCCTGTGTTGCTAGCTTCTTGGTTCAGAGCCTGGGAGAGTCTGCTCCTGTTGGTAGGTGCAACAAATTCCAAAATATTACCCTCACCCAAGTTCATGACAGCATATCCTTAATTAAATTAATAAGTTTTAACCTCTCTAATGTTGAAAACTCTCGTTGAAAAGAAGAGAATAAACAAGTCTGAAAAGTACTTTTGCTAATTATTTTTGTTCTGCTTAGGAAGTGTTTTACTAAGGCTTGCTTTTCTTTGGTGAAATTTAACGACTCAACGGGCATCCAAAATTTATTTGACAAAAGGACCTTTTTTCAAAAATCTGTCAGCATATGCTTTGTGTCGTTTTGATAAAACAAGTTTGTTTTATGTCAAATAAATTTTGTGCCTGTAAAGTCATTTAATTTTCTCCATTTTTTACCCACCAGGAATAAGAATCCTGAACATTTTTATGTAAAAACCTTATCCTTTCCCAAACAATTTGCTCCATTTCACTATGGAATCACACACCTAACATAATAAATGTCTTTCCTTTCAAAACTTTGTGAACACTACATGACCATTTACAAAATTGATAGAAATAGTTTCAATATTCCTATTGACTTCTATCGGGTGAGGTATAATGCTTAGCTACTTTGTATATAGGGAAGGCTGCAGGTGTGTATCAAGCAGTGAGCATAAATCTCACAAATGCATTTTTGAAATCATTATACAATTCCTTGTGAATCCCAAAGAGGACAATGGGAAAAATATGAGGTTGTCAGCATCAAGACATTTGATATATATGAATACAAATTGTACCACATAGACATCCCATACAAATAAGTAGAATACTACATGTAAATTGACAAAGGTTTTCCCCATGATTCAATGCAGAAACAAGGCTGTTCTACAGAAATTTGCAAACCAACTGCAATGTTACTAAATTCATGTAGTAAAAGTCAAAATTGGTATGTAGAGTGCATCAAATCAGCAGCATGTATGTATTAAAATGTATCACAATCATTTGCATGTATGTATTATAAGCTGGATGTAAGTATTTGTCATCATAATTTTGCACTTAGTCACTCAGCAAGGTGTGAAAAAGCAGCATCTTTTTCATCTAACAATTCCTTTGCTGTTGCATCCATTCTCTCTCTTGAAAACTCATCAATCTGTAATCCTTGGACAATGCTGTAGTTTCTGTCAGCACCAATAGTAACAGGGAAGGAATATGCAATGCCTTTTGCAATACCATATGAACCATCTGATATGATACCCATGCTAACATAAGTTCCCTGAAAAGTAGGACAGATAAAATGAACACCAATTTAAGATTTTGAAGAACCAACATGAATGATCTGGAAGCAAGAAATTGTATGGTTGCCGACTCTAATGACAAGGCTGGTGCGCGAATTCTTGAGGAAACACCACATTCTAGCTCCAACAACATTTAATGAAATAGAAGATGAGGTTCTCTTTTCACTGGTTGACAATTGATTATTCTCAGTAACCAGAAAAAAACCAATCTGCTAATTATCTTGCAAATCTAAGGTTCTAAGTACCAATTATATTCCAAAATTTAAGGTACCTCCTAATGTGTTTTATTTACATATATTTAAACGAGTCTCTTACATCGAGTTACATTGGGCATTAATTAAATTAAAATAAAAACTGAGGTACCGTTTTAGTTCCAAACCACCAATCTTTCATATGATCACAAATGGCTTTGGATGCAGACATGGCACTGGACAATTTTCTGGCCTTTATTATGGCAGCACCACGTTGTTGGATTGTTTTGATAAAGTCTCCTTTTAACCAAGCATCATCCTTTATTGCTTGCATGACTGGAAGCTCTTTGCCATCGACTGAAACAACTGCATGTCTCACATCAGGATACTGAGTTGAAGAGTGGTTTCCCCAAATAATAACATTTTTAGCTGCATGTGGTTGAACACCAAGTCTGTTTGTAATCTAGAAAAATATCACACATGTAAAAAATAGTCACCTGATGACAGCACCAAGCATTAACCCAGAATTGCAACTACAGATCCAAGCATGCAAAATAAATAGAATCATTGTTACGTAAGGAAAAAGGAGTGATTTTAGGTTCAGGCAGCTTAAAACACAAGTGGTCAACACTGTAAAACTGTACATATACATTCAAGTACCTGTGCAATTGCCCTGTTGTGGTCCAATCTTGTAAGGCATGTGAAATTCTCCTTGGGAATAGATGGTGCACACTTTGAAGCAATGAGGCAGTTGGTATTAGCTGGGTTACCAACAACAACAATTTTGCATGTCTTCTTGGCATACTTTTCCAATGCCTCTCCTTGAACCTTGAAGATTTTTGCATTAGCCTTCAGCAGGTCTTTCCTTTCCATACCCTCTCTTCTTGGCATTGCACCAACAAGAATTGCAACATCAATGTTTGCAAAAGCTTCTTTTTCATCAGCAGTGGCAACAATAGCTACAATTGATAAGTTGGCAAAGATAACTTTGATTTTTTTTAAATGATTTTAAGCTTGGTGATTTCGATTATTTAATAAACAACATCTTTGATTAAAATGTTTTGTATGATGTCTCACTCTAAGGAAGCCCTGTATCCCAAGGTCAAATATATATATATATATATTTGATTCTCAATAAAAAACAATTTGTTTGAAATTTTGCTGCAAGCTTCTTCAGAATAACTAACACATACATTTGGAGCGTAAAATAAGGAATACGAAACAAAAGAACAAAAGGTAACACATTCTTAAAATGGATCTTACACGAAAGCAATGGGAGAGCACAGTCCTGAAGTTCCATGACAACTCCATTGAGTACTGGCATCATGGATGGAATGTCTAACAATAACAGGTCTATTGGCTAGAAGAGAAAAACAAAATTCAAATGATACTTGTTGACAAATTGGCTGAGAACAGTCAAACACAAGAATGTACTTTGATGTATTTGTACAGAAATTACAATTTGGAAACACATTTATTCTCACTGATAGTGAATGAAAAAAGAAGTAAGAAGTAATAAAGTGATTTATTGAATGACATTGAAGCAAAGACAATATTTAACTTAACAATGTTATTCAATGCATTTACATACTTGATCTGCTCCAAAAACATCTCCTTTTGCAATAGGATACAAAAGGGAATATGCAATCTGCCCTGCAGCTCCAGTCACCAAAACCCTGATGGATGCCTTGAGGGAAAACAAAAAATATCTTATTGAGAATATTTTGAACTATTTCACTGATTTCTGTTAAGATGGTGCCCAAAGAATATACAGAAACTAGATTTACATATTGTCTGTTGTGGCCTGGCAGGTCGGGCTTTACCTGTTTGTCAGTTCCAAGACTAATTTCCAATATAATGGTAAATTCTTATCGAAACTTTTCAACATTATCATATCAAACAGGTTTATCATAGAAATGACTCCATAGCTCATTTTTTTCTGATACTTTGGGAATTGGTTCTACTATTTGCATAAAATGCTACCATAGTTGGTCATAACAACAACTGTTGAAAACGAACAAATGCGTCCACATTAGCGTCCCTGTGTATTTTCCAGGTAATTTAAAGCGTTCTGGGTGCAGTTGAATACCAATAGTCATTAGCTTTTACGCTTCAAGCGCAAACGCGTTCTAAATGGTTCAGTCATGATAACCCTGTAGCTGTAAAATGACTTCCCATGTAACGGCTTAGACATCTATCCCATTGCAGGACATTGATGGCCTTTAGCCTGTCCTGCACTAAGAAGCATGCAGGAGTGCACGGGTCGGTTGCTTACCGAATGAAGTGCTAAGGGCTATTCTGAAACAAAATCTTTCGAGAACATCAGCAAATATCGTTTACACTGTTTGGAAAAAGTAAATATTCATTTTAAATTTGAAATACGGTAATAGGCAAAGGGGCGTTCACACATTCCTGATGCAAAGGAGAAAATATTGCTTAGGCCTAACACAGACGATGAATCGTAAGTCCCCAATTAATGCCTCGAAGAGAAAATAATTCAACTGGATAAAAAGGTAAACTAAAGAAATCCATAAAACCAGAAAAGATGAATTTGCACCATACCATTTTGGAAGATTTGTTTGAAAAAGAAGTGACCTGATGCTTCTGTGCAGCTCTTTCTGGTAGCGACTCCTTTGCAGAGAGGACAACACGTGACGCTGTGGACACTTTTTATGGACAGTGGACACGTAGAAGGTCCTATAACTTATTCATAGATTACAATTCACGATTGTTTTCTTTGTCTGGATTGGGAAAACCAGGTATCAAAAACCCTTTTGACAATTGTCAACAATTAGTTTCCAAGATGTTTGGGATCTTCATTGATATACACAAAGACATACTTGGTGAAGAGGCGCAGCTGGAGCAGGGACGGATTCATGCAGCATGGATTGGGGAGGGGGATTCTAGTTAATGATTGGAATTTGTGCCACGCCTTTCAGGCGACAGAAAACTGACGGAAACGCCCGTTTTAAAAACTCAGTTTTAAAATCAGCAGATAAATAAAGCAACTTTTCTGCATCATTTTGTTACTGCTGACTACCAAAAATGCTTTTTACCTAATTTTAGCAAAATTTACTGAAGAACACCAAAATATTGGGAGGTGTCACACCTCCTACATTTCTGAATAAATCCGTCCCTGAGTTGGAGCTATATTTAATGGGGTTTGGGGATAGCTGGAAAAAAGGTGACAAACAAGTATTTTTTTCGCAAGTTTCCGACAAATCTGGATTAGGGCCGGGCTATGGTGGAAAGCTCCTTCATCGCGGCGCCAAAGTTACGTATTGAAAAGTTGACGGGCACAGCGATAAGGGAGCATCATATTTAATGTGGGTCACGCAAAAGGGAACATTTTACCATAAAAGGGGTTCATCTAGAAAGGGCAGTAAGCTATGAACTTCAGTACGTTGCCAAGGTATGCCGAAGTTTGGTTAACTTCATTTATTGGAACCTTCTTGCTTTGCTGTTTCAAATTTTACGCTAACATCCGGAAATCTTTTGACACTCATTTGCTCTAACCCCTTATCCTCTGTTTAGCACATAATTTAATCATTAATTATAATCATTGCCCAAAATCACATTTTACAGTAGCTCAGCCTCAGCCTTCTCTTAATTTGTTTATAACTTTAACAAACAGAGAGGCTCGTGTTCTTATAAAAAGAGCGCGCTTTGTGCCTCCACAAAGTTATCAAACGACAGCATTAACTAAACTAGGCCATATTACAACCAATCTTCACCTTCAAGCGTCGGTCTCTCCTTCCTTTGATGTAAAGCTCTGTATTTTTTTATCTTTCATGGAAGGAGAAGAAGTATATGATTAGCATTAGAAAATAACGCTTCATCATTAATTTAACTCAAAAGATCCTTTAATCAATGTTTTTCTATTCATTCCTCTTGGTGAAATATTGTGTAGCTCGTCTCGAGAGGCTTCAACGAATAACTTTCAATTGTTCAAAACAGTGAAGCTACAGGCAATCTCTCGATCCATAGTTAGCAGTCAGTGTCAAACAATGCCAAAAACTACGTCGTTTAAAAAGGTTTCAAGGGAAAAGAATCTCTTAATTGTACCAAACCCTATTGCTTAGCTATCCGGCTCGGTGAACCATGTCTAACGTTGATATGAACAAACGGCCTAGAGACTGGTTTCCATATGATGGCAAGGATTGCCAGCGACGCAAGGGTCGCACAAATTCGTGACCAGCCATTCTCAGCGATCCTTGCGTCATGTGGTTTCCATTTATCTCAACGATCGCACATACTTCAAACGTTGACAACAATGTTCAAAATGGCGGGAGCAGATGACAATCAAGTGAAAAGATAATTGTTGCAGGCTAACTGCTTTTTAATAACGGCGTTGCTGAAGAGAGTAACCATCCGTCGCTGGCGATCCTTGCGATCAAATGGAAACCAGGCTTAACTCACAGTCGATGATTTAGCCTCATGACTGACCTTCTGACGTATATGGCATGTTTTTCTAAGGGAGTTTATGCCTTTCATTGACTGGGAACCATTTTTGTTAATTTTGGTATTTCATCTTGTTTAATTATATGTTGTATTCTTTAACTTGGTAAGCTTGGTGTCTAATCACCCTCAAGCTAATTACATCTATTTTTATAGCAACTGATATCTTCTCTGAATCGGACTATTTGTAAATAATTAATGGAAAGGGCATGGTCTAAAAACTTTTGGTCACGCCCTTTTCAGCCCCTTCACTTTAGACTGGTGCGCGGTGCCTGGAAATGTCCAAATCCTTTTTTAATGTAAGCGTGTAACACTGACAGGAGATTCGCAATAGAATAGATTTTTTGAACTTTTAATGTCGACAAGAAAAAAATTCATAGGTTGAAAGATTTTTCACCATACCCCTATTCCCAAAGCTTGGACACAGTGAGTAAATCCTGACGCTGTTTCAAATCAGATAAGCGAATGTGAAAAATGTAAAAAAGAAAAATACTAAGAATCAAGCCATAAACAATCTATAATGTAAAGACTAGATTCATTTGAAATTTGAAAAGAAAATTGATAATGGTTTTTCTAATAATTACTATTTGGAAAGAAAATCGATACCAGCTTTACTATAGAAAATCTTTTAATTTTACATTTTAGCCCTACATCTGTTTCATTTCAGACGTCTTAAATAAATGTTTGTTTTGATACATAAAACTAGTTTAGTTCGTTTTACACCAAAACTATCTAGCAAAAGCAATATTCTTAAACAGCAATGTTCACAAAACAATAAACATGATTAAAAGGGGAATAAAAATGGTGTTCTGAAAAAAAAAATATTCAATGAAAACTTTAAGCAGAAGCTAAAGATAAACAATCCTTTAAATGATTCTTACATTTCATGTATAAGTTTATTCACCAAACAAACATTCTGCTAACACTTTTAAAGCATCGGCGAAAATATTAGGAATTCAAGGTTTAAGTTCTTTCCCAGTTACAGTAAGCCACTTTTAAGCAGAACGAGCTCCATTGTTTCAAGAACAGTTTTTGTTTCAATTAAACCGTTTTAGCTGGAACCTCTCCAGTGGTCTTTAATTTATCTCTCCAGAACTTTATCCCAGATAGCTGGCCAGACATACACGTGTGGGATTCAAACAAAGACCAAGCTCCAAGGTAGTCGTACCCAGGGCCTACATTATGATGAGATATCAAATAGCCAAAGGCATCATGGACGGCAGAGTGATAGGCCATCGGTCCACTGTCATCAAAGAGAAATTTGTGGACCCAGCCGCTGTCACCAGGACCGGTTCTTCCTATAAAAAGAAGTACCCATAAGAACAAATAATAAAGCTAATTTACTCATAAGAGATTTAACCTGTTACCCTGACTATTGACTTACTACCCGTACAGGACTATTTCAATTTTTCACTTATTGCTCATTAAATCCGTACACAATTTGATGATGCAAGGTCATCAATTGTACATGTATGAAAGAACAAGAAAAAATAACAACCTCTCTCGACTTTGCTACCATTTATTGCAAACGTTAGCCTAGAACAACCTGAATATTTGACATCAAAAGTTCAAAGTGGTTTGAAAAGAAAATGGGTTTGAGATTTATAGCCAATGGGCTAATCAGTAATCCGTTCTGTTCCCGTTTGAGCAGAAGAACTGGTCCAGAGAAATAATGATTACTATAATCTCAACAGAGTTGTTCGATTCGACAGACTGTCTTTACTGTTCAGGCCCGTCCGAACGGGGAGAGGGGCTAGGGGGCCTCCAGCTCCCCCAATAATTGCCAAATTGTAGTCTGTTTCCTTTATAACAGTGCACGGAATGAGAAGGAAAACAATCGGCAGCCCCCAATATGAAGTTCGTTCTGACGGCACTGCTGTTATGCAATCATTTCCGTGTAAATAGGTCGCAAAGCAGATTAAGCAGTCTTGTAACTGTTTAATGATGCTTTGAAGAAAGCATTATTTTTCCAGATATTGTGTTTCAAAGTATAGTACACAAGTTTGAAAATAGTTGGAAAAGTATTTTACGATATCACTACACTGACCCAATGTTGGATTTAGCAAAACACCAAAGATAGGATCCATTGGTCCATAATTAAGATCCAGCCAGTCCGCGACGACCTTCCCAGACAGAAGTTGCTGACGAGTCGCCCAGTATTCAATGTGAGTCAATTCTTCAGAAACAGCTGCAAGAGAAGAATTAATTTAACTGAATCAACTACAGTAAAATCTATAAATTTCCAAAGCTCCTTGTTTCTGCATCAATTATCTCTATTTATAGGCAAGAGTAAAATATCCATCTCGAAGTCAAAATTGTTTTTTTCACATTTAAAGACTCACCTCTCTTGAAAAGCTGAGAGATGCAGCCTAATTTGTTAACACAAACTACCCTTGCAGTTTTACATCAGACTTTTTAAAGTGATTTGATAGCAAACTACTTGTAAGCAACTCAATCTAGCACTAATTGAATAGTCTTGTACAAATGAAAATTCCTCGTTATTCTTTTTGGAGGCCAGCAAATTATATCTCGCTACACAGATAGAAATTACAAGAAAACAGCTTGACTAAGCAGAATTCTTTGGTATCTAAAGCTATCTGACCATACATTTGTCGATTCCTAGTGAAGTATTAAGGAAAATTGAAATATGTGGTGAAACCTTAAAAACCTCTACCACCTTTCTGACAAATCCCAGTACAATGCATAGAGTAAAAATCAAATGAACTCAATAAATCTCGCTTAACAAACTTGCATAAAATCTTTTTGAGCAAATGCCGCATCTATGAAATTTTTAAATTAAATCAAACCAGACGTTTGGACCTTGACATGTACAAACCACACTTCTAGCAAGCTTTGACTGAGTTCTTAAAGACAACATTTAACCTATCGCTAATTGTGTGAAGAAACAAAGAGTCTTTTGAAGTTAAAAAGGATGATTATCTCAAGAGCATTTGCACACCTTCGTAAGACAACCCAAACATTATTTTACCATGAGTATTTTGCCTAATTTGAAGACTTTTTGCTTTGGTAATACGTAAATGAAGTCCATTTTTTACTTTTGTGTTTAGATAACTCACACTCTATAAAACTAGAAGGTAACTTGCACTCTAAAACTATAAGGAAATACACCATCAAGATTATAGGCCTAGGAGACATAGGGGCTAGGAAAGATGCAGTCTTACTAATCAGAAAAATGTATGGCGCTTCATGCTACATTTAGATAGTTCTACCTCAAAGGAAGCAATAACTCTAAAACTCTAACCTGTTTAGCATTTACTGCGCTCATTATCAAGATGGACAGAAAGCGCCAGGGAAACAAGAACGATTATTTCATATTGTCATATGTCTTTGGTACTGCAAAACATATATTACCAACTCGAGGCAAAACCAGATCTACATTCACCTCAACAAGTTTTCCGATATATACGATGAGCGAAGAGATCCATGCAACATAGGTAAAACAGTACAATAAGTATAACGGCATCATCATTATCATGATTATCGCATTTTATTGATTCACTAGGTATTCAGCACTCAAAAAACTAAAAGTGTATTTATTGAAAAAGGCATAGCTTTGTTAAAACTTTCATTCAAAAATCATTCTTCATAGTTTGGAGAAAAAGCTTCAGTTAATCTGTGATAGATTTTGTTGTTATATAGAGAATAAATACTTTTTAGAAACAGGATGGCTGTTTCAGCATTCTGTTTAATACGTTTTTACTTATTCATAGTTTTATATAAAGGAAATCCTGTTGCTGTTCGCTGTACTCAAATTTCCTTCTCTGTTCTCATCAAAGCAAATATCGGTTTTCACCAGGCCCATTTCAAGCAAACTTGTCGTCGTAGATTTCTAACATAGGTCTTCTACACAGCATTTAAATGATAACAAGTAAAAAGAAAAAAAAAGCGAAGCAAGTTGGGACTTTTGAAAACAAGTCAATGCTGTAAAAATGTGCTACATCGAGTACTTTTTGAATGATTCAAATGCTAAAATGGCAGCGTTGCCCGTAAAATAAATTTGTTCATAAATACACCTGGAGGAAAAATATTCCAAATTCATTGCAATATGATCAAGATTTAATGCCAATTAACAGAACATTCTAATTGCTTTAAAGACATTAGCTGTGGCAGCAAAGCTCATAAATGCAGCTGGCCTAACAATCACATATAGCAGCTTTCTTTATTTCAATTCTTGTAGTGACATTAAAGTTGTTCACATGAAAAATGTTGAATCTTAGTAATGAATATTGCAACGTTTTCATCTCAATGATAGATAGTCTTATTATGCTTGAAAAAAAACTTTTATCAATAAGTCATAAGTTTTTCCCCACTGCCTTTTTCACAAGGGAAAACATAAAGTAAGATTCTGCTTAAGCTCAATAGCTGTATCTCGAATGATACTTGCTGAAAATTAATACTGAAAACTGAATCATTTTGAATACAAAATGTTCTAATATCAACCATGCCATGACATGCGCGGGTGATCTGAACTTTTTTGAAGTTGACATGCTCAAAAACAAACATTTTTACCACATATTCCTTGAGTCACGGTACAAAAATTTTACATTTATTAAATATTACATTCATAAAAAATAATTTCATAATCAACGTGAAGAAGATAGACTGTGAAATTGACTTCAACTAGTTGCTTTCAAAGTTTAGGAAGTTCTCATCAACTTAAACATGATAATGTTTTGTCTGCTAAACTATTTGACATATTATAAATCCATGCAAAGAGCTATCTCCTTAAAAGTACAATATAAGCTCGAAAATCTTGAGAAATGAAACTTACTTTCTCTCTCTTTGTATATTTGAACAAACTTCTTTGCATCTGCATGAAACTTTCTTGAAAGTCTTGGGTTTGCATTGGCAGAAGGCTGCCTTGCTTCAAGGCATACTTGTAAATAAAATTGGAATTCTTCTTCTTCCCCAGAAAAATCTTGATCAACACTGCGAAGTACTTCATCTATACCTGAGAGCGCCTCTGATAATCTAATGCCACTCTTCACAGTTGTTGGTGGCAAAAGGGCTTGCTCTTCCTCGCACTGTCCATGGAAATCAAGATTGATCAGCGATGTGCAATAATCAACAATATTTTGATTCTTTGGTGAAAGATCAAACGTCTTGACCTTTTCTATCGGGGTTGTAACTGTAGACGATGCACAACGTTTTTCCGGAAATTTTTCTGGCGTTTTTGTCCCGTTTTGTTGCCATATCTTTTGTCCAACCTTTTTGTCTATGTAGTCTGACACTTTGGATACAATATCTCTGTCGACCTTTGTTGTCAAATCGCTTGAAAAGTTAGTGCTGTTATCGAATATGTTTCCAAACAAGCTCATGCCAATTCTAAGTAAATCTGCCTAACAAACAACATACGCATAGGTTGCTAAACATTCGAGTACAAATAATTCCTAGGAAAGGCCCAAATTTCAGCACTTGTAAAATGCCATTAGCAGCTCTTTTTAAAGCCCTTTATGATCATGTGGTGAGCTCATTCTGCAGCCTAAGCATCTTCCAGCCGATCGCTTGCAAAGTTATGTACACCTGTTAATTTAATAAAATGTCTTTAAATCATCAAGAAACCGGGGGTTTGTCTGAAGCTTAAACACAATTTTAACTTATCGGTTAACGCAAAGTTGACGATCTGATCACCTAGCAGCATTTACCAAATTAATTTTTGCCACTTAAACTTTAATAACAATAATAAATAAAATTGAAGCATAAATTGGAAATGACGATCAACATATTTGTTCATCAAGTGATATTATCTAATTAACCTGCTCCAACTGGATAAGAAAACTATAAAGTTTGGAATATACGCTACTTTGTGACGGTACCGGGCACTTAATGACAGACCAGTAAGCAGTAATTTTCTTTAGTTTGGAATCTATACAAAACAAGCATTTAGAATTGCATTTCCTTATAGTGTTTGTATCAAAACTTCTCATTTTGCAACAAGTTTAAATTGTCAATCTAAACTTCGACATAAAAACTTGAGTTGTATTTGTGATCAGAAGATTCGCAGATTAGGCATTTTCTAATTGTTCCTATTCTATTTGATTACTTCTGTCGTTTTTGTCACGCGAAAAAGATTTCCATTTTAGCAGAAAAGCGTGCAAGATTGATCATTTAGCTAATGAGAGATAGGTGGTTTGAGTTTAAAGCCAGCTTTGTATCCTTCCTTAAACATTGTTCATTTGATATCATCATCTATATGTTGTTCATTAAAACGGAGCTTGAATGCTTACTCCCAACTAAGAACCGTCCTGTATGAGCCAAAATGGCCTAATATAGCTTAGGTAGAAAATATGCAAGTAATTTTGTAAAGATTTCAATTGATCAAAGTATATCTTATATGCTTATTAGGCCTGTAAATATTACATGATCAAAATTAGATCTGAGAAAGGCCCAATCCCACATAGCAGCTTCCTTGAAAAAAGATAAATGTCAAGTTGATGCGCTAATTTGTTCGAAAATAGAAGGCTTTGTTATTTATTTTATGTATGTCATTGCCAAACTCAGCATCATTTAAGGTATTTATGAGCAAGCAATCAAATCAAGCCAGTGGAAAAATCTTTATAAGAGTTCAACAAAGTCTAAAAGAGCTGGACCGCAGCAGCTCTCTAATAATTGTTTAAAGTATCGTGCATATTTCTAGGACGTTTTGTGAGATAATTTTGGATAACGTTATGAAGAAAAATTGAAGTAAACGCAAGCTAAGAACATCGAGGGAAGGTTTTTTATAGAGAAGTTTCTTCCGAATTTGCCCCAACGTCCCCAATTTCGGACCCCTGATAATTTCCCTCTCCCTAAGGCCCTGAAAAGTGAAACTAATTTGTTTGCCCTGAAGCTTTTTCTGGTAAAAAATGCTTGAACAATACAAGACACCTCTTAATCATCAATTCAAACCTAAAACAACAACACAGTCTTTCGACTACAAATTCTATTCAATCTCCTCAAATAGGTAAAGATTTTTAAAGCTATATAAAATCCTCTATAACAAGCATTTTAGTGATAATGGAAACATTTCATTTTCAATTCAACTTAAACTACAATTACAAATCTCACTATTACAAGGTAATTTGCAATTGGCTAGCCTGGTTTTACAAGAAAAAACTATAACAATCGTATAGTAAAAGGAAAAACTGAGAAAAATAAAGCAACCAAAATTAAAACGGATGTAATTCCGGATTTGTCCATGGTTTATTTTTGCAACAAAATATGTAGTACGTAGTACGGATGGCAATGTTGGAAAGTTTAGAAATGAGATGCCGTTTTTGTTGCTGATCGATGGAGAGAGAGTCACACATTTTGAAGAAGGAGATGCAGGAATTGCCAAAGATGCCAAGAGAGCTCATAGAAAGATTCACAAAAGAGACACATTTGAACTTTCGCTGTAAGACAGATAGGAGAGGAGCATACTTGCTGTGTTTTCTTGTAGCATTTGTCTCAAGATTGGATTCAAAACCAACAGTAAGCTCTAATATGTATAGGTAATTGTTGTTAGTCTTCAAGAGAAGATCTGGGCGAAGGTTTTCTCCAGTTATGATTGATGGTGAAAGAAAGCCAGGTATATCAGCGTAGATGGTAGATTCATTGACAGCTTTTAGTGACGTAGCTAGAAAGTTTAGGATAGAGTTATGTCGCCAGGTGTATCGGCCTTGTTCCAGATATGTTTTGCAGCCAGCAACAACATGAAGGAGGGTTTCTGGCAGAAAACAGAAAGAACAGTCAGAAGTCTGGCTCAAGTTCCACTTTTTCAAGTTTTTCTGTGTAGCAAGGGTATTGTTTAGGTACCTTATGGTGAAATTGAAAATATTCTGAGGCATGCTACTTTGCACCTTGGACCAAAGTTTGTTTATTTGTGGAAGATCCTGGTTAAAAAGATGTGACAATAAAGATCCTTGGGAAGTTAGAATGTTTTACAGACGATCTTTATGTTCTTGCTGGACAGCCTTTAAATAATAATAACAAAAGCTATTATATTGCGTCATACATTCACAGGGCTCATAGGCGCATTACAATTGACAATTCTAATTTTTAAATGTATGTTAAAAAGGGGTTAAAGTTTACATGGTTTTCATTAAAATCTCAGTTAAAACAATTTATTCAATAAAATACTTCTAAATAAATGTTTCTTCAAATAAGTTTTAAACGTTTCTAAAGTGTTGCATGTTCTAACTGAGTAGCATTTTAGCATTGAAATTCTTACAAACATTCTCTCAAAATTCAACAAAACTCTTGCAAAAACATCTCACAAATTTTGAGAGTCATTAATATTTTTATATAGTCTCACAGTAAGAATCTAAGACGTAAGTACATTTTTGCTTACATTATATTTATTTAACGAGAGAGATTTTGTTTTCAGTATTTATTCATGAAATCGATGTCAGCATGCTATATGTTTTCATTATTCAATAATATATTTCGTTGCAATCTCTATATTTGCGATTCAAAACAATACTCACCTGCTAGGGCAGCAGCTCTGTGGAGCCGAGGTGCAAATCAGGACTTGAATTCCACACTAGGCTCATTTTGCAGTACAAAGTGTCACAGTTTTCATTTTGCTGTCAGGAATCCCGTTTTACTCAATGAAACATGGCTATGCTACTTCAGATCAATAACACTCGCTAAAAAGCACGTCTTCTTTGGCAATTGAAGCAAGCTTTTCGTTGCAGCATCGAGAGCAGGTAGAGATACAGAACGGTTTGCAGCTGTCTCATTTTGTGCTTTCTTTAGCAAGAATAAACATACGATTATCACTTGCATTTTTAGCCTGCCGATCCTATACATAATAGGGTACTTTTAATGAAAACGTTGTTTCTGTTTAAATGAATATAACAAGTTTATTAAAAAAATCGACAAGATTAATAACAGGTGGTCTACTCTAAGAATTGCAGACACATTGAATTAATAGGATTCTGTAGATTTTTATACGAAACAGCCCTCTGTTGCTGCTAGTTATATGTGAGGAGATATTTTGAATGTCTTAAATTTGGACTTTTTGTAATAAGGGAATACCTTTTGTCATACCAAAAACGGACATGAAGTTTCAGACTGTGCTGATAGTTGACATAAGATATGGGAAATAAAGTTTTAATGTGTTTATGGGAAGATGATACTAAGAACTAACATGAAGTTTTCGAAATATGTCAACCTTGCTGAGTTTAAAGGCAATCGACAGACACTGAAGTCACGTAAGCCATCTGTCGATCAGTCATTGACCAATCAAAAAACGTATGAGTGGTAATACGCTTTTTGATTGGCAAATTTTGATTGACAGATCTCTTAAGTTATATAAGTATCTGTCAATTGCTTTATCAAATCGGAGATAAAGGAACCGCCTAGTATTCGTATCAAAATATAGTTCAATCTAGTTCAGGTATACAATAAAACTAGTTTTCAGGTTTATAACTTGCATAGTTTAAAAGATATGGAGGGATACCCGAAGGAGTACTGGGTACAAAGACCTCAGTTTAATATTTGCTTTTGGGGGCGTTTTTGAACTAGTGTCTGCATCTCAATCTATTTAACATGTCACACTATGCCAGACAAACTAGTTCCGAGTTTATAACTTGCATAGTTTAAAAGATATAGAGGAACACCCGAAAGGGGACTGGGCACAGGTACCCAAGTCTAGTAATAGCTTTTAGGGGCGTTTTTGAAATAGGGTCTGCATCCCATCTTATTCAGCATGTCAAATTGTGTACTTGTACTAAATTTCATGCTTGTATCATAAAATGCACAATTCAACTACTAAGCAACTGCACTGATACTTTATTGATTTGATTTTGAATCAGGGACGCCGAAACATCTTTTGAGGTTAGGGTGGAGGTAGGGAAGGGTGGGGGTACGGACTACACTATGACAAAAAGGCTAACCTTTATAGTAGTTTGCCACTATTATCTTTAATGCCATTACCTTGATACCTTACTTCAGCAAAAAATGCTGGGAGGGCGGCTACAGTCCTCTTAGCCCCCTGGCTCCGGCGTGCCTAATGTCGTTTTGGAAAACTGTACTCGCTTTCGTTTTTTCTTTATTTTAAATGGTGTTTCTTTTACACGTCGATCGAAACTGTTGGGTTTTACACATAATCTAAAAAAGTTTCTAAAACACTGGAATTTAGATAGCCGATCCATGAATCTTCTCAAGGTTTCACAATGTTTACGGGTTTGTTAGAAAGCAGATGAATAATTGATAAAAGAATGAAGATTAGATCTTGAAAATGATACATAATGAGAGGTAAACAGGTAAAATACATTGCTAGTTGCAAGAATATGAATACGTGACAATCATAGCGTAGAAAGAGTTGCTCAAGAAAAGTTGAAGCACCAGGCAAGGCGATGTATAACATAAAATAAATGAATAGAAAAGCCTAGCGCGATACAGTTTTGCTACATTTATGATTCAATAAATGTTTGCTTGTAAAAGTAGAGCTGGTAAAGGTGTTAAAGTTTAAAATCATGGAGTAAATTGTTTTCACAAAAATTGAAGTTTAAAGTGATACCGCCAATCACAAAAGCAGAAAACCAGTTTAATATCCTGAGAATAATCAAAGATTTTGTGCAGTCTTAGAATTGAATTGTTTTTTTTGCAGTTTTTGATGACAAAATTTTTTATGACGATGATGACGATGACCAAAGGGCAAGCATGTTTTTGTCAGTTTTAGAATAAGATTCCGCCCAGATCCTATTTAATAATCTAGTGGAAATTTAAAGCTAGCCCTACAGGACACTGTAGATCCATTACATCACACAAATGAAATATCTACATAGTTTTTAGAATTCCTAAACGGCATATTTAGCTCAAAACAACATTTTGAGTTGTAAACTGCCTTTAGAGAATTATATCGTTACAAGTATCTACGCATTTATTTTAAGTTACAACCCTGTACCAGCGCAGGTAACTGCAGAAAGGAACACATTTGCATCATTGCTAAGATAGGGTGGTATAGGTGCAATAAACCAGTGCCGTAGTACATATAAAGTAATTTTTACTTTTTAAATTAAAGACGTAAAGCAAGTTATACTATGCAATTTTGTATTTGTCAATGCTCAGTGATTTTACGCCACATTTTGCGACTAAAAAGTAAGTAGTGAATTATGCTTCAGTTTTTAGAAAGTTTTCTTTGCGAACTTTTGTCGTTGAAATGAGGTTCCTGTTTGCATCAGCGTTTTGTTCTTTGAAACAAATCTTTGACATCATCAGCAGTCAACACAGCTTTCCAGATAGCAAGGTCGTCAATGTATATGCTTGGTGCAGCACCTTGAGCCCAGGCACCACCAACTCTCAAAACCGACGAAGTGGTGCTTAGGCTAACTGAAGTAGTTGTTCCACCGCAGATATTCTTTTGTCCATTGACGTAAGCACATAATCCTTTAATGTCATCAACAGTAAGGACGAAATGGTTCCACCGTGTTCTTGTAATATTCTTGCCGAATGAACTGATACTCCAGCGTTTGGCACTGGTGAGAGACACTTGAAAATCAAAACCATCTTTGCTTGCAGCTCGAGCATAAAAATTCACCCCGAAACTGCTGCTGATCGCGTAGTTACGCAGTAAAAATTTTTGTCGTGCACGGGCAACCTCTTCTTCAGCAAACTTGATCCACAAGCTATAGGAGGCAGTAGTTCCACACGTAGCAAAGTCACTGAAAAGAAATTCAAAGTTGGTTCAAACAACATTGTTGGTTATATTGCACTATCGTTGTATATATTCAGAGCCATGCGCGTCTGCTAGTTAATAACGGTTCTACTCTATAGAGGCAGAGCTCCAATCATCTTTAAGCTTCAACAGACAGACATTAAGCTAGATATTTTTTACATGGCTTGGTCTTGCTTGACTGTATTGGAAAAGTTGTTAGCAAAGAATCGAAGTCTGCATGATTCTTGATGCATTGTTTAGATCTTTAATGAATGGTATCTTGTTTTAATTGAAAGTAATATTGAATAGCTAAACATACGTTTAAAATACGTTAAACATACGTTAAACAAGGAATTTTGGCTGGGAACTCAGTGCATGCTCCGTCGTCCACACCCATTATGCAAATCAAGACAGGTGTTTTCCTTCCTGGTTCATATCCAATTCTCACTCTAGAAGGCACGTAAGCAGAAACTGCCACTTCACTGCTGGTTGCAGGTATCATTTTATCAGGGTTGTCAAAAGACCAGTGAAGAAAAGCTGAAGCAAGTCCGGCTATAAAAAATAAAAAGTATGAAGAAGAAAATAACGTAAAAATACTGGCTAAATGCCACAATGCCACAATGCTACAATGCCACAATGCCACAATGCCACGATGCCACAATGCCACAATGCCACAATGCTACAATGCCACAATGCCACAATGCCACAATGCCACGATGCCACAATACCACAATAATTCAGAAAGATTGATCTTCCATGATTTGTTATTGCCATATTTTTCATTTTTGACCTTGTTAACAAAGCAATAAAAGGCATTTATATTTTGCCACTTACCCTAAGGGTTCAAAGAAGTATGACTAAATTCTATAAAACTGTTGCTTGTGTAAGATTAGCATCCAGTATCAATTCTACCAGAGCTAATCTTGCTGATCCCAATACTCTTTGTAAATCTTGCTTTGATCTCATTTTGAGGCAAATAATTAATATTATTTTGCCTTTTCACAAATAGTAAGAAATATAGGAATTTAAGGCATATACATGAATTTGACTTACTAAGACTTTTTTCGCAATTTCTTCCACTGGAAATGGCATAGCTGGTTGACTTGCATTTGCATGTGTAGTTATCATTTCTGTATTGTGGAGTGCATGTTCCACCATTCAGACATGGTATGTTCTTGCACTTGCTCTAAAGCAAAATTAATCATTTAAGCACTTCAGATTAATCAATTTGTCAAAATGATCATGATAAATATCGGAATATATCTTGCAAGTCAGGGACCAAAACGATCTTTCGAGACAACCAGATAAAACTGGATGCCTTAAAACTTTAAGATGTTCACGATAAGGTAAATCCTTAATGATTAAATTTGACTTTAACATTTTTCTGATATTTTCAAAGCAGAAACATCAAATCGCAATTTATATTCTGTTAAAACAATATTTACAATAAAATCTCATGTAAAACGTTGTTGCAAAAGTTTCGACACCTACTGGAATATAGAGGTGGACGGATTTATTGTCCGCGACGAGAGAAGAGTTCTCGCTGTAAAAGTTTTCTTTGAGAAGTTGGCAAATCAGGCTTTCACTACTGTCGTTCTTTATGTTCAGTGACTGACACAGAGAATGCTTGACACAATGTCTTTGGCAATCTGGTATATTTGTAACGTTGTGGGTAGTGATTGGCGTTGCATTCAAGTAAACATTTGCAGTGCTTTCCATTGCTATATAGTTAACTTCACTTGTCCTACAGATGTACCTTGAAAGGCACTGTTCTGCCATCAAAGGGAGGATGGTTGAAATCGTCAGTATGACTTGGAACAGCATCCTGTAAACAGCATTAAAAGTATATACAACTTTGATCATTCAGAATCTTCGTGAAACTTGTTTCTCAATTTCTAGCTCTTCATAAAAAAACTTTCATCAGGACTCATTTAATTCTGAAATCTTGCTGAATTGAAAAACACATGCTTTGAAATTCTGTTAAGCTAACAAAGGAGCAAAAATCTTCAAGATGGAGTTGAAAGACCCCTGTTTGACAATCTCGTTTTTCCCCGTTCTGTTTTGTACACTGTTCAACAAGGATAATATACTTTTACGCAGATAATCTGGCAAAAGTCTAGATAATTCACATCCTCAACCTTACACGAACACTTTTGTATACTGCCCAGATAAAATTTATTGTGAGAAAGAAATGCTTTTAATGTATATTTTAATGAAGCCTCACCTTTCCATAAAAGTCATGGCTGAATTGCGCTCTCTAAACATAGGAATCTGTCTTTTGAGCAAAGCAGGGTACATAAGATGAACACGACGCACTCTCCCTTCACTACGCTATAGATTATTTATTGCTTGTAAATATCATCAATAGAGCAAGGGAAATAGATGATGGTGCCATGGTAGCATTCGGCATAATTGCTTTTGATACAAAAAACTCGACCACATGGTCTCATGTATTGTCTTATTACACAATTGATTATCGACACATTATTCAACTTCTGATAGTGTTCATGGAATTTTTAATAGAATCATCAGAGGAAACATGTCAAGCTATTCTCTCGTCCTGGTGCTTTGACTCAGTTTTTTGTCATCTCTTTTAGTGGCCAATTCATTATTTACCAAGCTGGTTCTTGCTTAAGTATTGAACAATACCTGTGCTTTCTGGGTACCAAATTAAATATGAATATAATCGGGGTTATAGACAGGTCAAAGAGAGCTAAGATCTAACAAATTAGAGAACTTCATGTTCGAATCGTCATTTTAGGATTTTATGAAATGAATATTTTGTTAAAACTTTCCTTTCCTTTCGTCTAGATCTTGATGGATTTACTAAATGAATTAAAATCAAAGCTTTTGTAATCTAGGTATCTTTAAAGTAAAAGTCGTGACCTGAAATGGTGTAATGATTAAACATAACTTTCATACTGAGCCGAAATCGTCGCAGCAAAATGGTTGTTTTCAACCACCTTTTGATGACACTGAAATTTACTTTGATATCGATATAACAACAAGAAACTTGTAGGCTGAAAGGGATACATGGAAAAACTCAAAACGAGCTATCGAGCAATGAATCTTTTTATCAAAATGCTGTTATCTGTAAAGTTCTTATTTTTCAAAGGATTCGTGTTAGGTATTTCGTATTTGGAGGACATAAACAAGATGTAAATGTGTTAATTTCTAGATAAAGATTAATTGAAAAAAATACTTTCTGAAATTGAAATTGAAAAAAAAATAATTTCCCCGTTCTGTTTTGTACACTGTTCAACAAGGATAATATACTTTTACGCAGATAATCTGGCAAAAGTCTAGATAATTCACATCCTCAACCTTACACGAACACTTTTGTATACTGCCCAGATAAAATTTATTGTGAGAAAGAAATGCTTTTAATGTATATTTTAATGAAGCCTCACCTTTCCATAAAAGTCATGGCTGCATTGCGCTCTCTAAACATAGGAATCTGTCTTTTGAGCAAAGCAGGGTACATAAGATGAACACGACGCACTCTCCCTTCACTACGCTATAGATTATTTATTGCTTGTAAATATCATCAATAGAGCAAGGGAAATAGATGATGGTGCCATGGTAGCATTCGGCATAATTGCTTTTGATACAAAAAACTCGACCACATGGTCTCATGTATTGTCTTATTACACAATTGATTATCGACACATTATTCAACTTCTGATAGTGTTCATGGAATTTTTAATAGAATCATCAGAGGAAACATGTCAAGCTATTCTCTCGTCCTGGTGCTTTGACTCAGTTTTTTGTCATCTCTTTTAGTGGCCAATTCATTATTTACCAAGCTGGTTCTTGCTTAAGTATTGAACAATACCTGTGCTTTCTGGGTACCAAATTAAATATGAATATAATCGGGGTTATAGACAGGTCAAAGAGAGCTAAGATCTAACAAATTAGAGAACTTCATGTTCGAATCGTCATTTTAGGGTTTTATGAAATGAATATTTTGTTAAAAATTTCCTTTCCTTTCGTCTAGATCTTGATGGATTTACTAAATGAATTAAAATCAAAGCTTTTGTAATCTAGGTATCTTTAAAGTAAAAGTCGTGACCTGAAATGGTGTAATGATTAAACATAACTTTCATACTGAGCCGAAATCGTCGCAGCAAAATGGTTGTTTTCAACCACCTTTTGATGACACTGAAATTTACTTTGATATCGATATAACAACAAGAAACTTATAGGCTGAAAGGGATACATGGAAAAACTCAAAACGAGCTATCGAGCAATGAATCTTTTTATCAAAATGCTGTTATCTGTAAAGTTCTTATTTTTCAAAGGATTCGTGTTAGGTATTTCGTATTTGGAGGACATAAACAAGATGTAAATGTGTTAATTTCTAGATAAAGATTAATTGAAAAAAATACGGGTCTTTAAGTTCATTTTTTGCAAGAATTTAGCCACTAATAAATTTGCAGACTAACCTCTTTTGATAATTGTGCTCAAGACAAAGGTTATCAGCTTCCGATGTACTGACGAGCACAACACTTTTAGGACGATTTTCAGCGAATTAAGCACTGTAATCATCATCTAAGGAACAAGCTATACGAGGAAAATATAAGGAACAAGCTCGTACAAAGTCGACATGGAACACAGATATGCTATATACCTTTATGGAGGAACCTAAACTTGAATGAAAAGATTATCAGAACCAAAAATAAAGACAAGGTAACTGAAATCAGACCCAGTAAGAATGATACTCATGTTGCAGTAGAACTTATATATGCTTAGCAATTAAGCTATGATTATGGTGATAAAATAGTATGAAAAAAGTGCTGGTAAAAAAACATTCAGGGTCAGGGTACCAACCGTTCTTATCGGACTCCTAAAAGAGGCTGGCACGTTTAGCACTGTATTGCCTTTGGGAGAGCATTGGTTTCCAGACTTGGTTGTTGTTTGAAGTAAAAACTACCATTGAAAACATGGTATGTAGAAATTAATTTCAATTTTCACTGCTTTATTATCAACTTTTATCGAATTATGGGATTGTGATGTTTTCATCGTTGTCAATTTTCAATCGTCGCCCCTTGTTTACTGAGTCGTTTTAGAAATAGGGCCTACTCTTAGGCCTCCAATTTTCACAAAACGTTTAAATACACTCGGGTTGGAACCTCTTTATTCTGTAGTCCAAGCCCAGATAACCAGGTAAACGATGATCTGGAGTTTATCCGGTTTAACTAAAGCAAACATTGCATGCCATGCACTTTATTTCTTTGTCATTCACGGGTAGATAAAATTCAAAATGGCGGCGTTTGAGAATACACAGAATAAGTTAGAACTAAACATAAAGACTTTAACTTTACAAAGCATGCATTTTAAACGGCATATTTTGCAGATAAGTAGATAAGGTGACAGTCTATACTTCAAAACAAGTAATAAAAACTTTCAAAATATCGGAAATTCAAATGTTTTAGGCTATAATTTCAACTTTTTATTGGACAGTCTTGAATGTCTGAATTTTTTATAAGTCTATTTTGTTGTGTATAGCATAAAGTGCAATTAGGCTGGGTGCAGTGATAAAAACAATCACTCTGCAATTGAAATCCAACTCAAAAATTTACTTAAAGAGACACCATGGCTATAAATTCAATTTGTCACAAAATTGGTTAACTGTTGAAACATCAATGAAAACACTGCTCACATAATATTTCCAGTTGCAAAACAATGCTACTCTATTTTGTTGTAGTGTTTATCAAACAGTGAATTTAGCATGGTAAGGTTGAGACCTGAACTTCATTGTGAGTAGCTTTTTGAAACCAGCTATCTAAAAGTTGACAACTCAGTGGCACCCAAAGAAAATCCACATTTATTTTCTGGTCAAGCGCTTAAAATGCTCAAAAAACCCCTGCCTTACGTATTCTTGTAACCATAGGTATTCTTTTAACCATAGCTGAATTTCCAACATTCTATATTGATTAGAAACAAAAATATGAAGAAGAATTTTGTACATTTTTCTGGTACTACAACAATTAATCATAATGCTATAGCTCTTTGACTCACTAATTTTTTGTAATTGAGGAATTCGATGGCAAAATACTGACAAATTTTTGTTTGGCTGAGGGATTTAAATCCTGCATATTCTTTGGTCAAACAGAGTTCAAGAATTGGAAAACAATCATGCCTGATTTAGACCAGATTGTTTTTATCAACAAAACAAGTGTTGAATTATTGTTTTATCTATTCATATGAATTTACGCTACAGTTTACTTTTATATATAAAATGCATCAACAACTGAATTATTCAAGGCTTCTCAACTATATTAACAACTTATTGTAGTAACTATTGTACTTAGGCACATGATATATTTCAGGCCTGGCTGTTTGTATTTTTGTTTGTGAGCTGTGAATTGCTCCCCTAATTTGCTGAGGAGATCTAAATCAGTAACACATAGAATGTACTTTAAAGTCAATTGACAGACGGTTTAAGTTCCTTTAGTATCCTTTAATTGCCTTCAAATAGTCTTGAGGCAAAAGAGTATGCTGTTTTACTTGTTTCAATTTATATATGCTTTAACCATGGCTCAGGCACCCCCTTTGCTTTGAAGGATTTGAATTAACAGACTCTTTCAGTTTTGTGTGAAGCTTGCACACCACAACAATTGCAATTTTCTTACCAAACAATTCTCAATAATGGAATTGCATGTTTTGGTTGATATTTTTGATCTGCAAAACAAAGTAGCCCAAGCTTCTTCTATGTCCTTGTCCAAGCTTCTTCTATGTCCTTGTAGAACTTTTCTCTTTCTTCCGGATGCTTTTCACAGACTGGTGATGTTGGATCGTTTGAATCACAACTTGTCACTGAACCCAATGAATGAAGACAAAGTAGGCTGTTCTCTTCAGGCCAAAAATTAATTGCAAAAATGCAATGACAGGAGAAATCACTTCTACAAAAATAAACCAATTAGCCCTTGTAACTTTTTTGGGGTTTAATGAATACCAAAAGGGCAAATGAATTAAAATTTTAGGGGAGCAATTTTTCCTTCGTGTTCTGTTTAGAAGAGAAAGTCACAGCTTGCCTCAGGTTGGGAAGGATGTCTAGAGGCGAGTGCAAGCTATCTTTCTCCTCAAACAGCCAGGACTGACATTTTTCACAAGAATTTAAAGTAATGAAAGGCTCATGTTCTCTTATATTGCCTCTCATGTTCTCATGTTCTCAAAGAAGATGATGAACTTTGTGAATGGTATAAAGGATGTGAAAATGAAATTTGTGTATGTTATTTATAAAAATTACTTTTTTACTATAAAAACATTCTTATTGTCAGAACAGGATTTTTAAACTTCATTCACTATTAAAAGAAATTTTTGAGAAAGGATTTTTCTAATAAAGCAAAGCAATTTCTATTAATGGCATATATCTCATCTTTTCCTTATCAGTTCAATAAGACATTATTGAAACATGTCTTCCAGGCCTGGCCGATTGTATTTTTATAGGTGAGCTGTGAATCGCTCCCCTCATTTGCTGAGGCGAGCTAAATCAGTTACACATAGAATGTACTTTAAAGACAATTGACCCTTTAATAGCCCCAGTCAGGAGTGCGATGTTTTACTTCTTTCAATTTGTATTTGCTGTCACCGTGACTTAGGCACCCCCTTTACTTGGAGTATTTAAAAGATCAGACTCTTTCAGTTTCATATAATGCTGACACAACACAAAAACAACAATTCTCTTGCCAAACAATCTTTTTGTTGTACAGAAATTGAAAATGGCTTTGAAAAACAAATTTTGAAGCAAACTCAAGTTATTCGTTTAGCACTCTTCAGAGTATAAAACGTCAGAACATAGATGGAAAACTTTATGTTAAAATACCCAGTTTGGATTGAAATAGGCCAATCAGAAAAGGCAAGCACATTACTGTTGAGGTTGTCCAATCAGTGCCGCTTTCCTATTGAAAATGTTACCAATGGAGTCCTAAAGTGAAAACTAACTCCTTCTGTCTACACAAGGGCTGTCTGTCAGGTTTTATAGAAGATAGATTCACAAACAGCTAGATGGAACGATGATCAGGCTTTGCCAATAATGCTAAACATGTCGCTGTTATAGTTTTTCACCCATTCTGGGTTTTTCAGTACATGGCACTGGATAGTGGAATTCCATGTTTTGGTTGTCGTTTTTGATCTGCAAGACAGAGTACCTTGTTCTCTTTGACGGATAGTTTTGTTTCTATTGCTGGAAGGGACCTGCTGTTTTATTATATCCCCCCAATCTACAATTCCTACCAATTTCTTCGACTTTCCTTCCAAAAATATGCCTGTTTTCTTAAGATTGAAAGGTTCTAATTGCTACAAACATACCTTGCGCTTAACTATCCTTTTCCAAATAGATTGAAGTTCATGCCTATCATAACAAAAACCACTCAACAAGCAAAAAGTTAATTGCAAAAAATGCGATGACAGGAGAAATCGCTGTTACAGAATAAACCAATTAACCCTTGTACGTTTTCGGGGTTCTCTGAATAGGAATAGGCAAATGAATTTTAGGGGAGTGATTCTCCCTTCATGTTCTGTTTAGGAGAGCGATTCATAGCTTGCCTCAGGTTGGGAGGGGAGCGTGGAGGCGAGTGCGAGCTATTGCTCGCCTCTAACCGCCAGGCCTGGTCTTCTATCTATATAGTTGATATTCCAAGTTGGTTAAATGTATGCTATTTGTCTATTCATAGAGTCATACAATCCTTTTGATACAACCAAATCCCAAGTTAGAGACAAGAACATACTCTGATTTTGAAACCATTGATGATTGCCTTGAAGGTATGCAGTAATTTATATTTCAAATATTTGTCATATTCACTGTATTTTTTTAATAGATTCAAAGGCTGACTGCAAATGACTTCCAGTTGTGGGGATGTACCTCTATATGCATCTTCTTCTCCCAGAAACATAATTGAACACTTGCCAACAAATTTTTTGTTAAAATAATCTCTTTAGAAGTTATTATTCTCAAGCAAGTGAAAATTTGTTTTACTATGTTAAAAAGTATTTGACTCCAAAGAGAAGTCTTTCATATAATGTTTAACTGAAAATATTGAATATTGTAACTTGTATGAGTTACAGTTAGAGTTAAAGCCCTTCCTCATAGTTTATATTTTCAGACCAATTCTATTCTTAGAATTTTTTTACTAATGTTTTATCACAAGCCTTGTTAAAGTATTTAATGTGATTTGTCATTCTCCTGATTATATGCTCATGGTCATGTTGAAGTCAGCCCCATTGATAGAATCCACACTCAAATAGATACATTTTTACAAGGATATTGAGCTAATTGAAGCTCCCTTTAATAGAAGCTGTCTTTATCTGAGGAAAATAATAAAAAACTTCACCCTTGAATAAAAACTGTCTGTCATTTTCCATATTGAAAGTTCTCCAACTCCATGTTATGCTTGTGTCAGCTGTATTGTACTCTATCAGCTTCTAGATTGACTCCTAGCTTATTTGAAAGCTTATTTTTTATCTAAAATCATTGTATTTCACCCTATCCATGCCTGCCCTTGCACAAATTCATTACAATTGTTTTACCTTGGGTATTCCTATAATTATAGCCCAGTTTGTGGAAGATGGAAAGATTCATTGTTCCTCAATGCATTTTATAGTATGATGATATCCATGACATTATGTCATCTAAAATCCACAAGAAATGCTTGTTTTGTGCTGTACAAAGTTTTGTTTATTAATTCATGTCTATTTTTTTAATAGGAGTATGCAAAATATACGAAGAGCATTTGAAAAGAACCCACCCAAACAGTCCTTCAATAACATATGATATCAGCCAGCTATTTGATTTCATTGATGGCCTGGCAGACCTATGCTGTTTGTAGTAAGTAAAATTTTAATTTTTCAAACTGGAAGCAATTACTTTTTTAGTAAAATTTGGTCAGCTACTTGGTTTAGAAATTGATGCATTTAAGAAAACTCTAGTAAAAATAATGAGATATTTTATTCAGTAACCATAAAAGACTTATAGATTTAAATAATACAATATGATTTTCTCTTGGAACATTTTTGTCAAGGTAGTAAGATCTTTGTGTCAAAATAAATGGAGCTAAAGGTGACTACATTTGGGTTTGAAGTGGAAGCTTCACAATGTATTTATTAAAACTGTTGCATTGTATGATACCTGAGCCTAAAACTTAATGTTCAAGGGCTTTAAGAAAAGTTGAAATGGAAGATGTTTGTCACATGTGGCATTATAGACTTATCAGTTAACAGGAGAAAGAGGGAGAGGTAAAAATAAAAAGAGGTATATACAATCAGCTCATTATTATTGATGGGAAAATTCTTAGGAAGAAGAAGACCAGAAGATATTTTCAAAAGCTGTCCTTTATCTGGCCTCCCTGCACAGTAGCAAAATGTTTCTAAAAACTTTTGATTGGAATTTTTCATCTCTAGGGTTTCTGCAGTCAGGCACAGTTGCTGCATGTCAAGGTCACTAAGACTTTAATGAGATCTGTACCATATTATGCTATAATTTAGTTGCATTTTGCATGACAGAACCAGCTGTCAAAGAAGAAAGAGGAAGGGGCATATAAAAATGATAGGATGTGTATTTTTCTTGCCAGAAAATGCCCCCTTCTCAGCATGGTATGCATTTGTTACCAGAAGAATACCAACATAGAGCGGTTATATCATGAAAAATACTTTTCCAAACCCCATCCCAACATTTTTTATCAGTTTTAAATGTGTAACAAAGTTGATTGTGCTTTAAACTGTATGCCATATTCAGGTAAACACCTTCCTAAAACTGTTGATAGTTTATTAAATGCCCCAGTAACTCCCTGGGGATCTACAGTAACCAAAAAGGGAATTTCATTAAACCAAGCAAAACTTTAATTGTCATTTCAGCAATAATTTCATTTCAGCATTAATTTTATTTTTGTTTTCTTTCCTAATAAAGCCTTGACAAAGACTCCTGCACTTATGTCCCAAAGAATAAAGACTGGATTAAAGAACAGATATACAACATGTTGAGAAGACAAGCAAATAAGTAGAACAGTTGTTTGAGACAGGAATCCTCTTACGTACTACTTAACTTTTGTGGTAAAACTACGTAACAGTTCCGTGGCTTGTATTATAAGTATGAATCAGGCATTCGGGCCTAAGTGCACGATGGGGTGATTTAATGCATTTTGCCAGTAAAATTGAAGCTAGGTGTCAAACAACTTTCACTCTTGTTGAACTTTTGAAATGCATAAACCAAAAGATGTTTTATTTTCTTTTACCTCATTTCTAGAGAAATTTTAATGTTAGTCTAACAATGTTTTTATTACCTTATTTCACTTGACATGCTTTATTTTTCTATGATAAATAAATTTGTTTCTCATTTCTTCACATAAAGAATATTCTGTCACCATTAGGGTTTTCATAATTCCTGGGGTAGAAAACAAGGGGAAGTGTTCTAATGAGTGATTCACTGCCCCTCTTCAAATACATTTGCAATAATTTTTTAACTCAAAAAAATATCTTTGACTGTAAAAAGGAAAAGGGTTGCTTTACTCATTTGTAGATTTCTGCTTGTTTGTGTCTCCAGAAAAGTGGATTTCATTCAACATTCAACCTTTCAAAATTTGCTAGTTTCACAGGGCAAAGAAACATAGTCTAATGGAAAATAAGCTTATTCAATATAAAGATAAATCTAATTTTGACTAACTTATGTTATGTTAATTTGAGAATTCAAAGAAATATAACTTGACGTTTGTTTTGTTTTGATAAGTTTTGAGCTCTTAAGTATCATATGCCACTTCATTTATTTGACTATTTCTCAGGTAGGTTCGCCATTTGATTCTCATTTTCATTGTTACACAACTGTATTTATATTCTTATTCTTACACAACTTATTAATATGCGTTTTGGAAGATACTTGAAAACTTTTATTGAAAATGTTTTTATAGCTTTTTGGTCTGACTATACGGAATTTTTGTTGTGTCGACAATACGAAAATAAAATGAAAGCAATATCACAACAAGAGTGTTTACAGAAATCTCAAGCCAACGGTTTTTTAACCTGTAAGTCCTGTGAATATCATTTCAAATTATGTTTTGTCTTTGAATAAATCATTGGTGTTGTGAAGTTAAGTTTTGGAAGTTTTGGTATAACTGCAATTAAGAGAATAGTAGCACGTGGTAAGTGCAAAGGTCATTATGCCATATAAGGTTAACGGAAACACACACATATGGGCGTAGTAGGTACTGCAGCAAGAATTGTAGTCAGTTACGAGAAGGAGCTCCAGTAGAAAGGATATATATTAGAGACAGCCACTCCCTGGCGTAGGCCAGTGGAGTGGTAAGGAGTAACTCACGCGGATTTGTCAAGTAATCATCAACCGGTTAGTCATAATTAGGCCTTATATAAATATTGCATATAAATATAAAACGTCATCATGGTGTCTTCACCATCTCTGCCCTGAGAATCCAGAAAGATACATAAAATCTTTACAACAATTGGCCTTTAATTAAAAATATACTATTATTGTTATGGGAAAACAGCTAATAATGCATGATAGATACAAATTACACACATGTAGCTCTGATACCCCCTATTAGCATTTGTGTTAGTTCAAAACCATGCTCATTCAATGCATTAACTTGAATATGTAAAGAGCTGTTGGAAGAATATTTAACTATGGTGCACTACCAGAGAGATACTTGAAATGAGATGCGACATGCTTCAAATGGGTGCTTAGAAATTCTTAAAAATGTGCAAATGTTGTTAAAATGTAATAATTTGAAATAACGAAGGACAACTATAAGATAGATTTCGTAGCTAGTTATAGTTGCTGCAAACTTCAGCCTGCTGTAAATTTTCTTTTCAATTTTTACTTGGACTGTTTCGCAAAGTTCATATCTCTAACATTTAACAAACTTTTTTCATATTTTTTACAGCTCGTTAGAATTCCTGTTCCTTCCGATTTCACAAATTTTTCAAGCAAGTTATTATAGCTAACATTCGAAAAGGAACCAGACACTGTACTCTTTGATCTATATATTTAGCAATTGTAGCTTTGGTCTCAGCTAAGTGTTTAAGACAGTCAAACTGTCTAATTCCTGTCTAATTACTATGTTTCTTGCGAAATTTGTAAAGATGTTGCAACAAAACAAGTAGATTCAGTGATAGATAATTCGTGAATTTTGACAGCTCAAAACTCTCATATTTAAACGGAATAGCATGTATATCGAATATATTTTTGCCCAAATGGCTGTTGTTGGAGAAAGTTAAAAAAGGCCTCAAATTATCAATAATTCAGATCAAAATTTGAATTTCAATCTTCATTTTTGAACAGAGTCAATTTTATTAATTGATAAATCGTAGATATTATCGATTTTAATATCAAACTGAAATGACTTCCTAAAATTTTTTCGGCTTAAAGGCCTTAAAGAAATGATTTAAATAGAAGGTTCAATATATTTCCAAGTGGTTTTTGTTAACTGGATTGATTCTGGAAGGATATAGGAGAGTGTAGTTAAGTAACACATGCATTGTCAATAAATACAGAAGTTTTTTGTCCTTCTTAATGACAACAGCTGATAAGCATTTAAGACATAATTATTCGTAAGTCCTTTTTCATTGTCATTCGATCAGAATGTCATATCTCTTTATGTTTTGTTTTTCATCGGCCTAAATCTTTTCACAGTCTTTCTTCCGACCTACCATGGGTTATTGTTCGAAAATGAATAAGGGGCGTTTCTATAGATGCGATACAGCGATAAAATTTTATTGCTTTTTATGCAATTCTTCGTCTGCCTCATTTTTTGTTTCTATGAAAATATGTCTCGTGTTAATGTTGCCAAAGTTTTGATGCGTGGTGGCTGTTTTGTCATTGTTTTGTCACATGAAAATCTGGTGGTTAGGGAGAGAGAACGGAAATGCGAATCCAACAGCCAACCAGACTTAGAAAGCTCACTCTATGAATGCTAAGCCTGCATGCATTGAATTCCTTATGCAAAGAATCTGTAACAGAATTAACTATCGCTAATGTAAGAAATCTAGAAATCACATTTCACTTCTCTCGATTGAAGCCCCTTCCTAAATCCATCATGTTCTACGCTGTTTTCATCGCCTGTTCTACATGCACAAACACCTTCAATGATAATAATTCTGATTATGGCTTTGAAAAAAAGCAAACATTTACAATATATTGGCTAAAAGCTTTTTCGTTTTTTTCCTCAGAGCATAAAACGTCAGAATAAGGGTCCGAAAGAACACGATGAAAAATATATACCCAGTTGTGGATCGAAATAGGCCAATCAGAAAAACGCAAGCACAAAACCGGTATGACCCGAAGAAAAGCTGTTAAAAATCGCAAAGCTTTTTGCCACCTGAATGTTGAATCACAGGCCCATTGCAACATCTGACTACTAAACATCACACCATATTGTTATACTGACGCTGCTCATGATCAGCCTGATAAAATCCACTCAATTTATATTCAAATCTTTGAAATTCCCCCGTTTCAACAGTCTCATCCTATACGATACAGCACAAACATACGAATGTCATTTTTTTCAAGTGTAATCAATGTGAAGTCTTAAAAGTTTGCTTTATTTTACACATTTGAAAATCAATTCTATAAAGAATAAGCTTTTATGGACTCGCAGTAAGATGCATGATTTTAAGAGAAAATCGACAACCTGAAAACATTTTAGAGCCATTTCAAGGCTTAAAGAGAACAGTCCAAACACTACCCCATATGTTGCATAGTAATAAAAGCTATACAAATTAAAATTAGTAAAAGCTAAAAAATAGTCAAATAAAGCTCTTTAGTCTAAAAGACAATCATTTAAATGTTGATTTCAATGTGGCCAGCCCAAATGAACTGTTTGCTTTGAATAGCTGGTTTATTTTAATAAATGATGCGAGTGTCAGATAGACACAGAATAAACAAAGCGTATGGTGGCAGGTGAATTCGCAGTGTTCTTTGGGGATCTGCACACTTGGCTAAAGATCTGTTGACAATACACCATAGCTACATGAACATCATGGCTTGCCAGGGCGACAGAGCAGATTCTGGTAGCTAGAAAAAAACATACATCTGGATGTTTTCCTCTGTAATTACAGGTATGTAACATAAAGGTAATTGATTGAATATTAAATCTTCTAAAGTCTCAAAGTTGTCACCATTAGCAATAGATTGTGTAAGAAATATGTCCTTAAAATTAATGATGCGAGCAGCCACTCTACCTAAATACTAGTCTAGTCTATTTTCTTTTCTAATTTTCAAATTTATTGCCTTTACCTATCATTGAATAAAGGGTTTTGAGTGGCACTAAAAGTCCAAAAAATACATCCTCGCATAGACATCAGAGTGACTATTCACTGGTTGGCATCACGACTTTTTAAATCCCATTTATTAGAAAACAATAACAGTTCATGAAAACCCTAAAAATGCAGCTCAGTTGCTGTTTAACAAATGGAATGGATGAATTTAAGCTCTACACAGCAAAAAATTTGGTTGCTTTGTCCAAGACCACTTTAAAAATGATAAATTCGATTGCTAGTTGAAGTCTTCAAACAGTTGAAAAAGTCAATTGTATCAAGCCAGGTTAACTGTTAAATATGCGAATGATACAGCTGCATGAATTACAAAATTTGTTGGGAGAATTACCAAATCGTGTCAGTAACGTAACAGAGAAGATACAGAAAGGTAAGAAAATAATCGAATTTATAAGTCTTTGGAAACAACAATACATAAGAAATGAATCGTGATTGTCACTGGCAAAAGGGAGAATTATTTTTCAATGACGAATTCGCAAACTACGTAGATTAATAAATTCACTTATAATTATGAAATATAGGGCACTAACTGGCATCAACGCTTGGCTAAAATGAATGAAATATTTCTTAAAAGCCTTTTTATGCCACTGCATATAAACTTACAAATTACTAATGTTTTGAGAAAGCACAAAAATTTCAATTATCAACCATTTTATAATAATCTATATAGAAAACTATTAGGAAGAAAAGTGAATTTTTACAATACAAAATTTGTATTTTACAAACAAGCATGTGTTTTATATCAACGACACCTGCAAATGTTTTCATGACTTAATTAAAAAATGTGTACAAAGAGGAGTAGCCCACGTCAGTTTCCTGTTTTGTTGCTACCTTAGACACAGCACAGTTTCATAGAGCATTGACCAAGGGACTCTATCGTTACTTTCGTTAGAAGATGCAGCGTATTCATGGCTTTGATGGTAAATGCAGTAAACTGAATGAAAGATATAACAGGCTATTGCCAATCAGTAACCATTCATCGACAAACCATGATTTTGTTCATTGTACTTTTTACTTATTTAGTCAAAGTGAAAAACTACAATTGATATTGTCTGTTAGTTTTTTAGCCGCCAAGTTTTCAAAAGGGCAAGGTATGTTTGGGTCACTTAAAACTATGAAAAACTTTGTAATCCAATGGCTGACAGTTTTTCTTTTGTGTAAATTTTAAATTTTGGTTACAAGCACATTTATCGACAAGGTATACGTTTCGCTACTGTGTGATAATGAATGACGTCATTGGCGATAACATTTGGAAACATACGAGCTTGAAACTTTGTGTAGGTCAAATGAGGATAATAACAACTGAGAAACTTCAGTACTCGAAGGAAGAACTTTGAAAAAGAATTCAATTTTAAAAAAGCCCATGAAGAAAATTTTGGGAATGTCTATCAGTATGATTGGTTAGATGGCATCAAACGTCAGACACAGAGAAAAAAATATACTTCTTTTCTTAATTATCTTGATTGCAGCATTATAAGACAGGCAAATTTCTTGACTGAAATGTCACGAGCATTTAAAAACAATAAGTTTCGGACTAGTCTCAGTGTTAACAGCTGTGAAATTCATCTCCAACAAGTTTCTCTTGGAAATATTTCCAGCATGAAAAATTAAACATAAGACCGAAAATGTTAAAAAATGATGAAACATCAAGTATTAAAGAATCCTCAAGATCCCTTAATCCTCAAAAAACAGGAATTCGCAATGTTGACCTTTTTTCATTAAAAAATGGCTAATTATCATTTTCAAAGAAAATGTCGTTAAGCTTTCTATCCAACAGCATTAATTCTGCCTGTGAGATGGCAATACAAGTTTTTTAATGCTTTCAATCTAAAATAAATACGCCACTATAAAGACATGTAGTTTTGCAGTCAATCCACCATGCACCTTGCAAGAATAAGTTCTGCTAGATTTATACGTGAGTTACCAATAGATATTGTAAGAAAGCCTGTCTTTTTATGCTGTTAAATGAATATTCTGTTGGTTCCAGTTCTAGACTGTTTGGGAAACAAAGAATTATTAGCTGGTGCTGTAATTGAAACCGTCATTATCTTTGCGTGGTATCTTAGAAATGATGCGGCAGAATCATCTTTAAACAGCCTGCTAAAGTTGGTCTGGAAACTTGAAATTTTACTTTTAGATGCACCACGAAATATATTGCTTCAGGGCCGGTGAAACGTATTTGAAAGTGGAGGGGCCAAAATATTAAAGTCCTGAAAGGGCTTAGGAAAGGTGAAGAAAAATTTTGTAATTATGGTGTCTTAATAATAAGGTGTAAGAGACATTATAAGATGGATGTTTCGAAATAAGATGAGGGAAAAAAATAAATGATACACGGATTAATAAAAAACATTAACATTGAAATATCAACAGAGGAACTATCAACTAAAAATAAAACGTTAAGCAATTTTGTACAGTTAAGATATAACTCCGTCAATTTGTGCTGGTACCAGGTTTCTCGATCTATTTGCTAAGCCAAACTGTTACTCGTTTCGTTGTAAAACTTAGACAATGACCGATTTCTTCGATCTAATTCCAATTTTCAATTTTATGTATGTCTTCTATGGTAAAGACATAGCAACCAAGGTAAAGCTAAGGACACATTTAAGAGAATACTAGACAAAGTTACTTTCAGAATCATATACTATCTTCATCTCTGCAGAAAAGTGGGGGGGGGGGAGGGGGGGCATGGCCCCCTGGTTTCGCCGGCCCTGTGCTTGAATATGGCAGATGCTGAAATTATTCTCCTGTTTGATTTCAATCAAACATCTCTTGAAAACGCAAATTTTGAAGAAAAAATTTACTAAACTTACTGAAATTTAAAAAGCTGTAGAACATCTTTCTGAAAACATGAAATCTTACAGAATTTTTTATCTGTTAACAACCTTTAGAAACGCACTTTGGCTAATAGCTGGGCACTTTTAAGAAATCAGTAAGTCAAACTTGTATGATCAATTTGTATTTAAAGGAAATCTTTAAACGAAGCAAACTTTGGTTTCCGTTTTGACCTGGGGCATCGCAATCCATTAGGCTCTAAAGGGGATAAAACAAAACAATTAGGCCAGGTATTTTTTACTGTCAGAAAAGGCACGTTTACTAACAAGGAACACCAATGTTGCCAATAAGGAAAGCCCATGAACAATTGTTGGTTACGTACAGAAAATTTCAAAACTATAGGATTACATCACAAAAAATACATTGCAAAATATTACCTCTCCCCTCACCTTTTCTCATCGAATTTAGGCGAAATACAAATTAATCCTGCCGAGTACTGGGGGGGGGGGGGGGACGTGTCAACCCCAGTCTCCCGCAGCACTACTGCTGGTTTTGGTAGTTTGAAAAGAGTTTAATCAGTATTAAGCAGTACAAAAATAATGAAAATACTTTAATTTAACTACAAAATCTACCAGTCATTGATTAATTTTAAGCAAATAAACATACTCGAGCTCTGTAATATGTTCTCAAATAAGGACACCGCAATTTTAACTGTTTTATTGTGTTCTCATTCGTTTGATTGTTGATAAAAGTAAACTTGCAACCTAAAACGACTAATAATGAAATTGCACTTTAATCTTGTACAAAAACTATATATAGATAAAAAGTTTGGAAAATTTCTTTCAGCTACTGCAAATAAAAATACTCGAGCTCTGTAATTTGTTATCAAATAAAGACACCTCAATTTTCACTGTTTTAGTGTGTTCTCATCCATTTGATTGCTTGCTGATATAAGTGAACGTGCAATCTCAAACGACTAATAATGAAATTGCACTTAAACCTTGTATAAAGACTAAATGTAGGTAAAAAGTTTGGAAAATTTTATTCAGCTTTTTCCAAAATATTTACATAAAGAGTCTGTGCACTAAAAAACCAAAATCACATAAATAAAGATCGCCTCAAAATGATAACAAGAAAAAGCCGCTATCCTGAATCTTTTATCTCTTAGGTTTTATAAAGTTTACTGGAGATTGAATTTTGTAAAAATTAGTCGAAAGTCGTTTCTTTGATTCTTGCCATGATTTGATGCGACTCGATAAAAGCATAAAGCACAAAAAGTTTACATGTTTTATGATAAAGTAAAGAAGAGCCACCATTCTTGTATTCTGTATCCACTAGCAGGGGCGGATCCAGAGGGGTGCGAAGGGGGCTAGATCCGCCCCTGACTAGAATATCATTTCTTTGGTGCAGTATACGCAATGCTAGGGATATATTTCAGGGGACATCGTGACTAGGAGGCACGTACCCCCTAAAATCGATCCTTCAAGAACTTTTCGAAAAATATCGTATCTGTTCGGCTGAAGATTATCGGTCTTTCTATAGAAAACTATAAAAGTTCAAAGAGATTAATTGGCTTAAGAAGGAGATTGCCAAAAAATTTGCACAGGCGAATTTTTCGAACGGCAATCGAACTCGCAGTGATTTAATTGACAGTTTGTCTACCCAAATCTTTACTCTTTTAAAAGCTAGTTGCAAGCTTTTCAATTGATTTTACCAAATGTGCACGAACCTTTTCAGAACTTAAGCATATAAAACAAGCTGCAATCAACCATAGGCTTAGTGAGGTTTGAAGAAAAATCGTTTCTAATTGTACTCAATACACCTCAGTACTAATTATCTACATCCTTCTCTCTGTGCCTTCTTACCTTACAATCGGACGTTTTGTATACTCTCTTAATCTATGCTAACAAAATATTTCCATCAATCTACCATCAATCAGCATTTAGACAAAAAACAGAATACAAATTTTATGTCAAAGACTTTCTTTGAACAGGCATTCTAAAAATAGCATTTTGGGGCATTTTGAAGGTGCGTGTCAAACCAAATTCTTTTAGTGTGCTATAATTAGTATCTAAAACATGTTGCTTGCTATTGATTCTATTTTTAGTGGAGTTGTAGAGATAAGCGTGTTAGAGGTCTGGGAACGAGTACATGGTCTAAAAATAGCATTTGGGTGCATTTGACGATGATTGTTAATCTAAATCACATAACCGTGTTATGATTAGCATTTATACTAATTTCCATGTCTTTGATTTCGTTTTCAACAAAGTTATAGATATAATCAATTTAGGAGTCTGGGAACAATTAAGCATTCCAAAAATAGCATTTGGGGGCATTTCACAGTCTGTGTCCCGATGCCATCCTATTCAGCATATCAAACTGTGTAGTTGTGCAGATCATCATGCTTGCATCGCAATGTGCGCATTCATTCTGCTTATCTCTTACACTATTGCTACAGTGCTATATTAAACGCCCTGACATAAATGAACAATCTCGAAAAGGTTAACTGTTATTAGAAGAATCAGGCATCCTCTTGTTTTTTAAGCGACAATGCCTTGTTTTCTTTTACCATGTTCACGTGCGCTGCGGTTACGGAATTTTGTTCAACATCATTAATAGAAATTCCTTTTAACCAGTGGTGGACACTTGGGGTGGCGAGGGGGGGGGGGCGACCGCCCCTCCAATACTTTAGAGAACAATGGTCTTTTTTTCTAAAACAATAGGAAATGTGACGTCATCTTATTAAAACAATAGGCCTGCCCCCCCAATATTTGACCAAGTGTCCGCCACTGCTTTTAACAGCATCGCAGTCAGCAAAAATTTCCAAAATAAAAGATTTGCCTGTAGACCCTGACCTTGTTCGCATAGAAAAACGTAATTGACCAATAAGAGGGAAATCCTCCTTTTAGTTATAAGAGCCTGTTTATATGTAAAAATTATCCTATCATTTAAACAATGAGCTTGCAAGCAAAGACCGAGATACAACTTTTTGTCGGGGAAGGGGGGGGGGGGTGGGGGAGATTAGAGCAGCCCTGATGAATAAATGTAAAACAGCCATATTTTGCAAAATAAAAGAATTATATTTTTACTTTTCAAGTCTTTTTTGGGGGGGGAGACCCCTCAGTCTCCCCAGGATCTCGGTCCTTGCTTGCAGGTTAATGAAATCTGTAAATGTTTACATGATAACTTTTTTCATCGTCCAGCTTATAATTTCTTTCCTATGTCACCTGACAGTTCTCTCTTGATACTGCAACACGTCATTTTTTCGTTATGGAATGCGGACGCATGCGCATAAACCAGAATCTCATCCCATCTCCTTCTGAGAGAGAAAATTTAGAAATATGAACAAGATAGAAGTATGACTGCCTTGTGCTGAGTTGAAGATTAAACACAACGATTTATCTTCATTGGGGGACTTGCAATTGAAAACAGTTCTCGCATTTCTGTCCCATAACTAATTACTAATAATACAGTGGGCGGAAAACCAATTAGTAAAATCGAACAATTTTATTTCAGCGGCCTAAATGTTTGGGCGTTATGCTCAGAAGTATACGTGAAAGCTTGGCGTCTCGTTAATTACTTAAATTATTCATCGATAGCTTTTATAAGTAAAACATGAAATAATATTTGATTACCATCAGAAAAGGTTTTTTGTATATATGAAAAAGCGATTTTTGGTGAATGAAGAGGGAAGAGCACTATGAATCTGCATGGAATCAATTCCTATCTATTATATATTTCTGAATAAACCATGAATTCATTTGTAAGTCTGATTGTATTTGTCGTCAGCGAGATTATCAAAATAAAGGAATGTCTGGTAGGGCATAATACAAGGACCGCTAATCTTTATTCTTAACTCAGAAAAGAGAAAGAAAAAACGGCCTAAAAGTCGCCAAAAGTTTTGAAAAGATAATCAGAAACTTTAACAACTGTGTCACCAATGTGTCAGGCCTTCGAATTAAAGAACTAACTTAAAATGGTGAATTCCAAGCATCACTGTAAAAAACAGCATTGTCACACCAAAGAAAGCGCCTAGACACTACCCAATGAGCAGTCTGTTCGAAATCTTCTTGCAAAAAAATAATTTTTAAAAAGAAAATAAAAGCAATGGTTGCATTTTAAAGGAGCTTGCTTGTAGGCAACTGCTAGGCCATTGTCTTTACCTCAAAATGCCGCCATTTTTTGGCTCTTCTTGCTATGTAAAATTAGCCCTTTCTCTCACAATGTCCTAAATCCTGTCATAAGATGCTAGTTGCAAAGCATATTGCCGCCACCATTCATATGATAATGACATTAACCCGACTCCGGTTGAATATATAGTACAGAATATTTGAACAGAGCAACTAACTGATCGAGCCGCTTGTTGTCTTCCCCTGACTGATTAAAGTGGCATGTCATTGCAACTTTATCCCGTCAATAAATGGCAGCAAAACGAAATCGAAATTCATTCCATTTCAGGTGCATGTGAACAATAATAAAATGTCAACAAGCAAACAAACAAATAATGGAAGATCTTTACAGTTTTTTCGCTGCAAATGCAGTCTTGAAGATCGACCACAACCATTTACTTGAAAATTTTACAGAAAAGCTTCGATGTGAAAAATTTCAAAGCATACAAGGAGAACCTTTGAGCTTTTAATTTTTTTAAATAAACCATTAGCTTGGGTTTTATTTTATTAATGCGTATAATGTTAAATGATACTCGTAAACCATAATGTCTTTAATATTAAGAATAAATGTAGTAAAAGTTATGTTTTTTAGAATGCAAATACACTTTTGAAATGAAATTATTTTTGGTTCAGTAAGAAGTAGCAATGTATCTAAACATTTGAATCCTTTCGAGAATTTTAAAGGGTTTTTGTAGGACATAGAATTAGATTTCAACCTCAAAGATGTGCTATTGCCTATAAAAAGGTAGAAGAAGCTGCAGTTTCAGATGAAGATACTACAAGGGACGTGTTCTGGTCCTCTGTGAACGCTGCCATGTTGGTGCTGAGCTAGATACCACTTGCGCTTGGTAGAAACTTTTGATCGATAGATAATTTTTTTGATAAGGTTTCAAGAAATCTGCATTAAGAAATACATAACACTGTCAACGTTATTTACTGTCCTGTTTTAAAGGAAGGAATCTTTATTAGGAAGCTATCCTTATTCACCTGGGTTCACATTGAGTCAGAAGAAAGGGAAGGGACATTATTCATAACAAATATAGATGTATCAAATAGAAGCACTGATAAGGATTACTGCCAGAATAGATCCATTATGCCTTTACCAAATGATCTGAGGGATGGAAGCTCAGGGACTTAAATGAATTGGGAACTAACAATATATATTGTTCAGTTATGTCAGCTTATTACGTGTTCAATTGATAATAAATCAATTAAAACATTGATTACAGATTCTTCTTGAAATCACTTAATTCCTAGCATGCTCTCACCCAGCAATCATTCTTGGACCCGCAATTTCACTCTATCAAAATCTGCTTGCCTTAGTGCCTGTCTGGAAATACCCGAGCAATTCACCCCACTCGTAATTCTGCACCTTCAAGTTTGCTCGATTAGACACTTTATCTCTTGGAAGAAAATCAAACCACACAATATTCTTACGGCTTGTAAAATTCAAAGGTATCCAGTTTAATGCCCTTTCATTGAAGTAGACAGCTTTTTCTAAAACTTTTTAGGTAATTTCGTCACAACATGAAATAACTTTAATACCAGTACCATGAATACTACCTTGTTATCTCGCATTTTAATTTACAAATGAGATTACAGTAAGAAAACATTTTTGGTTTTGCGTTTTTGATGGGATGAGCTATAAATATAGAGATAGTTTGTGGTCAGTTGGTGGGTGGAAACAAGTTACTGGCTGAGCGAATCCATTCGTAAATTGCGCGGAGGTCTATTTACGCACACACTATTTGAAGTGATTAGGAACATAATGGCCTTCCTTCAGGAACTTTGCTCTAGCACCTTAAATGTGCAGGAAAGAAGGGTTCCATTGCAAAAAGTAAGAGGGTTCATCATCATTTCTTTTCTATCAAAGTGAAAATATGCATAAATAGCTATGTGATTGTGGACACCACCGAAGATGTGAAGAGCATGGGGAAGGGGTGCCCAAGTGATTGAGCCCCTTTGCTTGTGATAGTCTTTATGGTCCTGAAATATAGCCTTTTTCCCCTTTGCTATTGATTTTGGCAAGATTTTTCACGAGAGCCTTCTTTCGTCTTTTTAAAGCATAACATCTTTGCTTCATCAAAAGACAAAACTATTGAAGTTCTCCTTAAAATACATCGAAAATAATTATCGAAAATCATCAAAAAACATCCTTGAAGCACTTAAATTATTCTTCTATTGCCATCATTAAGAATATTTATGTATAGAAATCAGCTATTTTTGATTTCCTTTGCTCAGATTTTCCATTCCAAAAAGGTGAAATCCGGGATAGCTTAGTAAAATAAGTATGGCAGCAAGATAAAGTTAGATTCAGCAAATCTAAAGCATAGAGAATCTAAAGCAAATCTAAAGCATAGAAGCATTGAGAATCCGTGGTCTATGCTGCTGGCTTGTTCCAAAGTTCAGAAGTACAAAGTTCCTTGAACAGTATTGTCAATGTGCATGAGAGTTTGGACTATCTCTCTTCCTATCTCTTCATAACGATAATTATTTTTCCAGCTGATGAATGAACTCAATCTCATACAAAGTTCTCTAATTATTTCACTAATTAATTTCGGTAATTAGTTGACATGCTACAACTGAAGATTTATTGGAGAACATTTTGCATTTACTAGAAATTAACTTTTTTGCTCGTTTTTCAAGGTAATCAAATTTTCATGCTGTGATTGTGATTATTTTTAGGTTAACTTGGACCTTCTAGAAGCGGCGTAAAGCGGTATTCAAAAATAAGCTGAACAATATAGCTGGTAGGGTTCATAAATAATTGAACAATGAGGAAGCTGTTACGTAGGAAAAAGCGTGCTTCTAAGGAGCAGCCTTCAATGCCTAGGTGGTGCACGGGCGAGCTGCACCTTGATACAGCTTTTAAGGAACGAACGTTTGCGGACATGGAAAGAATAGGGGAAGCCAATAATAACAACAGTTGCTTAGAAGAAGTAATTGTTGTAAGCGGAAGGCATTCGGGAAAATCTACAAGCATCAGCGCCCTTCAAGAGCAAGTTGATAACGAATCAAGGCAGAATCAGAGTCAATACAGCACACAGATTAATAATTTCTTCAGCTACTTTGCGAGCGGACCGCTGAGTACCGAAGAAATAGCCGAGGCGCGGAATATGCCAAAGGAAAATGCATTCAAATTCAGAGAAACGTCATTCATGGGCGGGGAAGAGGATGGCAAGCAGCGGATAGTTGCAGTGACAGCAAAAAAAATTGAACTTAAACCAGTTTGTAATACGATGCCTACAACAGCTGAGGAGACAAGGACGCTTGAGGCAAATTATCAATGTACACAGAAGGCGTTACAAAGTCATACACAAAGTAAGAAAGAATTTGTTAAAGAAATCGCGGAAAAGAACCAGTTTTATCATTGGAGAAGGACTCCTGGGCCCGAAAATCATTATGCAGGTGATATCTTTGATCAACAAAGGCTTTGGAGCCGAGACCAAAGCTCAACAACTCAATCGCATACACAGGTAATTAGTGGACAAATATCTCGAGCAATCTCTCTACCGCAAGTGGGGCTATTTGGCGGTAGCAATAGTGCGTATCATTATTTTGAAGACACTGAAACTCAAAACAAATCATCAGAAACTGGGGATACAGATTCCCTGGCTGAATCTATCACTAGTTCCGTCATGGGCAACAATGACGTAAGACAAGGAATAGAAAACAACTGCTACGCAATAGATATTTATGATCAACCCAAGATGAACTGGCTTTCAAAGAGTGACCCATTATTGAACCAAACAAACGATACTGAAAATGCCTTCAATCACCCAGGAAGTCCACACGCAGAAATGTTACAGCGTCGTGAAACATCCCTTCGCTTGGTCAGTGACAGATGGCATCTTGTTGAAGAGGTAAGCATCTTTTAGCACTTGTTTTCTACTCCAAGTTTTAAAAGTTAACGTGCTTGATGGCAGTTTAGTCATGGCGATAGAAATTGCTGAGCCCCACCCTTGTAGCTTGAGTTCCAGACCCCAAACTAAAAGTATACTATTTGGAGTCTGGGGCTCAGGCTACACCCTTGTAAAAAATATTTTTCCGTAGAAAAAACACTGAATATCGAAGAAGTCCTAAATTATCTGTCGCAGCATAAAATTGACTGATCCTTTTATGATTTTACGTTTCTAGTACCGTAAATCGTCGAATTTGCCCGGTAATTTTTGATGAGGGGTTAGTCGGGAGGGGGGGCTTATACGAGGGGCTTATAAAATTATTGTATCAAAAAGATATAAATAAAAGACCCCGTGTCTTTACGATAGTAGAAGTTTCTTTAAAAAAATTTAATTAATTTTTACCAAAAGAATGAATTTTGTGGTAATTCAATAAAACACCAAAGGAAACCTCAGCTGGAAAAAATCAACAAATCAAGGGGGGCCAATTCGTGGATTTACGGTAGCAGTAGTTATTTCATTTGGAAGAGAATTCCAAATCTTTGGACTCAAAAAGCTAATAGATTTTTACCATAACTTGTAGTTTTAACCTTTGGAACAGATAGAGTATCTGTTTTTCGAAGATTATAGCTATTGGGTTTTGGGAAAAAAGTAATCTTTCATAAAGGCTGGATTCAGGTTGTGGAGAGTTTTGTAAATTTCTAGTGCTAGCAGCCGAACGGAGTGAATATGAATTGTAGTAGATATAACGGTAAGTGTTGTTAAAAGCTCCTTCGCAATGTAGTCGCAAAAGCTCAATCACTCAATGCAACGGTCATCCCAGCGCCAGAATGATTTTCCAAGTCCCAGTTGTTCAAAGCCCAGTTGCTTAAAGAAAATCTAACTTTCTTGTTTTCCATCCACAATCCCGGGCAAAATGTTGAGACAAAATGCAATTTTTGTAATTTCTACTTCACCTTGCCCCTGTAAATTCGAATCCCATTCTTGAATCCCATTCCAATCCCAAAAGACTCAACCATTTTTGTCCGGGGCTGCAGGACCCGTCTACAACGGTAAATAAATCTATAAAAACCTAACTCACACCATCAACAAAGACAGTGACGTTTACAGTGACGTTTTCACTGAAAATCTTTCAGCATTGCAGGTATCAGCTATTCAAGCCATTTCAATGAGTATCGGCATTTTCAAGCCTTTCCACGAGCCAGTCGACAACAATGTTATGAAAAGGCATTACGAGCCTATTTGACCAATTTCTAAACAATTCTCTTGGCCGATTCATTAGTCTAATTCATGCAGTGAAAGAATACAAGCATCCGGACACGATCTGTAATCAGTTAACAATCACCTGCATTTATAACACACCTAGATAGGACAGGAGGAAAAACTGAATTGAAATGAAGAGACGATTTTTAATGTAGAGCAGACACTTTGGCAACAAGAAAATACAGGAGGATCTTGAAAATACAGGGTAATGTTAACTTTTGATGCATAAGTTTTTGCAAAGACACCTATATGAGTGCCTGAATTCAAAAATCTTCAGAATGAAGTCTTCAGAATACTTTAATTGCTTGAAGAATACTTTATTTGACCATATTTTTGACAAGGAATCTGAGCAATATCTTCGAATGCTCTTTCCTTTAGCTTAATATAAATTTTGTAACGTGCCTCTGTTGATAAACACTGCAGTTATAACACACCTAGTGGCACGAATCGAATCGCATCGACGTGCTTTTTATGGCTTTGAAAATTTGAGTGAGCTTATTGATGCTCCTTAAATCTACTGGAGATGAGCAAATGTCCTCTTGCGAATAGAAATACACAACATATACTTTACTACACATAAATAAGGAGAATGACAGAGACGATCTAGACAGCCAGTGACAAATTTTGCATCAGAAGCACTAAATTTCACATAAATAACCATAGAATAGGCTATCTTGTGTTGCACTGAAATTCAAGATCAACTGAAATTCTCTCTTATTGACAAAGCTTTCTTATCAAAATGTCAGAATCTAGCCATTTAAAGCTTTTCCTTAGGAAAATTTTATGAATTGTTTTGACTTGGAACTTTCTCCATTGGAAGCCGAAACAGCATTATGTGCAAAGGGGTTTAAAACCCTTAATGTGGCCCTGCTTTCAGGTTATATATAAATTGTGCTTGACCAATCTCGACAGCAGTAGTGAAACTGCATGTTCATTATGGCCGGCTGGTGCAAAAAGCTACTTTTACTGCAAGGTTGATAATGACTTTTTATATTTCCTTCTTCTTAAAATATTGTTTTTAACCAATAACGTGACATTTTACGTGGCATTATTGTTGGTACTGAAATAAAATAGCTTAGTTGATTTATGTCAACAGAGAAAGTTATAGAATAGAGCTAGGCCATTGCCTCTTGCATGATGTGTTAATACTAGTTATTACTAGTTAAATCAGTCGCTTAGCCAAATTATCAAAACTGGTGGTTCCCGGGGCGATGCAAGAGAGCAAAATTGAATCAACAATTGTGTTAGCAGCAAAAGAGTCTCGCATTGTCTACCCAGACTTATAAACAAATATTATTCAAGTTGTTTAAATGTTTTTTTATGTTCCGATCTCATGCACAAACTGATCACTAGAAAAAGCCAACAATAGGTTGAGTGCTGTATTTTTTAAAGAGCATACAGTTATTTAGTTATAAATAAAATAAATGAAAAGCTTTACAAATGCCGTGCAATACTTGAAATTAAAAAATGTTGGGGTGGAGAGTGTTGAAAGGACATTGCAGATTACAATAGATGAAAAATGGTATGTGTTGCAGATCAAAGTACAAATCATCAGAATAGGCAACAATACCTTCTATGCTGTAAGTTCTGATCTTACTGTTGTGAAGTCTAGGCCGGAGCATTAGAGAAAGAATTTTAATCTCAGTCTTAATCATGGTTTGTCTTAAAAGCTCAGCTGCTAAAAGATTCTGATCGTGAGTGGCTGAGATTTCTGTGAGATGGTGAATGTAAATAATGTGCACAAAGAATTTCTTTCCAATGGAAAGAGACTAATTTCCACAGTCCTTTGGCAGCTCAAATTTAGCTGCTCGCAGACGAGTTGAAATAATATTTTCTGCTAATTTGACTTAACCCATGTCACCAGATTTTTACATTTTCTTTAACACTTCAAAAATTTTTTGTGAAACTTTCTGCCAACATTTTCATCTAGAAACATTTCTGGGAACTACGAAAGACATGTCAACGCAGTGGTCAACAGGAGAAAGACTGGGCACCACCCTATTCCCAGGACTCGATCGCTCCAACACTTACCCTTTGTCTCATAAAAGTTTTAATAGATTACGTAAATAGGGAAAGTAAAGCCGATAACCCGTGGAAGGGGGCATACGCATGTGTAGAGATTGCGTATACCAACTCACAAAATTTTACAACGAATGTTCTAGTTGCAACAGCTTGCTAAAAAGTTTATATGGATAATTTATATGTAAACATTTGAATATGCATGTGGTGCGTAGCTACTGTTATAAAAATTTTCAAGTGCTGCTGCTACCTTTGCTATAGTTTTGCTGCCTCAGTATGCCGCACGCTTGAGGTCATCTTAAACATGTCAAAAACATGTCCATTCAAAATACTATGGTCTACTTAACTTGATGCCTTTTTGCTACTGTTAAAAGCTAAAATCTTAAAATTTCATAAAAATGTGTTTAACAGATGGAGCTCTTTGATGGCAAACCAGAAGATTACTGTTGAGAGATTTATTTGGATTTTCTTTTCTTTGATGCTTGTCCCTTTTCAAGAACGATTTTTCTCAGTCGTAGGACTAATGACTCTCACACAGAAGCTCTACATACTAAAGGGTAGACAACTCAATAATGTATAATCCCTTTTGTTCCAATTGTTCTGAAACTATTGTGCCTCCAATACTTTTATCCTTCTTGCAGCGCTGAATTACAGAGTATGCAATGTCTTAGAATAGTGATAGATGTAGATAAAATTTAATTTTTCTAGTCGTATGGTTAGTTTAGTTGATTGAGGAATAATTTTCATCCAAATAACACAGTTAATTACACGGACATTTTGTTGCTGAAAATCATTCAAGTGCCAAATAAACATTTTTGTGGAGCTAGTTTCAGTGAAGCAAAATTGATAATTGTCAAATATAGTAAAACTGATCAAGTATATTATTCTGTCACAACCAGCTGTAGAGCCCAAGAGCTTCGAGAAGGGCAGCTTGCGTTGGAACCCCAGGGTCTAGGTCCCCAGTTTATAAAATCGTGCATATCCAATTTCTATTTAAAGTTTTACGCATTCGTTCTCGACAGCCAATGAACTTTTGAATTCAGTTTAAGATCTGAAAAGTTCAAATTTCAATCTTGATATCCTTTTGTAAAGCAATATATTTCATGTAGTTTTTTTGATAAAGTTTAGTCATTCGCAAGTTTAGTATCTCCGATAAAATTTTTAATTGTACAAACATTGCTATTATTTACATAATAAACTGTACTCCACCAATGCCTGAGCAAAAATATCTTTTGTTTTACAAGCAATGTATTTGCTGAAATTCATCAAAATTGTATTTGATGTATTTTGCCTTGGCATTACTATAATCTTATTGCAATAATATCTGTGATATCAAATCTTTTTTGAAATCATTAGCAATCATACTGATGATTTTACCTAACAAATTCACGCTGTACTTGTAGTACAGGGTGGCAGAGAGTTTGCATGCATAAGAGGCCCAATCAAAAAGGAAGGTCTTATTATTTACAACCAAAAAGCAAAATTACGTCTTAACCTCACTAAAATTTGCTAGCACACCTTCACACTTCCCCAAAAATTTTAATCGCAGTATAAAAATCTGCACTATTTATTCTAAGTAGAGAAACATATTTTTATTATGACCTGAAAACAACTCAAACATAAAATTTTCAAAATTGCTTCTCCCGGTTAGCAGACCTGTTAACTAATTTAAACTTTCTTATATTTCCATACTAGATGTTTTTTTATTTCGGTTGACGTTTTTTCATCTTTGGTCTGCCAGCAAACAGAATTATATGTATTGTTTATTCCAAGATTAACGTGAATTGATTTAGACAAAACACGTGATTGTATTGGTTAAAAGCTGAAATGAAACGCAAATAATCTGATTATTTTAGCAAACGCCTCAACTAAGCCAATCGAGATGGGCTTGCAAATTTTGCAAAGCATTTGAAGGGTAGGTCTCATTTCAGCATTTATATTAAGACTATATATTTCTTTTACTAGGGACACAAGAACAGAGTCAATAATGCTTTTGTAAATGAAAGTTATGAAAAAGGAACAGATGATGACAGCTCTTATGGTAAAAAAACTTTAGGAGAGGAGCAAGAAACTCCAGCTATCGAATCGGGCACGAAAACAACGACATTGGAAGGAAGTGCTAATGCAGAGTCTATAAACATAGAAAACAGAAGGAAAGATTTGAGGGAATCACAGCATGGCAAAGATATTGACATCGGTTGTCGAAAGGAGGCAGTAAGGCTGGATGAAGGTGTTTGTGTCGATTCAGCAGTTGTTAAACATTGGAACGCGGTAACAAGTGAATTTCGCAAGGAAGGGAATTCAGGACAGGATAGTAAACGCAAATTGCATCCAGCGCAGCAAGATTTTGGCAATAAAAATGAAACGCTAGCTTCCAATGCAGAATGTCAAGGTATCAAGTACAGCATGCCTAATGATGACGAAGTTTTATCGAAGAAGTCGCAAAGGTCAATAAGACCACCAGTTTGCTGTGAAACAAAAGAGAGCACCTGTAAATGTGATCAGGGACATCAAAATACCGTGCTTGATTACGAGAGCGGCAGGCAAAATGCAGCAATGGAAAAATGCACAATAAAAAGTCATCGATGTGAAAGCATTGAAGAAACATCTCTCATAAAAAAGATTGAAGTTGAACATACAGTACAGATACATAAGTTTCTTAAAGGGGACGACGGACAAGAACGGCGAGTTTTTAGTAAGACTACACAATTAAAGGAAAGAATTGTGAAGAGTAACCAACAAGAGGAAGAATGGCAACTGATTCCCTTTGCTGTGCCAAGTGACAGGAAAGATGTTGCAAGCTTTACGAATGAGGAAAAGAACGGTGTAACGAATTCTGGCCCCGAGAAGGAGAACGAAACTGTTACAACGTCTTTTATAACTGAAAGGCCTTCGACACAGCCTCGAAACAGCGAAACAAGAATTAACGTCTATGAAATAGAACTAAACATGGCAAAAGTTGTACCTAAGAATTACGATGTTGAAGCAGCAATGGAGCCAGAAGGAAAGGGTGAAGATCAACTTGTCACGAGAACGTCATCCAGAATGGATCGACTTTCGCGATTGCTTGGCGCAATAGGGAAAAGTAAGGATGAAGTGAAACCACCTTCGGGTGAGCGAACAAAGCAGAGAAGGAGAACAAAAAGGGCCAAAAAACGAGAAAACCTTGAAAATATTGAAAAGCAGAAGAACGATGAGAAAATAAAAAAAGAAGAACAGGAAGCTAATATCAAAGTTACAATAAATGATAAAAAAGATATTGTTGAGGAGCCTTTGGATGCAAAATTCATAATGGAAGGCGTGAAAGACGAAGAAGAAAAACGGAAAAAAGAAGGAATACGATCGAAGAGCGAGTTGGATAATGCAAAAAGGACTATTGACGAATTACTGAAGGAAACAAATTTAACAAAAAGACAGAAATATTCTTTAATGTTGATGGTGTGTGCGCTTGATGCCGATATGCCACCGCAGTTTTTCGAAGTGATCGGCAAATCATCAACCTTTTCGACGATACTTAGAGAATTGGTTGAAACGAAAAAGGATCTGTTAATGTTTAATATGTACAAAGATTGTGATGAATTAGATCAGGTTTAGATAGATGTTATAGGGTTTGAATTGTATTAAAACTCATTAGTTAAAATTTATTAGTTAGATCTGATATCAAAACTAGATTTCAAAACAAAGGTTTGGTTGAATTTGATTGCAAAAACAGAACTAACAAACGTCTGTTGGCTGGTTGGGTTAATTTTCACAACATCACTTTCTTAAAAGCATTGAATTTAAAGTTTAAGCTTTGATAAACTGTTTAGTGATAAAACAAGATTTTATTGATATCGTGTGAATATATTAAATGTGGTTTTAACGTAGTAACTAGAGGGGAATAGCCCTTCAAGGACCAGGGAAATTCATTGCTTGTTCACCAAACGTTTATTTTCCCTTTTTAACAATAGATAGCTTAATGCCTCCCTCAAGGAAAAAGGCCTCCCCAAGTTAAAATCCTATACAATAGGTAATTATTAAATAGGTCACTGGGCTCATCAAAAATAAGATTCTAGATAACGTAGCATGTCTATGATTTTCACAAATCAGAGGTAGGCCGTTGTCAAAACAACACAAGCAACCTTGCAAAGCTCTTTTAAAAGCGAAGAAAAAATTACTTTATTTCTGTGAAAAGCTAACTAGAAAAGCTACCGACTGCATCTTAGTTTTACGATTAATTATAAACATCCTTGGCCGAATTGTGCAATAGAAATATACGTTCTTTTAGGTTATTAATTGAAATTAATCCAGGCAAAGCCTATCTGATAATTGAATTCCCCGAGAGTTGTCTATCAGAAACATGCTGGTCACAATACTGGTAATATAAATAGAAAGATTAGTCCCTATGGTTATATCCCTTGTAAAAATAGAACAGGCAGCTGTGAAAATCAGAAGTAAGACGACGATTTTAGTAAGAATCGAATTTATTATAATTAAAGTTAGCAGAAGCCATTATGTTTATACACGTCCTACTTGCATCCTTCAAACTGCTGCTGAATATGAACAAGGAACCACAAAAAACGTTTTCATCGATGAAATACCATAATTGGATTACTTATCTCTGTAAAAAGTAGTCGTTTCTGCGAAAATTAACCGTTTGCAAAGAAAATTTATCATCATTCAGTTATGCTCATGAGATCGTTGCACCAACTAGAGTTGCAATATGGGGTGTTGTGTGGGAGCATATTTCTCCAAAAATTGAAATTACGCTCAGTCGGCAGACCGAATCCTGAGCGTTTATCTGCATGCTTCTATTTGAATCCTACAATGCATGACAAAATAACTTAGAACACTTCGCTATGTGCATAATATTTTCGTGTTTTCAATTCTTTTTAAAATATTACTGTTTTCAACTGTCCCCAAAATATTTTTGGTTACGGAAACTATCGCAAAAGCCGCACGAAAAATTTTTCTTTCTTAAAATGATCCCTGAAAGAGAGTTGGACTGGGTTGGCTGAACTCGCCTTTGAAAATTGACGTTAGCGTTCCAAAACCTTTGGCAGGGATGCAGCAACATAGCTGTACAAACATCCTATTATCTAATTATGATCATTATGAACGTTGGTTTCAAGGTATGTAAAGAACAGTTAAGTGCGTGTATAGTTCGATCAATGACGTATCACAGAGAGAGAGACCATACCGTCGGATGAGAAAGGTTTTAGGTTTATTTACATACTTAGATATATTGTGATATCAATGTATCATTCCTGATGATATCAATAGTTGTGGATGAATTCATAATTATATTCGTCATTGATTTTTTCCCAGTCGTTATTTTCTTCTCTGTAACTGTAATAATCTGCGTTTGCCGAAAATAGGGGGGTTGTGGTTGTGGCTCCAAGTGTTTCGATACAGTTGGCAACCTTTCAGTTGGCTCGTGGCGGGGTGAATGCGTACCTCAATCAACAACTCCGAATTCGCGGAATCCGTTTCCTGACAGTATTCTTGGGTAGTTACATTAAGGGTTTCTGTACTATTTTACAAAAAAGCGATTGTCTGATTCCGCTTACACCCGGGAAGCAGTGTCCTAAATGGAGCAAGCAAATGTTTAAACATGGCCGAGGAAGCAACCGTCAAACAATGGTTTGGATTTTCACTGATATAAGCCCAGAAAGACATTACTCCACAAAACACTCTTTTTCTATTCCACACATGGTATCATTTTAAAATATCAGCTGGTAGCTCAAAGCGCTTCAGTAAACCTTTCCGCCAGGCATCAGGACCTCCTGGACATGACCAAATCATTTGATGCAGACGAGGTGGACCCGTAATTTAACAAATCAATGATTTTCAACCTGAATTCATAAACTTCTTACTCTTTGCATCAACTGCGTGTATGTTTTTTATGTACATATAATTTCGTATACAAATATGCGGTACGAAAGTCCAAAATAAGCAATTTTGATGATATTTTCCAGTCTAATGACAAACTCTATTAATTTGGTCACATTGCTATCATGTATCATGAAAAGCAAAGAAAGACAAAGGTAATATCTTGTAAAATTTCAAATTAAGCAAGCAACAAAATTATAATGGGATGAAAAGTATGAAAACCTTTTATTGGATTGTCATCGACAATTAAACCAGGCTACGGAATATTTGATCAGCTGAAAAATCAAATGAGCACCTGCATATGAATTTCAAAGTCTCATATCACTCCATTATTTATAGGGGCTGTTTTCATTTTTTGCAATTTCAACTCTTTTCTCGTCTGCATAATCATTTTCTAGACTGTCACTACTTTTTGTTACTGCTTTGTCACTGCTACTGCTTTGTCACTGCTACTGCCTGACTTTACAGTTTTCACTTTAATTCGCATCATTTTCATGACTTGAATATCAGTACACCGTTTAGCTTGACACCTTTCATCCCCATTACGGAACTTTCCTCGTTGCTACGGAACTTTCCTTGTTGCTAAGGAAGTTTTCTCGTTGCTACGGTAGGTTCCTGTTACAGCTTTACAGAGAAATTACTAAGCCTTGATAATTTTGATTGGGCAACACAAATAAAATTGTCAATATTGGATTTTTGGAACTTGTTTTTCCTGCAAAAAACGCATAATGCATTGGCCAATGACAGCGCAGTTTAAGGACGGTGGATGCTGGCAATGACCGAAATGCATTGTAAGAGCTAACAAATTCAGAGTATGTCCACAAAATCCTTCTAATTTTGTGCCAAATAGCTCGTTCAATTAGCAGGGGATTTTTTGTAATTAGGATTGTGGTTTTGAGTCAACAAAGCAGTTGTTTAAGTAAATACATTAGATAAATCAAGGTACTACAGGCCTTGTCAAAATTTTGCCTATGAATAGACTCTAAATTGTTACACTTTTGGTAGCAATTCTTACCATCATATTTATGTTAGCAGTATTTAGTAACAAATGGGCAGATTTCAATTAAATAAAGACTTCTTGTAGAGTGTAGCAAAGTTACAAGAGAAGTCGATTGCAACCAGCTATTATTTTTATTTCAAAAATCTAATAACATGCCGTGAAGGAAATCATCAGAAAAATTCAAAGAAGTCCACTCTTTATGATACAAAAGGCAGAAGAGATCGGCGCTTGTAATTGCTGTCTGTGTCCTTTCATCTGCAAAAAGGCAAAGGTACATGCATCCATTTAGCGCTGAATAAAAAACAAAACAATGGTATAAGATCCTTAAAATCAAACATTTGTGTATCAAAATTGTTTCGCTGTTAGAGCAACTACCATGGAGACTAAAAGCAGCTGCAGTAATTTACCAGTTGGATTGTCTACTTCGAAAGAACTGCGAAAGCACATTGAACGCTTGAAGATATTGTTTTAAAAATACGTACATCTTTCTGGGGAAAATTATCTGGATTCAACATAAACAACTCATGGTCGAAGAAAATAGCCAAAATATTGGTAGAAGAAAATAGCCAAAATAGTCGCATAAGAATAAAAAACAGCGAAAATTCTACGATTTCCAATCACAATTTCTTTTACTCTAATCTCAAAGCTTTTTATAAATACATTTTTGAATGAAAGCCTAACAAATAATCTACTATGAATTAAAATGAAATGGTGTTGCCGCCCTCAGCTATAAAGCGCACTTTGGCAAAAAATTCACGCCAATCGCATTGTTACGTTTTTAGGATAAAAGACAAGAGTGATGAGGTATATTATGGCTTGATGTAAGAGATTTCCGAGACATATAATAAATAAAGACATGTGCCTGCAAATTAAATATGGGACTAAATATTAGCAGTAACCGGGCCAATATCTAAAAGGAGCTTAAAACTGAAGACGAAATGTTGCTATGGATCATCTCAAACATCTCACAAAAAGATGCAAAAACTAGTTATGTGAAAAGCGAATAATTTCACATTGTTTTGAAATTCAAGCGAAGAAAAGTTTCCGCTTTAAAAAGTTCAAGATTCTTAAAAAAACTAGAAAATCTTCACGGCTGGATCTATATATAAGTAATCTGTTACAGTTGTTTGTCTACTCATGTGGCTAGAAGTTTAATATTTTTTGTTTCCGATTATCACATAAAACAAAAATCAAAACAAACTAGTTGCATCGTCTTTTGGGTTGCCATAGAGATCAGGCACATTCAGACATTCAGAAAAGTAATTTTTATGTCCTTTAAGATACCCGCTGACTGTTGTTGTCTTTTCAAGTCTCACCAAAGTATATAAATAATATCAGAACGAGTTGCCCTTATTTTGTTTATAAGTTTCAATCTTCAATAAATTTTCAGATCTTATAAATATAAATTTTCACAAAGCAAACTAATTATTAGATTGCTGTTTTGAAATGACCATTTCAAACTGAAAAATTTCAAAATGCCAAGATCGAAAGCGAAGATCTAATGTATCATTCTTTATAATATATTTTGTTTTCTTTTTTGTCAAATTGATGCCATTGAAAAAAATTGATGAAAATCGATGAACTTCTTACAAAATCAATATATGCACTTATTATCAGAAAAAACATTTACCACTTAAAGCAGGGAAGACTTTAAACGTAGATTTAACACTTATTTTTGTCAAATTTTTTCAATAAATGCATTTTGTTAATTTCATTTCACGGTAATTACAAACTGAAACTAGAATATCACTCTTTGAAAAATTCGAAAAAAATCATTGTACATTGTATAAACAGAAACAACATTTCGACACGTATAACGTGTTATCTTTCAATTTAATGTAAATTGTGGAACCTTAAGTATTTTTGGTCTTACCTGTTATAAACAAATCCTAGCTTTTTTGATATCGAGAAACTGATTTTTCCAGAGTTTGCAAAGAGGGATGGTTTGGTGCTACATGCTCCTCCCACCGTTTCTGTAGAAAATAAAGGAATATAATTCAATCTCCACCTTGAGAAGAAGATTCTTTCCTGACATTTGACCCATTAAGAAATGCTGAATACAAATATATCTTAAAGCAAAAGGTGGATGATGGATGCACTGAGGGTAAAAATCGGAGTTGCAACTAAGAACTGTACTGTTCTTTTCACCGCAGATTGAATGCAAAGGTATATCAAATTTTCTTAGACAGATTTTTTAGAGAGCAGTAAAAAGAATGAGGCCGAAACATTGCTTTTGAGAAAGTGAAAGAATGTGACATTCAAAGCATGTTGTGTTAAACAAATTATTGTGAAAAGGGTGAAATATGAGTCTTTTAATGTCTATAAAGAGTTTTTGAATGTATTTAAGACGTGCTGAATATTCTCTATATCAAAGCATCATACTTTATAAATAGTGACCTCAGATATATGGATTATTTCAAAGGGCTATGTGGAGTATATTCTTGATTTAATAAATAGTTTTTATTATTCATAAAGAAACCAGACAACGTAAAACCAGCAAATTAAAAACTTAAAATTGAAGTATGGATTGCCAAGCTAAAACGTTTCGTTTGTATTTGGAAATTTTGATTGAATTTCATGCAATAAATTCAACCTAAGAGAGGATCAGATTTGAAAATTCTAGAAATCGAAACACCAATGCTATCTGAAATAAGTTTCTATAAAAAATATGCTAAAATCAGCACACAAAAAGCTAATTTTAAAGACAATTGCAAAAATGTTTTGCTAACTTTAGGCAAGAAAAAGGGAGTTGCTTGAAGAAATAAAAGTAAGACTTCTTAGTAGTGGGGCAAAACCCTAAATAAAAAAGATCGATGGTGATCTGAAGAGGAACTTAAGTTCGTCTTAAAATTTCAAATAGCTTTAAAATTTCGTAGTAATAATTAAGATGAATACAATGTGTCTGAAAACCCCTTGCCACTGCTCCAGTTGGTATTTCTTGGATAAAAAAGAACGAGACACATGATGGTTTGAAAAAACTTCCTATGTTAAAAACAACTTATAGAGCGGGAAAATGTGGCTTTGGTGACTAATAAGGAAAGCATAGCGTATCCATAAATATCAATTCTTGGAAAGAAAGCACTTGAATCTTCACTGAAAAAGAATTCAATGACTTGAAATGCTTTTACTAGCAAGCAAAACTTACAAGCTCAAGTTTTAACTGAACGCCACAAGGAAGATTCTCTTGAATATAATCAACAAAAATATCAATTTTGTCTTCGGAAACATCTATGACCTGCAAAATAGTTAAAATCATCAGGAATTGTGGTTTCATGATAAAAATGATTGGCAATACAATAATAAAGGTGATAACCAGAGATAGACAGTATCTTATCCTGTTTATCTTGATGAATATAGTTAGATATTGAAAACATTAATAGTATCTTATAATAAGGTATTCCCCGTACTCGGTAGCTATATCTTGTAATAAGATAATATTTTGGCTCAGTATCAGCATCTTGTGATAAGATATTTTCGAAAAATGCTTCAAAGTTATAATATACTATACTTATGTCAATTTTCATAAATAATGCATGCTTTCACTTGTAAAGTGCAATATCAAGTGCAATGTCTCAAATATTGTAAAACCATCGGTGACAGTCTTTGTGTTATGATTTTTGGGGTAGAGGAATTAACCGAACGTTTCTTTTGCTTTGCTTCCACTTATGAAGGGAAAAAATATTTCCAATACCCTCATTTTTTAAGGACCTCGCAATAAGAAACGAGTATGGGGCAATCGGAAAAATTAAGACACTTCAGTTTTAAATGCAAGACAGTTGAGATACTAAATAGGATAATTTTGAAAAAGGCAAGAACTCGGAAAATTAGTGAAATTTCATTTCGATTGGCATAAAAATTTAAGCACTGAGAGTGAAAATATACTTTCCCCATCTACAGTATATTTACAGCAAAAGAACAGAAGCAAATTTCTTGACAAAAATGTCACGAGCATCTGAAAACAATGTCTTTGTTTACAGCTGCGAATACCCTCCCTAACCAGTTTTCTGTTGGAAGAAATTTCTAGCATAAAAAATCAAATAGAAGACTTTGAATGTTAAATTTAAATGTGAGAAACTCTTTTCCTAAAACGTTTAAAACTGTAGCCATCGTTGACATTTGCGCATTAAAAAATGAGTGTTTTCGTGCTATCTTCAAGAAAAAATTTGAAAAAAAACAATAAATTGTGGCGGACTCAGGGTCACGTTTCTTCACCCGAAAGAAAATTCAGAGTCTTGTGAGCTATATGGAATACTTTTTATAGAATAAAAAATATGTTTTGTCGAAGCTAATATGAAATAAAGAGGTAAGAGGAGATTTTCACATGCTTTAGGAGTAGTATTGACCAAATACACTCATTCAGACGAAATGCACTGTGAAGCATTATTGCAAGATTCATGCACAATGGATTGAAAAATGTGCCATCTATAAAGTAATGTTAGAAGGCATTGGTTATGTATCCTTTGCGAAGTATCTTGTGTCTAGTATCTTGAAACGTTATCTTAGATACTTTTTATGTAGTATCTTGTAATAAGATATTTCTTAGGGTATCTTGCACATCTATGATGATAACTAGAGACAGAGGCAGTCAAAAAAGAGATGTCTAATTTAATGCCCGTACTCTGCCCTCTGCTCCTATCATTGTATAGCATCAGCGTTAATTATGTAGCTGCACTTCTTGGAGCGGTCCAGACATGGTTCAAGAAGAAGAGGTTTTGTGATTTTATATGATGTTTTTACTGTTACTTTCGATTTTTGATTCAACATTCTTATTATCTGGAATTCGGTCGTATTCAATATCTTTTGATGAGTTCATTGCAAGAATCGTCTAGCCACAATTTATCACAGTTAACACTTTGTGTATAGATCTTGCTCAATATAACGGCAGTAATCTATGGCTATTGGGAAAAAGAAAGGTTTTTCAATTGTGCTTTTCTCTCTCTACTTTGATATGACGATAAGGCACTGTCTATCGTCCTGTTGTAAATGATTTTCTCTAAAACCTTTGCTATCGCACTTGTACTCAATAATCCCAACTGACGCGGAAATGTTGTTTAATTCTTCTCTTTTTTAATATTAAACTTCTTCATTGATGTTGGTGTTGTTCTTGATTTTATAACTTTGTTCATACAACTTCTGTTACGTTGTTCATCAGATTCACTCCTACATATTCTATAAATTCTTACTTCCAGCCATGTGACCCCGTGATTTCCTTATTTCTAGTTTGGTTCTGACCGCTTTAAATTATTTGCGCTCAATATTGGTTTTAACTTGACATTTCGCTAGAAGTTCCAAATTTTTCGTCATTTTTTCAATCCTTTCTTCTGCTTTCTTTATCTATTCTTTTCTATCCATTCTTTCTCTATTCTATAAAATTCATTTCTTTACAATTATTGAATTTCCTCTCCATTATGTATCAGTTTACCTCCGTTCTTCCCCACTTCTTTTGGTTTTCTGCTTTTTGGCCCTTCGGTTTCATTTCCGAGACAAAACTTCTTATTTTTGTGGAGTTATATAACTCCTACTATCTTTTTAATTATCATCCATAGTGGTACTTATCATCTTTGCTCTTTCTTGTGTTGTAATATACCTCTGCAATCATTAACTGTGATAATTTTCTAAATTATCTTTATTATTTTCAGTTGCTATATTTCTTTTTAATTTTTGTCGCTCTGGTCCTGCATCTTTTCTAAGAGGGCGTTCTTCTTTCGATAGCAATTTCTTGACTTGGCTGTTTTCTCAAAGCCTTTTTGAAATTTTTGAAAATTTTTCCCTTCATTGCCCTTTTTTTTAGTTTTCTATACCTTAATTCACAAACTTTCCATTTCTATTAGAGTAGTAATTGCATATTTCATTAAATACCCAAACTTTTTCTTCGTCAATTTAATTTCTTTGATTCCCACTATAGCTGAAAAACTGACTTGCATTGCTATCGTGCTATTACAAGCAATAACTCCGTGATATGTAACATGTTTGTGCCGCCATTTAACAGCGCCCGGCTAGCTCAGTCGGTAGAGCATGAGACTCTTAATCTCAGGGTCGTGGGTTCGAGCCCCACGTTGGGCGAATATTTTTATCCAATATTAATTTTTAACAAATGATTTCAGATTTTCATGTTAGTGTACATGTTAGTAACCCTTAATTAGCTCATCTAGCCAATTTTTTGATATAAAATGAGGATCATTTACAAATGGTTTTTAGTTTAGACTGGAAAAGATTAGAAATAGTTTTAAATCCGAAAAACCAACTTGGTTTCAAAGACCCTCAAAACGGTGTCCCAAATAAGAAATATACCCATAGCTTCATTTCCCTTTCATTTAAATTTTTTTAAGATTTACAGTGAGAAAATATTGGAAAATTTTGAAAGAACAAATTTACAAAAAAGCAAGCTAAATTATAAAAACCAAACCACCACAGACCTTGTGTGCAACAAAGTTTTCAGTCTGTGTTGAATGGGTCTCTCAAACTCAGTGACTGAGAGAAACCATCCTCTTTTAAAAAAGCATGCCCTGAGTAAAATGGATTTCATTAAGCCATTTAATTAAAATTTCAATATTGCAGCATAAGTTTAAAATATGTTTAGTTCAAAATATGTCGATAAATGATATGTACCTGCAAAAATCTCTGGTGTCTTTTCAACTTGTAGAGAATTTGGTCCTTTCGTAACTGGCTTTTTGCTTTTTTTACATTCATTACTTCAGGTATTGCAGGCAAATTGAAGCTAATCATCAAATGAACACAAAATCAAAATGCAAATAAAACAAGCAAACTTAAACAGTAATGTATTATCAAAATGTAAACATTCAATTATCTCAAGAAAAGAAGAAAAAAATATAGGGTATGGAATCTTGAAAAGAGCGATTTGTTGGAGGGTATGATAATTGTCAAAAATTCATTTTCAGAAAGCTGTTCCTTGAAAAATGCTTGAATGTAAAGCAAATCAAAAGAATTTTATTACACAAGTATAAACTTTTAGATACTCGCAAATTTCTAGATTTAAAATTTATCAATAATTCATTTGTTATATTGTGCTGACTAAAAAAAAAGACTCAAGCCTAGCATTAACAAATGCACAGCAAGGTGTTGATGAATCCATAAAAATCTAGTAACCAAATATATAGTATATAATATCTTTAGATAAATACCTTTTTGTGACATCCATATCTACCATTTTTGCAGCAATTTGAACAAAATTTGAGTATGAATCTAAAATGGCTGCATCATAGCCAGTAGCTATCAGTAACAAATATTCATGGAGAAATGGATTTTGAACTTCCTCCTCTATCTTAAAAAAATCAAACATATAAATGAGCAAAAAATAAATATGAAAATTGATGGAAGACTAAAAACTTTATTGCAGTACAAATAAGACAGTAAAATGTACCAAAACTATTGGCAGGATAGCCAGAATTTCAAAACCTTATGTAAACATATATCTTGTTTGATTAATGATAAAAGAAATCATCAAGACAATTTTCCATAATGTTGTGAGACATTATCAACAAAAAAGAAGACAAGTCTGGAGTTGCAGAACATTTCTGCAGCCCAGCACACACCATCAACGACCTTGCCATCACACCACTACTTAGACTTAATGACAAACGAGAGAGTGTTCGTCAAGCTAAGGAGCAATATCTCATTGGCCTGGCAAACACCCTCACCCTTATCGGCATGAACAGAACTACGGACACGCCGCCCTCACAACCCACACCATATTTTCCCTACCATTATAATCACTACCATTACTATCACCAACATTCCATTATTTTCAGTTCCGTCACAATTATTATTACTATTATTATTTTTTTTATTCATATTCATAGTCATCGTTACCATCCCATTGCATCAATCTCCATAGCACCACCCACATCCCCTTATGCACAAAATTTGAATAATGATGAGCTATGAACAAAATATTTAAATGGTAGTTAAAAAAACTATTTTAATTAGTCTTATCAAACGAATGCGAAGATACCTATGTAACAATAATAAACAAAATATTAATCATACCAGATAACATATAAATTATACCTTTTTCCCTCTAAAATACCTAGGTTGGGCCTCTGTTTCATTTGCATCAGGAACTGTATTTTTCTTTGCAGCCGCGGCTGCAAGTGCCTGGACTCTTTGCCCGTATAAAGGGGTAAATTTTGGAAGATATTTACAGATGCGAAGTAAAGAAAACATTGCAAATGTCTGTTTTTTTTTCTTGTTCAAATACTTCTTTTTACAGCTTTTCTTTCTTCAATTTTAGGGCTCCATGTGAACAGAAGAAACTGGAACAACAGCTCCACGAAGTTTGGAAGTAGGCCATTTAGTCTCTGAATGAATACGAGATTATCGGGATTGTGGCGGAGATTGTTGCAAATTCTTTCAAAGAGATCTTGTATTCGTTGTTTTAAATTGTAATCAGAAGTCAAAAAAGTTAAATTATAGTATATTTGCAGAGAACATGACCCGTTATACTATTATTACGCGCGAACCTTTCGGCAGATTCTTCATAATGCGCGAGCGGAATGAAGGATGAAAATTTTTGCGCGGAGGACGCTTTTTCATTATAATTTCTATCTGGTCTTAATTTTTTCTTTTTATTCAGCTTTTGTCATTTTTCCCACTTTTTTCCAATTGAACTCCCATCTTTCTTCTCAATTTTTCAGTCCCTTTGCAACATTCATAACTTTTATCATTTCTTTGGTCTTCTATCACTTTGTCGTCATCTGAATAAACGATACTCTGGTACAGAATCAATCCGATATATTCTATTCTTTTCTCCCTCGTCACTATCGCCAATTATCATTCCCAGTATAGAGTTCGTAGATGTGTGTCACACTTTTATGTTCAATGATGTTTTCTGTTGCTTGCTCTTGTCTTTTGTTTGTGATGTTTTCAATCGAATTGTTTTGCGTTAGATAGGTATTTAAGTAGACATGAAATTAATAGCCCGTAGAGGACTAGGCTAGGACTAGATGACGTTTTCTGTTTGATTTAAGGAACAACAGTAGTGTGGTTTTTGAGTAGCAGTTGATGAGCAGGTTGTGGAAAGTAGAGTTGAATTGAATATTGTATCTATAAATTTGTTGTTTTTGGTTTTGGATCGCTTTTGCCATTTTATTCGTATTTGTGACAATGTGACGTCACAAAAATTGTTTTTAGAAGCTGCAGTAACAGGGGGAAAAGCCTTGTCCCCCTACTTTAGCCTTACCCCCCCCCCTCATTTTTGACTCTGTTCATCAAGTTATGAACAGAGACAAAATTACGGCTGTTTGATGGTGAAAGAGCCTGTGGCCTTTGGGGCATATCTCAGCTAACTCGTAACATATTTAACTGTTCTTACACATTCAGAGATATTTCATGATGCTCTTTCAAATTATTGGATTCAAATTAAAGATATCTAAAAATTTATTTTGGTGACGTCGTCACTTAGTACATTTATAACATCTTCTATGGTAGGTTGAGCAGTCATTTCGGTATCTTTTGATTTACACTTTTTTTTATAAGAACCAGTAAATTTAAGTTCTGGCTGACTGTTCTTAATTTTTTCGAAAATCTGAGGCTGGATTGTTCTTAATTCGTTCTTGAATTAAGAGGGTGTAAGCAGTGCTATTGCTAGCTTTTTTCGCTCTAAGGAGGTGTTCAGGCCTCATTTGCCAACAAAGTGAGTGAGACAGCCTTAATTTGCTGACAAATTTGCATATTCACAGAAAAGGCACCCACACATCGCTAAAAATCCTCGATTTTGAGAAAAAACGTTATTCAAATTGTTCTTGTTCTTGATTTTTGACCAGTTTTGAGCTCGTGTTCTTATAAAATTGTTCTTATAAAAAAGAAGAGTGTACTTTCGTTGGCAGCTTGCAAGCTGGTCTTCCCCTTTATTCTATATACCATATACAATATTCTATTTGTAAGCAAATTTTCCGAGTAATGTTGAAAGAGGCATATAAGGCAGCCCTTCCCATAAATTTCCATAAAATGTTCTGTTGTTTTGCAATGAGGATTTCAACGTGTAGAATCGCTTGTCTTGCCTTTTCAATTTTTTTGCTAAGTATTTTTTTTCTAATATCAACAGGATGGATTCATTTTTGGTTTATTTTTGTTTTGCCTTGTGGCAAAAAATACGCATGTTTTAACAAGGCATATTGATAAAACCTCGGCATCATCAAGTTTCTTATCTCCTAGCAAGTGGGATAACATGAGATGAAAGGTAAACCATATGGCCACATTTCCGCTTTCTAGTCAAAATTCACTTTGTTTGACTTTGTTTATTCCTGTTCTTTACAAAACATGAAAGTTTTTATACAAGTCCTTTACAACAAATGATTTTATTTATTGAAGCGCTGAATGAATTTTTCATATTGGTGTATGACGATTTATATAGAAAAGTTAAACATATATATTGAATGGAGCAAATAGAAGAACAAAATCAAATTTATGATCTAGGGATGTAGCAGTAAAGAGCTTTGCCTTCTATGTAAGCTTATTGAAAAAAAATGAAATAAAAAGAGAGGGAGCTTTGACGTGGGTGCCCCCCCTGATAATTCAACTTTCTTTCATCATGAAATTATTTGGCTCAAAAATGATATTTAAACAATTATCTTGAACTCCTGCACTCTAGGAGCTCCTAGTTTTTAAAAATAGATAAAATAACTTCTGACCATGCTCCTACGTGGCTGTCAGCGTGAATCCTTTTTCAAATTTTCTTTAAACATCATTGTTCCCCTTAATCTTAATCCACATTATCCAATCGTTGGGATGGTTTTGCTATAACCAAGCCTTTTAGTTGGTTGTTACCGACTGAAGAGTGTAAAGAATTCCATTTCCTGGAGAATATTTGGTTCGTGGTAAATAAAGGATAGTGGAAAGAACAATTTCATGTGAGAGTGAGGATAATGTTTAAACCTAGCATTGGCTTTTCTGTGTACACTATTTTTTTGTAAGAGCCAGTAAATTTAATTTCAAGCTGACTGTTCTTAATTTTTTCGAAAATCTGAGGCTGGATTGTGCATAATTTGTTCTCAATCTAATAGGGTGTAAGCAGTGCGAGTGCTAGCTTTCTTGCTCTAGGGTGGTGTACAGGCCTCATTTGCCAAGAAAGTGAATGAGAAAGCCTTAATTTGCTGACAAATTTGAATATTCACCGAGAATGCACCCACACATCGCTAAAAATCCTCGAATTTGAGAAAAAACGTTGTTCAAAATTTCATTTTGCAGAAGCTCAGCTTCAGCTTGTTTTTAATTTGTTTTTAACTTTTGACCAATTTTGAGGCTCGTGTTCTTATAAAATTGGTCCTATTAAATAAAGAATGTACATGGAAAATATTCTAGATATTTTATTATTTCACGTGGATCTTTCAAGTGCTTAGCTAATTTCTTCCTCTCTATTTCTCTACCAATTTGAGATGTATGTTCAATCTAATAATCAAACTCACCATTGAACAACTGAGAAAACAGAGAAACTTTACCAGAAGAAATCGGAAGGTCAACTTAATTTAAAACAGGTTTTTTGTCTTACTTTAACATAATATTTCTTAAACTTTTCATTGAAAAAATCATAGCCAGAACAAAGATTATGATGAATCAATTATTTATGAATATTCATACTCACTTCTTATTATTTTCATTTGTAATGATTCTTTATGACTCTGGATATTCTTCAGTTATTTTGCTGATTTGATTTTTGGAAATTTAGAAACTCTACGAGCAGCGTCAATACGATTATATTGCGCAGATTTGGGATGCCCTATCACCAGCAGTCAGGGCCGTAAATCTGTCATGTCAATTGGGGGGGGGGGGGGGGTCAGCAGAGCGAATGAGTATAAAGTGTGCAGTGGGTCATGGCACCACCAAGCAATTTATAGAGTGTGTTAAGGAAACAGTTTTGAGTGGCAAACGACTTAAAAAACAAAAATAATTGTAGATTTACTAAGGTTTTTCAGCCCTAAAGTATGTTTGAGTTGATAACATTTTTCAGAGACAGCTTGAATAAATTAAACCTAGGGGGCTGAGAATCACGTTTAGTGATGTAGGAGGACCCACCATGGTTGGGGCCGACGTGAAAGGAAATTTTTGAAATCATACCTTCTAAATAGCTATAAAATATTGGGGAAATGCTTAAACTCTAGTGACAGATATTGGAGAAAAGAAAGAAAAGGTTTTTTCTATTCGAGAGCAAGCGTTTTTTCTCTTGAAACCATATTGGATTCGAAAAAAATTAGGATGTATCTAAGAACATATTTGGGCTCCAAATGAAAATTTTCTTAAAAAAATCAAGGATGGGCAAAATTTATTGCATTCTAATAATAAATAGTTTAGTCATTACTTCTCTCTATATTAAATGCAAAAGTACTTCTTTGTTGCCGTGATACTTTTACGCAGATTAAAAATTAGCGTAAATTACGCAAATTAATTTTACTTCTAGCCCTCTTTGTCTTCTGGCCTTGTTCCTCGTTCCTGTGCAGTTAAAATTGAGGAGCTATTATGGAGGTCTTGGTACCTCAATTTGAGTAATAGAGGTTCAGAAATTAGGAATTTTAGGACCTAGGTTTTGAGTAAGGATTTTTATAAAAAGGCGTGTATAAAAATATGTGTAATATGAGTTTGTCGAGATTTATGGCGACTTAAACGATTCTTTTCTTACATGCATTTTGAGATTTATTCAAGGGGAGACCGGTGGATAAAAAATTTGGGGCTAATTTCCCCTCCATGGGCATCGTCACCGACTCGACACCACTCTGCAAACAGCCATCTACAATAGTTGACTTGCACTTGGCAATAGTCACCATGACATAGTGGCTGAGGTATGTTGCAATAACTCAGCAAAACTTTATTAGGTTCTCACCCAGCTACCGGGGATTTCTTTCGTTACAAGTAAATGACAATAATTTCTAAAAAATCGTTTTGCAAAAGATTTTTGGGGGGGTCCAGTCCCCCCCGTCCCCCCGGGATTTACGGCCCTGCCAGCAGTTCATAGAAATATTATTACATCAGTTAATTCATCACTCTCAAGTAGATTCGATTTCGATAATAGAAATAGGTTGTCTACTGACAATTAATTGCAAAAAACCAAATTTGCAAACTCTAGTGATAAACAAACATTATGGCATTTTACTTTGCTTTTCATTTTAAGTTTTCGATGAATTAATGATAAAAATCAGATATCAACACTTCCCTATTTCTACAGTAACGTTGTGGAAACCCCAACTTGATATCGATTGCTGGCAACCATTCTCCCACAAAGTTGTCGGTGTGTCCAATGTTCGCTGAACCTTCCACGAAGGGCTTTATACACATCTCGTGATTTTGAGGTCAAATTTATTCTTCAAAAATATTTTGCCTGAGTGAAGTCCAGCAAATAAGTTTTCTCGTATAATTTTGAAATTTGAAGTAAAAATGTAAACTTCAAGGATGTGTTTTAAAATAGACAGCCGATAGTCATGAGAAGCTTTCTGGCTTCCGAGGTTAGCCAATCACGTTTATTTTTCTTCACTGAAGTAATATGCACAAGATAAATGCCAATATCTTTTCTGAATCGAACGCCTTACCAATTTACGGTCAGTAATGGCCTAAAAGTATCTTCAAAAACAGTACAAAAAGTAAATTATAACAACACTTTTCTCTATATAGATAAACCATTGACCTTGAAAATAAAAATGTCACATGAAGCAGCTACAAAAATCACCCGCATGATTATGTATCAGAAATCTTTCGTGACCATTTATTCGAACTATCTAGGGCATTTGGCATTTTCAGGGCTCTGCAAGGAGAATGTCCAAATTTCACTTGAAGGGGGGTATTAAAACAAGTGCCTGGATTTGATGAACAAACTGGGTGAAGGAATAAAGAAAATGAGATCACATTGTGTTTGTCGATTTCTTCATTCAACTAACTTCAAAACGGTTGCCCTACATGTTGGCGTAGCAATGGTGCACATCTGGCTTAGCAATGGTCTACCACAGAGCAACTGGGCATATAAATGTCTTACCAAAGATAAATTTGGCGTACCAATGGCGTAGGCTTGTGTAAGACAAAATGACATCTTCTGGACAGCCGTTGTCCAGAAAGATCTTTTTGAGTGTTACCAGTTCAGCGTGAAGTTAAGATTTATGCTAAGGAGAATATTGCAAGTTTTTCGGCTGTTCAAAAGTTTGGTCCGCAAAAGTGCCCAGTTTATCTGAAACTACTATGGATTGGTAACAATTCCTTGCGATTCGAGAGTCAGATTAGGCAAGCCATCATACAATGTGACAAGTCAGTGAGGCAAAACAGTGTTTGAAAGTAAAACAAAATGAAATTTTGAAGATAATAGACGCAAAGTTATTGCCTCGGGTTTGTTTTTTATCCACGTTTCACCTCAGACTGTTGAAGTAAAAACAATTAACTTTTCTCACACAATGCTTTAAGCTAGTTTAATGTATAAGAAATTGGTTTCTCTCTAGCAAAAATGTTCGGTGATTTATATGAAAACAACATTATCTGTGTCGTTGCCATTAATAAGAGGTACTATGTACATGAACACAGGCTCAGCATTCGTATCTCTTTTTTATATAAAGATTAATCAAGAAACAATATTAATATAGAACAACAATCAAACCACAGGACGTAAGTACAACAATGAAAATAGTATGCTATAATTCATAAGTAGTTAGAAATCAACCCCCGCCAATTAGCAGTAATTTAAGCTTAATAAATGCATTTTGCAATGAACACTAGTAGAAGGGCTAAAGACAAACAATATAAAACTAAGACGAGCCAAACTTGAAGCGTTTTGGCTGCATAAGTTATATCTTCTACTGTCTATTTTTAAAGTACTCACAAAACCGTTTATTTGCTTTTTGAAGTAAAGAAAAAAACCTAAATATTCATTAAAGACATTATTTGAGTCACTAGTGATAAATTGTAAACAGATTCATTACCATAAACTGAAAAAAAATGTTTGACAGGCTTAAGAATTCCCCTTTATTTTTTCTTTATGATTTCGTCATTTCTCAACTTAAGGGAGACTCATTTCTAATACTATGTCAGCTAAACACCTTCACAGTTCATCACCCTTTAGTTCGATGTTCTTCAATTATCTAGAATCAAACTGGCTCTGGCGTGCTAGGACCACTGTTTAGAAATCTTTTGGTATTTCACGCATCATAAAATTTTGGAATTGTTTGTTGTACTAGTGCAACCAAAATGTGCACTGCAACCAAAATAGTTAAAGGCTTATTTGATTAACGTAATGAGTGTGGAGTTTAACTTTTCATCAATTTTCTTCAACATACATCGTTTCTTGTATCTTGGGTGCTAATACAACACATAGCATGAATGGAACCTCGACAAAAATTATTGAATTAAGTATACTAGGAATAAATAGGTAAAAGTAACTCTAACTCTAACTCCTAAATTGTGGAGGGATGTTGATGCATTGGAGTAATAAAGTATTCTGCTCCAACTAGAAGTTCGAGAAAAGATGGGTAGAAGCACGGGTCTTACGTTCAAAAGGCCAGCATGTCATAGAAAATTGAAAGCGTTATTAGTTTTTAGAGTCTTCGAAATCATCATGACAACAAATCGATCTAAACCAAGAGGAATGCAGCTGCTGTCAAGAAAATTTTGTGCCATCAATAGAAGCTGCAACAGCAGTAACTGTACAGATGCTGATGCTCAGAACGCAGCTCCTTTGAAACATCTTCATCACTTGCGTATGCTTCACTACCACCATTGAATCCAAGATCGCATCCAAAGTTGAGGTAATTGCCCACCTCTTCTCCATTTTTTGTGCCCTTTCCAGCTTTTCCCCAGATAGAAACTTCCCCTTGACAGCGACGAGCCCAGGATTGGGAGCAAAGAGTTCTGCATGATTTACCTTCGGCAGCATTTCTCAACAAAACAGTGTTATGAATGCCAGGGAATCCAGGCTTGTTTTTTATGCTTCGACAGGATGCAGCGGCAGCCATATGCAATGCTTGCCATTGGATGTCAGCGGCGGATAATTTGTCATACCCACTCGGGAGGAGCTTTTGTGGAATCTTACCTTTATTGTTCAGTTGCGGAGTGTTGTCTTTGACACCTCCTAGGATATCTGGGTACGTTGCAGGAGCTTTAGTTGGGGGTGGCTGTGTGATGTGTGAATAAAGATTGAAGCTCTCACCGAAGAATAATTTTACAGGATCAAAATCTGCGTCAAGAAATCCTCGTGGGCGACGCATCTTCTTCATCAACATTGCCCGGAACCTTCTATTACGAAGTAGTAGCGCGAAAACATTTTTCAATGACTTCTCGGGATTTCGCTTTTCCAATATCCTAACCTACAAAAAAGTATTTTCATAAAATTATGAAAATTATGAAGATAAGCATTAAGATTAGAATTAATCAGTTTCAAGTCTGTTTATTCTGTCCAGAACAGGAAGGAATGAAATACAGCATGCAAGAAAGTTTGTCATAACACTCAGCTTTACTTTTGAGATTCTTTAAGAGATATTTTATGTAATTAAAAAATTATCTCAAGGCCCGCACCACTGATTCCAAACGGTAGGGGCAGCAATGTAAAGAAAACCTCCTCTTTCCCCTTTTCGCCTCAATTGTGGGAATCATTTTGCAGATGTTGTTTTACTTGTGGTACTTTGTTCAATGTATTCGTTGTAATCTGAATAGTTTCTCTATATATATTCATACATTTTAGCTGATTTAGGTCTTTCATTTAGCGAAAAAGTGGGGATGCCATGACCCCCTGCCTCCCTCCCTGTGGCGCGGGCACTGTGAAAATATATAAGTGTACCTCAACTGATGCACAGGCAGGTAGTACAACGTAGCAAGTAGCAGAAATTTAAGGCAATCTTTTTATTCGAACAATCTTTATGAGGCAAACGTTTAACAGCATTTAGAAAGAGATCTAAAAAAAACTTCATGAGTTGTTCTTGTTGGATAGTCATGACTATGCTATATCATATAGACCTCTTTGTTTGGACCTAAACAGGCCCTTGTCTCGTACCAAGGACTCTCCGAGAGTTTATAAACGATGCGATCTACCGTCGTCTGCTAAAATCTTAAATTTCATATCAAATTTTCTATCTAATAGATAAAGGATTAACAGGACTCTCTAAGTCCTCAAAATTTTATACTGCCACATACTTTTTCCTGCAAATCTCCAATCGCCTTTATCAATTCTAGAAAGAAGAACATCTTATTAAGATTGACGAATTGAAATCTTTGTTTGACTTAAACGAACATGTCTTCTCATAACGTGTTAAAAACTACGGTTGATTCAAATCCATCATTTTTCGTAAAATCAAAAAACCATCAATCAAAAAATTTCGGAGCTGGGTTGAATTTATTGGATTTCCATTACAAATATTTGAGTTTTTCATTTATCTTTTACCTAAAATGAAGCTTAATCGCAAACTAGACTAAATGTGGAACAAAGTACAAATTGTATATTGAATAAGATGCAAATTAAAAATGTCTGAAAGCAATAACATTGCCGAGAAACATACAGCGTGGAACTTAAAATCACGGAAAACAGGAGCTGAAAATTGTTAGGTAATGAATAGGAAAATCCTTTTATAATGATACCTCGCAAATGGTACTATCTGCAATAAATATTTGCTAGTTATTAGAAGTCCTTCAATACTTTTGCAAGTTGATAAATGGGTTGGCTAGAACAACAAACAATAGTGTAAACAGCCGGCCTAATACCCTGAAAAAAGGGGACCATACGCCTCAGAAACAATTGAACTGAAAAGATACCTTTAAATTGTTTGGCTGTCACAACGCCATCTTTGCCATCTCTTCCATCTTTTCCATCTTTACAAGTGCAGTTGCATTGTGAACCCTGGAAAAAAAATAATATTTTGCGTTAGTTTCGTTTAGGATGTCTTCTTTACGAAAATAGGTACCAACGATTCTTCATTAGGAAAGTTCTAGTGTGCTTTTGATTGACTAGTTTATTACTGGTGTGTACCAATTTTCGTCTTAAAATCTTCACCTTCTTCCTTTTTATTCAGAAGGGATATTGCAAGGCTCCATTCCAGAAATCATTCTATTCACTTCTTTAATAAGGCCTTAAAGAAAAATCAAGCTTTGCCACAGCATTTGCAAAATAAAACTGAATCCGGAATAACAGTATTGGGAATGGACCTATTTTAGCCAGTTTACAGTCGCTTGCACCGTTTTTCAAAACGAGTGAGAATAACAAAGCTAGATAGACCAAAGTGAAACAGTAATTAGGGTTTGTGCATGACATATAAAATTTCAGATTTCATTTTCAGCTATAAGATAGAAGAAAACCTACTAATCCTGTTGGAAAATCTGATAGATAATACGGTCATCACAGTTTATAACGATTTATACATGCAGTAAACACTGTTCTCGTCCATTGGTCAATTGGACTGACATTAATCAAATACTTTATTCAAGACCGACCTGCATTGAGCCTCAGCTTATGGCATATAATATGAGCTTCTAACGTGCGTTCCGCAACATTTTTTTAGAGATTGAGCCTTGTAAATTGAGATATATTTAATTTGTTTCAGGACTTGAGCTGAAATTGATTTTGCATTACAATCGTTTTATTGTCAGAATTACACGTGACGCTGTTAAGGTCGATGCTCGATCAGAAATTCCTCGACGTCTTATAAAGGGCTTTTATCTTCCGGGTTCTGATACTACTTTTCCAAAAATAAAAAGAGACATTGCCTAATTGTGACATAACCCAACAGTGAAAGCTGAGTATTGAAGTGGCTTTCAAGCGGTCAAAATGATCAACAAGATAAAAAAGCTTTGTGAGAGATTCTGAGAGATACTGAGAGATTCTGAGAGATTCTGAGAGATTCTGAGAGATTCTGAGAGATTCTGAGAGATTCTGAGAGATTCTGAGAGATTCTGAGAGATTCTGAGAGATTCTGAGTTATGTATTATTCTCAAGTCTTCAATTGGTAAATGTGTGATAGCACATTGCATTTGCCTAGTAACAGATAATGGTCACCTAAAACTACAAAACAAGGCTATCCAAGTCTTTCCCTTCATCAAACAACCAAAACCCGTCAAAGCTTGCCTCTTCACATTAAGAATAGGTTCGTGCCGAAATATCTTTAATTTTCCATTTGGGTCAGAATGATGACGAAATGCAATATTACTACGTAAAAATATTATCCACCAACGTCTTTTCTAAACACGCCTTATAATGCTAATTTTTCGCGCGAAGCGAATTTTCCGCCATGAATTTTTTGCTGCAAATTTTTTCTTTCGAATTCAATTACACTGGTTGAAATTTTGATGCGAATCCGCTATAAATATTGCAAAAGAATATAGCGACTGTTCGAAAGAGGGCCGTTTTCAGAAAGCTTAAAGACTTAAAGTTGATTTTATTGAAAAAGCAAGCAAAACCGCAAAAGGCGATACTGGGTTAGGAAAATTTATTCAGAACGTCTTTAGAAGGGGGAGCTCCTTCTTTTGTTTATATGACAGCTCTTGAGCAGGCCAATTAGTAGCAAACATATCAGCATTTTGAAGAATTTCTTGCCGATGGTATGAGAATCATATGAATCCACTTACATGGGTTTTGTACAAGGAACAGGAAATGAATAATTACCATCCTATTTTGTTGACGCTGTATAGGTTTGAGTGTTTGAGAAAAAGAATGCGGAAGGACCACAGGCCATCAGCAACCATGACATAAGTCACCTTTTATCAAATGCTGTTCTGATTGGTATATTTTACAGCTCGAAAAATTTCGCAGTGAAAACGTTGGAATGGTCTCTACATTCTTCGTAGCAAATTATTCGCTGCTTATTCGCAGAGAATTTTCTCATTTGTACTTTTGCAAATATATTTTGCGCTCATTCGCAGCGATAAATTCCCTTTCTTAGGACAAAATTGATCACGTGTAACACGTTGGTCATCAACATTAAGTGTTCAATTGAAAAGGTGTTTTCTATATTTTGAGTCAAAGATATTTGCTTTACAAACCAAATACACACCTCTTTTCCTAAAAATACTTTAAATCTTTTCCATCCTCGATGTTCATTAGAATTTTAAGTTTTGAGCCTAAATATATTCTTACAGTATTCTAATTTGTTTCAGTTCTGAAGTGGTTATAAGCGAACATTGTCCACCCTCAATGGAATAAAAACAGCTTTTTTTGAAATACGATAAATATCATTTGTGTGATTCGATTAAAAAAACATGGCGAAATTGGCAAATACTGAAAAAAACACAAATATGTGAGATGAGACTGACAAATATTCTTGTAATATTTTTAAAAACTAAGTAATTGTTGGCCTTGGTATTCTCATTAGCAACATTCATATAAAAGGGATGCAGAGTGTAGTTTTTTGAGCGTTCTTGCCTTGGACATATCTGATCAGCCTAAAACGACGGAAACAACACTAGTTTATTTGGTAGCTTTTAAGTAGCCGTCGTACGTGGTAGTCGCAGATGTAAAGAGTCGTAAAGTTTAGCCGTAAAGAGTCGTAAAGTTTAGCCGTAAACAGTCGTAAAGTTTAGCCGTAAAGAGTCGTAAAGTTTAGCCGTAAACAGTCGTTAAGTTTAGCCGTAAACAGTCGTAAAGTTTAGCCGTGAAGATTCCTAAAGTTTAGCCGTAAACAGTCGTTAAGTTTAGCCGTAAACAGTCGTAAAGTTTAGCCGTAAAGAGTCCTAAAGTTTAGCTGTAAACAGTCGTAAAGTTTAGCCGTAAACAGTCGTAAAGTTTAGCCGTAAACAGTCGTAAAGTTTAGCCGTAAAGAGTCGAAGCGTTGAGATAAAGAACAAGTTCAGTTGAGCCAGCAGGAATCAGTTGTTTAACAAATGACGTGAGAAGCGAATGACCCCTAAGACCCTCACGATATGTTTAGAAACCAACAGACAAAAAGGTTTGTCTGCTAAAAAATGTTCATTGAAAAACATTCAATAATATAGATTTCTTCTGATACTAAAGAGTCAGTTTTAGCAAAAAGGTATATTGTATAAGCATTGCAATCGATGTCAAAGAGAATGGACCATAACTTCAAAAAATTGTAAATTTTAAGTACATTCTTGGGAAGAAGTCACACCGGTTTGGAAGTTGACGTAATGCGGTGCGAATTTAGAAATAGCTCTGGTGAAGTGGCGTAACCAGGGTTGGAAGATTGGGGTGACAAAGACAAGCCCTTCAGCAGGGGGCCCGGGATAACCCCAGGGAGAAATTTTGCTCAACACACTCTTAGGAACTTGGGAAAACGTCCCATTTTGTAAATGCTTTTGGAAAGCTATGGCCTTTTTTACGTGGCAATGGTTGGCTATTCAAACAAAACAACCGTATTAGGAAGCTTTCTGTGGCTTCCTAATACGGCTAAAACTGTCTATTTCCTTCACAATTCCTCTAATGTTTATATTCTGAATTGCGTAAGGCGAGGAAGCTCTACGTGTAAAAAGTTTTTTTCCAAAGTTGTAATCAAATATGTAAAAATGATAAACAGTATTCAAAAGTTCCAAATTAAATCCGTTCTCCTTGGAGCAAAATCCACGAGAAGCATTTCAGAATCCAGTTTTATTCAAGGACTGAAATGCTTTAGCATTTTAGTTTCTATTATATCGGGCATGTATAAAGAACGTGAAAGCCTTTTCTATATAAACCCTAAAGCGAGGAAGAATTGGAAAACATTCTGTAGTGGTACGGACGAGGGTCCCAAAATTTTTGCGACCAAGCCCTTTAGTATATTTCAATATTAAAGTATATTTCAGAATATTTTTTACAGTCGTTTGCTTGCAGTCTTTTAAAATGTTTTATTTCGTCTAAAATATCAACCCTCCCCCCTTCCCCCTCCCCCCCTCCGAGATACTAATTTAATCCCAGAACCCGTTGCATTGTCGCATTCAAAATGAAATTTTATTGACCAGTGGGTTCGAGGTATAAAATATATCTATCCCTCAGGGCATCTGAAGTTCAAATTTGGAAATTAAGGAAATCCTATGTATCTGTCTTTGTCACGGCGGTTTGGAAAACAGTCTAAGAAACTCAGAAAGGATGCAGTGGTTAGACTGTCACAGGCAAACCTGAATAAAGTGCTCTTGGCTCAGGTTTTTTTCTATTGTTAGCTCTAGATACCCATTTGCCCTCCTGATTCGCGAAACCCCGCTTCGTTTTTAGCTTCTATTCCTGATTCCCGACCATCGTTTCTCGAATCCCGGTGATATCGGTTCCCTAATCCCGCTCAAAAATTTTTGCCAATTCCCGCTTCTCCACTCAAAAATCGACGATTTCCGCTTCCAAATATACATATTTGGTACCCTCGCTATAGGCTGACCAATTTTTGAGTTGAACTCTAGCTTTTAGAAATAATCTTGCTAAAGTGCAAGTTGATTTTCCCCTGCAGGGCCATAAAGATAAATCGGTTCTAAAGAATACTCTCGTGTATACAATTCTTCTGCCGAACATTGCTTTCAGATTTGTACACATTTTTATACGGCTCCAATATATAGAACGATGAAAAGAAATTTAAAGACCTGATTCTAAGGCCCTGTTCACAAGATACCGGATTCATTTCATATCGGATTCACTGACCCAATTCGATACGACCTGATTATAAAACCCGCCGTTTACTTAGTAAATCTTTAAAATATGATGTGAAAACAGCCACTCAGCAAAGTCGTGAAGCAAATTCTGCAAATTGACTTAACAATATTCATTGAGGATCAATTTTTGCAAATAGGTTTACAGAGTTGCGACAGAAGAAACTTTTAGGTAAGAAAATTTGCATTTGCTGTTTCTTCGTCCACGGAGAAAAGAAAGGGCGGCAAGCTTCTAAGTCTTTTGAAGTTCATATTAAAAATGTCAATTAAGATTCTTAAAGTAATTTGGGATTGATAAAATTATTCTGAAATAATTACGGTTTGACAGTAAAATCTCGAACATAATAAAGCTTGTTGATAAAAAGTTAATTTACTGGAAATCAATCGAATAAAATAGAATGCGTCGGCTAAAAAAAATTCAAGAGTGGCTTTTGGAAAATATCGCATCTATTGAGAGCGTTGAAAATAGCTAAAACACACTCTAGAGGGCCAGCCATTCAACCGCAAAGTCGAAATTCATGAATCCGGTTGCAAAACAGGGTAAATCCCTTCTTGGGATCAGACAAACAGTTTGATTGACTGCGTTTTTTCAATTACTGGAAATATATCGTGAGCATTACGCACTATTAATGTTAATATATTCAAAAGCCACGAAAAGACTTGAAATTATAACTAGCTATTCTGAAAAATTATTACATTTAACAAAAAAAACTTTTATGTGCTGATGGGTTGCGTAAGCAAATTAAATTTCGAAGAAAACCATTTGTATTACGTCTACAAAGGGTTGAATGTGAATGAAATACCTTTTGGAAACTTGTTTTCTGCTCGCCGTTGTTTGGTGCATTCTCAGCATATGCCTGTGTAATGACTAGGGTGACGAAAAGAAGTACTATGAAACCCATGGCTCGGTTGTGTCCTGGTGCCCCCCTCTTCTGTCAGAGCTGTGTGCGTTTGGCAGCAGACGTGGACGAGACGTTGGTAAATTGCGCTAAGATCACTTTGAAAGGAGTCGTGAAAAACCGCGAAATTAGCATGCAATTGTGTCCATGAAGGTCAAGGAAGCATTGTTACTTTCATTGTTTCTTCAAAATACACCTTTCTTTTTGCAGATTCGTAAGAAAATGTACCTTCACTTTATTTAGTCAATATAAACAAATACATTTTGCAAAATAGATGAAATTCCTGTGCATCCTTTGAACTTTGATTGCATATTTTGCTCAAATATTTGCTTATTAGTTCTACAGGCTACCCCCGGGCAATGTCTTTTTACTTAAAATATGTCGTAAGATAGCTTAAGAAAACAAAGGTGCCTAAAGCAAGTTGTAATGCCTTTTTGTTTTCACTGAATAAAAATCCATTAATTTGTGCTGAACCAGGTAATAAATAACGACCACAATTTTATTAGCGCATGTAGACGTGAACTCGCATTTTTTTAACTTTAGTTGATAATCGTTTCAGCACAGAATTTGAAAGCTAGAGAAAATATCTTTCTCTTTTAAATAAAGGCTTTCATCCAACGATGAACAGTTGTTACAACTGAAACTACTTTTAAACCAAAGGTAAAAAAGAATGGATTATTGAAACGAAGACAAAGCTCGTTTATGCGCTGTGGAAAGACACTGCTGTTTTTGGTGTGCATTCGACGCTGTGCCTCGTCTAACAAATTGCTGCAGCTGTAAGTGCAGTGAGCTATCATTCATTAAAGGCGAGTGTTTTTATGAAAGGACATACAAATGTAATAATGCTAGTTTTAACATCGTCTTTTTCGGTATCTTAATTATTCTATCAATCTTTGCACATTCGATTGTTCATGATTCGTTTTGTAGGCTAATTGCACCTTTAGATTCATTAGTTTTTTTTTCAGGAATTTTTGATATCTTTATTCGGTTTATGCAAATAGTCTTGGGAGCAATATCTTTTGTATTCATTATCAATATGTAAATACAGTATTCTCTCCAATTAGCGGACACCTTCCGGGCCAGAGCAAGATGTCCGCTAATTGGAAATGTCCGCCTTTTGGAAAGTTTTGCAATACAAATCCCAAAGTTGAAAATAGACCCTAGTCTTGTATTTAAAAGGTGTAATCAGTGGTGGCGCCAGAGGAGGGCTGAGGGGCTACAGCTCCTCCGTCGGAAGCACCTAGCCCCCCCCCTTTTCGGAGAAAATTTTAGGTTATTGTCGAGCCAAATTGACATAATAACGTACGAAAATTGCAGATTTTAGTCATTTTAGCCCCCCCTCCCTATCGGAAGCTCCAACCCCTCTGTCGGAAGACTTCTGGCGCCACCTCTGGGTGTAGTCTTGGTAATTAGTGGCTATCGGGTTGAACTTAGACACTAAAAAAGGCAAAAATAACCAAATTGAGCGTAACACAACACTTTCATGGACAAAAAGCTAGTAAACTGGGCTGTAATGAAACTCGAAGCTGTAAAAAGCTAACTAGATTGTCAAGTGTCAAAGTGTTTGAAAGAAATATTTGAACAAATATTCATTCGTCTCATTTTTCGCTGGCTCCTAAATTTTTTGTACTGTCCGCTAATTTGAAAGAAAAAAAGCCAAATTGATTTTTTGTGCATACAATATTGTTCGTGAATTTTTAGTAAGTTTTTTTTATAAGACTTTGACCAGAAAACGACCGGGGAAATAATTTGCCCGCTAATCAGAGGTGTCCGCCTTTTAGAGTATCCGTTAAATGGAGAGAATACTGTACGCAACTATAATAATGGAAGCATTTCATTTTCAATTCAACTTTAACTACAAATACAAATCTCACTATTACAAGGTAATTTGCAATTGGCTAGCCTGGTTTTACAAGAAAAAAACTATAACAATCGTAAGGTAAAAGGAAAAACTGAGAAAAATAAAATAAAATAAAACAACTAAAGTTAAAAAGGATGTAGTTCCGGATTTGTCCATTGCTTATTTTTGCAACAAAAAATGTAGTACGTAGTACGGATGGCAATGTTGGAAAGTTTAGAAATGAGATACTGTTTTTGTTGCTGATCGATGGAGAGAGAGTCTCACATTTTGAAAAATGAGTTGCAGGAATTGCCGAAGATGCCAAGAGAGCTCATAGAAAGATTAACAAAGGAGACACATTTGAACTGCCGCTGTAAACCAGATAAAAGAGGAGCATACTTGCTTTGTTTTCTTGTAGCATTTGTCTCAAGATTGGATTCGAAGCCAACAGTTAGCTCTAAAATGTAGAGGTAATTGTTGTTAGTCCTCAAAAGAAGATCAGGGCGAAGGTTTTCTCCAGTTATGATCGATGGTGAAACAACGTGAAGAAAACAGAGAGAGGGTTTCTGGCAGAAAACAGAAAGAACAGTCAGAGGTCTGGCTCAAGTTCCATTTTTTCAGGTTTTTCTGTGTGGCAAGGGTATTGTTCAGGTACCTTATGGTGAAATTGAAAATATTCTGAGGCATGCTATTTGTGGAAGATTCTGGTTAAAGAGATGTGATAATAAAGATCCTTGGGAGATTAGGATGTTTTGCAGACGATTTTTATGCTCAAGCTGGACAGCCTTTAATGATTCTTTGGTGTTCCTATATATATCATGTTGTATATTTGTGCTACTGCTGGTATTTTCCCTAAAGAGCGAATGTTATCGTTTGGTGAAGATTTCAATGCGTTGCATAAAACGGTTTGACACTGTAGAAATTTGGTGGATGGTAAAGTTAGGCTGAGTCTAAACTGGCTTTTAGAAAGAATAATGCTACTCAAGGTAGCACTTATTGGGAGGTCGAGCCACTGGCGGATGTATTTGGATACGAGGTTGTCATGATTCTCGACAACCCACGTCTTTGAAAGATCCGCTACAGTAAGGTTCCAGGAGATTTTAGAAAGAACAAAGTTGTGTTAAAGACGCAGCTTATTTTTTGCATGAAGATGCTGGGAATCGATTTGTTTAAGCATGTTGGACAGTGATGATAAAAGGTCAGATTTATGTTCTTGGTTTGTCATTTCAAAGTCAAAATGACAACTGAGGTACTTGAAAGAGTTTCCATTCGAGACAGATGGGATAGATTTGTTGTTTATGAAAACCTTAGGTTGATACTAAAGAGAACGTGTGGAAAATTTCTTTATTCCAAAAGTGATGCATTCATCGACACGTATGATCATGTTAGCCCATTGGCACCAGCGAGTGAAACAACTCAGTAGAAGTTGGTTTTCTTTCTCATTACTGGTGATAACGGCAGCATCGTCTGCGAATTTATACCAATAGACTGGTTGAAACATACGGTCGTTCTGATCATGTAGGGAAAAACCTAACTGTTTGTAATTTTTAGCTCTTATCTATTTTATAAAAGTATTGAAACATAGATTAAATAGTAGCGGACTGAGGCAGTCGCCTTGAAGCACACCACGACGGACTGGATTGGCAGGAGTATTATAGTGGCTTGTGATGATAGAGGTTTTAAAGTCGGTGTAAAGGCTAGAGATAAGAAGCTGTATGTTGTCAGGGATATGATGATAAGACAGTATAGTGGGTATCAAATTATGATGTACTTCGCCAAAGGCATTTTTGAGATCAAGAAGAGTGACAACCAAGGAGCGCTGTTTTGTACGTGCTTTGTCGATAATGTGAGCCATCATTGAAGTATGTTCAAGAGTGCCAGAGATGTTAGACGTGAAGCCTTTTTGATTTTGATGTTCAATATAGCCATTCATTGTAAGAAAATCGAACATAAAAACAACAATAATAATAATGATAATAATAATAATGGAAACTTTTCATTTTCAATTCAATTAAAACTACAATTAAAAATTTCACTATTACAAAGGTAATTTGCAATTGGCTAGCCTGGGTTTACAAAGAAAAAGACTATTACAAGCACAAACAAATAAAAATTAATAAAAAAATAATAATGATAATTTTTTTTAAACATCTCATTTTCATTGAATACATTAAAGTTAATTTTACAATTATACGACTCACTTTTACAGGCATCATATAATTGGCTTATCTGCATTACAATATTTAAAAGTCAATTAGTTCGGGGCTTAGCCATGGTTTGTTTCGACGACAGAAGATATAGTAGGTGCAGCGGATAGAAATGTTCATGAGTTTCATCAAGATGGATTTAGTTTGATTTGAGTCAAAATTAAGTTGGTGTAGCATGTCAGAGAGAGAGGTAGATGAGGTTCCCAGAATGCTAAGGGCACTCATAGAAAGGTTAACAAAGGTAACACGTTTATAGGCAGGGCTCGGTTCCTTGATTAGATCGCTATATTTCCTAGCTTTTCGAGTACTGTTTTCGTCGATGTTGCTTTCGAACCCAACAGTAAGCTCTAGCATGTAAAGGATTCGATCTTCAGTTACGAAGACAAGATCTGGTCGATAGGAGTCGCCTGTGATTAAAGAAGGTGATAGAAATGAAGGCAGGTCGGCGTAAAGTGAGCTGTTTCTAGGTGTTGAAAGGTTTTTAGCCAAATATAGAAGTACAGAATCATGTCTCCAGGTATACCTACCATGTTCAAGATAATTCTTGCAGCTAGAGACTATGTGCTGTAATGATTCTGATTGGAGACAGAAAGAGCAGGCAGATGACTGAGTAATTGACCATTTGCAGAGGTTTTTCCTAGTGGCAAGAGTGTTGTTTAGGTATTTGATGGTAAAGTTGCAAATGTTTTTTGGTAACTTTTGCTGGACACTAGACCAAAGTTGATTAGTTCCCTTAGAAGCAAATTTTAAGATGCACAAGATAATAAATCCTTGAGATCTAAGAACGTTTTCAATGCGGTTTTCGTGTTCACTTTGGATGGATTTGAGAACTTGTTTGGTGTTGCGATAAACGTCATATTGTATGTTTGTACCAGTGCTAGAGTCTTTCCATAAAGAGCGAATCTCTTGGTTTATGATAATAATAACGATAATATTAATAATAATAATGGAAACATTTCATTTTCAATTCAACTTAAATTACAAATACAAATCTCACTATTACAAGGTAATTTGCAATTGGCTAGCCTGGTTTTACAAGAAAAAAACTATAACAATCGTAAGGTAAAAGGAAAAACTGAGAAAAAAAATAAAACAACTAAAGTTAAAATGGATGTAATTCCGGATTTGTCCATGGATTAT